TCTGGATCTCTCGTTTGCGCAAGTGAGGGTGTTCAATGTGCCATTATCGGAGAGAGCGAAGGATGCAGGGCCAGAGGGAGGTGGATAGAACTGACTGTTGGCGAGAGTAGTGGCGAGCGAGTTGATGCCGTAGAAGATGATGGCGCCTGTGAAGAGACAGAAATATCAATATCCAGCTATTCCTCGAAGAAGCGCATATGTCTATGATGGGAACGAACCGGCAATGTAGAAGGGTGCCATGGGGCGGGCTATANNGCAAAAGAGTCAGCAATTGGGCTTGGTTCAAAGGCAGCAGTGAGGGCTCAAGAGCGCATTGAACATACCGATAGGGGTGGGGAACTTCTTTCCGAGGAGACCGGCCATTTTGAGAGATGTGATGTGGTTGACGGAGGTGGACAAAGAGGTGGAATCGACTGGTTAGACGTTGCTGTCGACTGCGCGCGCGGGCTTCTTTCGCAATCCTCAATGCTCGACCGACCGCCGTCCCCCGACTCGGAACTTCTTGGCATCACGGGACAGACTCTCCCGCATTTCACATGCGACTGACTGCTTCCATCGTCAACAATAAACATTGAATTCCTCCCAAACTATCGCATTCGACACCATGAGCACAGCCAACACTCTGGAGAGCTGTGTCTCGTCGCTGCGCTCGAGCATGCAGCTGCTCGACTCATCCATTAGCATTCTCGATTCTGGCACCAGCGACTTTCCGCGTTTGGCTAGGGTTCTGCAGGCCACTAGGGTAGGAACATCCTTGTCCTTCTTTACACTTCTGACGCTAACACTACCTAGCNACTTTGAACTTGTCTCCGAGCCCGAACTACAGAATGCCCAATCTGCCCTCCTCTCCGAGATCCAACCAGAAGTCGAATCCATGCTCGATCGTGTTGCCGTCTACCTCGACAAGCTTCAACGTCGCGAAGAGTCTCTGATTGCAAAGTGCGAACTGCAAGAAGGCCGCCTATCTTCGCGTCATCCCCAGCAACAATACCACCCTAGGACAGCTGCTCCTTCGTCATCACACACTGCCGCCAACCCGCTGGAGGAGCTCAAGATGCAGCAGCTCAGACAGAAGAAAGACCGCTTGAGCTATGCTGTCGGCCGCCTCGAATTGCAGGCAAACCAAAGAGAGAGACAGTTGAGAAAGAGCATGGCTGGCTTTTGATTCATTCCTCTGCACTCTTCACGACCCCCTCGCAAGGCTACGTCCCGTTCGATCCTCCTAATGCTACTTGGCCTTCCCCGGACCATCCTCGATCTGCAGTGTCACGTTCTGGATGCCGAATCCATGCAGACATCTCCCGAGACGTGCAAGTCGCCCGTTATGCGTCTCTTTTGCTTCTTCAGGTCGGGTAGCCTCCTCTATCTCCAAGCTGCTTCTCGACAGCACTTCTTGGCTGGACATGGGCGACATGACGATATGCGCCGACCCTATCGATTTCTCTTGGCTCAGTTGCCAGACATAGAGGTCATGCACTGACACGACTCCCGGTATCTTGCTCAGCTCCCGGATGATTGCTTCGTTTCGGGCGCTGGGTGGTGTACTCCCCAGCAGAATGTGTCCACTTCGGAAANNGCTTCATCCGTCAGCCACTAGCTACTCATGTGAATGTCGCTACTCACTGAGAGGAAGAGCGCTGCTCGCAATCATAAGCGCTATGCCCATGCTGACAGCGGGATCGGCATAGAATCTGGTCGGTGATTGTACCAACATCATGACAAGAGCAGCAGCAATGACTCCGAGGTTGTTCAGAACATCTCCAAGGATATGAATGACGACAGCACTAACTCCCAAGTCGCCATGTGTGTGTTGCTCTGGTGGATTGCCCTGTTTGAGTCAGTCTAGTGTCATATGCTTGCGAGTTTAGAGATGGCTTACGAGATCCGACACCTCGAGGACTGGACTGCCCGCCTTGGACTTTCTGTTACTATCAAGATGGTGGTGGCCATGATCTNNGGTTCTGTGAGCATTCGGCCGTTTGCCAACACAAAGCACGGTCATACCATGAACCACCAAGATGCATACGACATTGAGCAAAAGCCCTATACAGCCCATGATGAGAACGTTGCGTGGTTGATCGACAACNTGGTTTGGTCAGCATCTAGCAACACAATGTCGATGGAGGCGTGTACCTTCAATGTTGATGAACCTCTCAATGGCTTGAAGAAGGATGCTCAGACCAAGAGCGATGAGAAAGGATCCGTTGAAGAAGGCACCAAGGACTTTGGCTCTTTCCCAACCAAAAGCGAGGCTTGCAGGTGCATCTTTGCGGTCGGATAGCTAAGGAGTTCTTCAGTATGTGATTGGTATCCTGATATCAAGTATGTTCACCTTTGCAGCGACTAGAGCAACGCAGAAAGCGACCAAGTCATTGAGNCTATCAGCCAGTCAGCAATGGCACGGGCCATAAGAATCACGCATAACATAATGTACATAATGGAAAGCATCAGCAATCAAAGCAAGCGATTTGGTGCGGAAGCCGACTACCAAGACGGTCAAACGAGGAACATCTCGAGGCTTCAGAGTCAGGTCTGTCTCACCAACAAGCTCTGCAACGAAGAAGGCAGATGACAGGACAATGGCCACAATCAATCTCGTCGAAGTGGATGAGTTGGTACGAGGCATATTGTAGGTTGCATAGGTACTGGAGAAGAATAACTAGGGAGAAAGAAGATGGAAAGAGTCTGCATGAGGTCTGGCGTGGTCCTGGTACATGGCAGAAGAAGAAGGAGCACGTTGTAGCACAAGCGTGTTAAATCATGGCGGTTGCCATGTAGAAGTCGGACAGGACCATCAGGGTTGAGGGACAAGGAGCGGCTAGCAACATTGATTTATGTTTTCTACAAGCAGTGCTACGTGCTCTCATGTCAAACGCAGGAAGAATAGACTAGTCTCGTGTATGCCAACAAGGCCGTGTTCTCAAGGTGAACAAGAGGGAAACAGCGAATCATGGGGCGGTGTCGACGTCAAGCAACATGACTCTTGCCAGCAGTGATTCATCCCACATTTCGACCCAAAGCACAAAAGACCCCGCTCTGCTTGTCGCAAGAAATATTGTCAGACAAAGACACACTCAACATGGCCGACGGAAACGCATTGGAAAGCAAGCCCGCACAGTCGATCCCCGAGAGACCCAAGGACGCTCCTNGCCGACGAGGTTGGCGCAGCTCCTGCCGACGGCGAGAAGGGCCCTTCGAAGAGCGCCTTGAAGAAGGCCGCCAAGGAGAAGGAGAAGGTGCGATTGGCCTTTGACTATGTGACAACACGACGTATCTGACAACTGGACAGGCCGAGAAGGCAGCCAAGCGCAAGGCCGCCGAGGAGGCACAGAAGAAGCAGCAAGATGCCAACGATGTTTCGGCCGAGGACTACGGCGAGCTGCCCATGATCGGCTCCCAGGAATACAAGCCCTCCGGTGTCTCGCGTGTCACCCTCGCCCAGATCGCCGACAAGTACAACGAGACCACTCCCATCGACGAGGCCGGCGGTGCCGAGGTCTGCTTCCGCGCCGTCGTCGAGAATGCCCGCAACCAGTCGGCCAAGCTCTCTTTCCTGGTCTTCCGTGAGACTCTCAACACCATCCAGGCCGTTGTCGCCGCCAGCGACTCTCTCAGCAGACAGATGGTCAAGTTTGCCGGCAGCGTGCCCTCCGAGTCCATCGTCCTGGTCCACGGTCTGGTCAAGAAGACCCCCGAGCCCGTCAAGAGTGCCACCATCAGCCACCTCGAGATCCACGTCAAGAAGCTCTATGTTGTCGCAAAGGCCGACACCCAGCTGCCCATGCAGGTCTCGGATGCCGAGAGACCTTTGCCCCTTGAGGGTGAGGNNGAGGCCAAGGAGGACGAGAGCGGCCGCCCTATCGTTACCTTGAACACTCGTCTCAACAACCGTGTCATTGATCTCCGTGGCAAGCACAACCGCGCCATCTTTGCCATCAAGGACGGTGTCACTGCTCTCTTCCAGGAGTTCTTGCGCAACCAGGGCTTCATCGGCATCCAGACCCCCAAGCTGCTCGGTGCTCCCTCTGAGGGCGGTGCCAACGTCTTCGAGGTCGGCTACTTTGCTACCAAGGCTTTCCTCGCTCAGTCGCCCCAGCTGTACAAGCAGATGCTGATTGCTGCCCGTTTCGAGCGTGTCATGGAGGTCGGTCCCGTCTTCCGTGCCGAAAACTCCAACACCGCTCGTCACTTGACCGAGTTCACTGGTCTGGATCTGGAAATGGCATTTGAGGAGAACTACCACGAGGTCGTCGAGGTCCTCGAGAACCTCATGCTGTACATTTTCAACGGCCTCAGGACAAAGTACAAGCGCGAGACCGACCTGGTCCGCAGCATCTACCACGTCGAGGAGTTCAAGCTCCCCGAGGCCGGCAAGGTGCCCCGCATCCCCTTCAGCGAGGGTATCCAGATGCTGCGCGACGACGGCCTCGAGATTGGCGACTTTGACGACCTCAGCACACCCGACGAGAAGCGTCTCGGCGCCCTCGTGCTCAAGAAGTACGGCTCCGACTTTTACGTCCTCGACCAGTTCCCTCTCAACATCCGTCCCTTCTATACCATGCCCTCGCACACTGCCCCCGCCCACCAGGCCGGCGCAAGCGACCCCAATGCCGGATACAGCAACTCGTACGACTTCTTCATGCGCGGCCAGGAGATTCTGTCCGGTGCCCAGCGTATCCACGATGCAGAATTTTTGTGCAAGCGTATGAAGGAGCACGTCAGCCCTGTCGACCCCAACTCTGATGGTCTCCGCGACTACGTCAATGCCTTCCGCTATGGATGCCCGCCTCACGCTGGTGGTGGTATTGGTTTGGAGCGTATTGTCATGTTGTGGCTGGGTCTGCCCAACGTCCGTCTTGCGTCGCTGTTCCCCAGAGACCCCAACCGTGTCATGCCTTGAACGGCTCACAAAAAGTGTTATGGTTCATGTAGACATGCCAAAAAAATTTACATCTCGTTGTTCTCGTTATTCTCATCTGTTACATTTTAGAGCTTTTGACTCAAGCCGCGGTTTCTTTCACAGTAACTTGTTCAACCGCGGGCTCGTCTGATGCGGCTTCGGTAGTAAGAGCCTTCAGCTCCTCGACCGCGTTGGCAGCCACGTCTCTCATCTCCTTCTTCGTATCATCGGTGTCTTTGCTCTGCTTGATCAGGTCTCTCCATTCCTCCAACTTCGCACCAGCCTCTGCATCACCTTCCTTGACCATCTTGATCATCCTACTCGTATCCTTACCCGAACTCATGTAAAGCCCCTCTTTCCTTCTCGCCAACAAGATCCAAATGACATTTTGCAAGAGATCAGACGCACGCTTCATCTTTCTCATGCCCGCCACTTTTTGCGTCAATATTTCGTGTTTGCGTATCTTCAAAGCAGTCGCCGAAGGTTGCTCAATCTTTTGCTTTCGGGCCAGTTTTGCAGTTGCCGTCAACATGTCGTCTAGCGTTCTTGCTGTGCTTATTGCATCGGAGAACTTTTCCAGGTCGCGGGAGACGGCTTTTGTGGTGACGAGGTTTTGGTCTTTGATGGTGCGGAGGGTTTCCGGTGCCAGATCTTTGCGAGACCAGTCGTAGATGAACTCTTGGACGCGGGGTTGGAGTGTGGTGTCTGTGATTGTATCTGCGCCTTGAGCGTATAGTCTTAGTGGTGTGAGGAGGTCTGTTTGGATGGTTGTTGCAAAAGTCGACGTTGTGGATTCTTGGAGGGAGAGAATTTTGGCTTCAAAGGTTGATTGGACTTTGTTTTCTGGATCGCCGGATTCGAGGATTGCTTGATCGAGAGATGTTTCTGTGTCGTCGGGGATGGATAGCTTGGTGGGATCGAAGGTGACTTCTTCGCCTGGGCGTCTGGAGGTCCATTGTTCAGTGGCTGTATCGGCAGCTTTGGCCGCGAGGGTAGATATGCTGGCAGCAAGAATATCCTGTGTTACAAGAAAAGTAGACTTTCCGTTGCTCAACTCAACAACACTCGAGCGGCTGTGTTTCTGTACGAATGCTTCTCGAATCTCCCGTGCAAGATCGATATCTGCAGCGTTCCGCAAGACTTGTGGTCTGGAGTTGGCGTTCACCTCGTAAGATCCACTTCCATCCAGTTCTTCCACCGCTTTCTGGATGTATGCGTCTTGGGCTTGCTTGACTTCGCCTTGACGCTGTTCGAGTAAGGATCTTGGTGTGTAGAGTAGAAGCCCATTCACTAGATCGACCAGTCCTTGAGCACCTCTCTCGTCATGGGGTATCAGATTGTTGGCTGCCGACTCCAACCAGGGAACAGGAACTTGGGGGAAAGTATCACTAAGCACGACCGATCCTTGCTTGCCTTTGATGACGACTTTTCCAATACTATCTTCCAGCCGTCTAAGAAATCTAGAATCGTACGCCTTTCCGTTCTCGAGGTCCTGGAGAGATAGATCGGCATCTTGTGCGGCGAGTATGCGTCGCAGTGTGGCAGTAGTGACATCCTTTTCTGTAGCAATCTTGTCGAGATTAAGACCTCGGTTGGCCAAATCGTTCTTGAGGCTCTGATATATGGCCTTCTGAGTGGTCTCTGGTAAAAGACTTCGGCGGTCTACACTGTGATAGATGCGTTCCTCTTCTTGAGTCAACAGCCACTGGACATCATGAACACCCAACTCGTTGTGCAAACTGTTCAGGAAGATGGGACCAGTGGCATTCTGAAGTAGAGAATGGAACCGCTTGGTGACTGCATCCGAACGAACAAGGCTACGGCCAGAGAGACTGCGAACAAGACATTCTTTTCCAGGTCGTGGTTCAGGATGTGGAAATGACAGAACCAGTTTCCGGATATCGTCTTCGGTGAAGACAGGAGATCTGTCCACTTCCTTGGTCCCAAATATAGAAGGTATCATCTTTGTGAGTTTGTGTAGAGAAGAAAAAAGGAAGTAGCGATGATGTAGAGCATTGAAGTTTCCTAATCGGGAATTTGTAGGTCGGGATTTGCCGCTTGGACTTGTTCCATCAGCGCGGCCGTCACCACCGTGAATAGCAGCGACGGGCAGATACAGGCACTTTTTACTGGATATCCACGACTTGTACGCACATACCGCAATCATGTCCATGTTCCGTTCGAAGAAGCTCGACCTTGGTGGTTTCGTCAACATCAAGGTCATCCGCGACCACACCAAACGCAAAGTCTTTGAGCAGAACGAGACCGAGAGGTTGGTGGAACATATGTTGCCGTCGTCTCTGCTACACAGTAAACTAATTGAATGTGATTACAGACAAGCACTCCGCTACATCATCCGCAACACACTCCTTCCGCAACGCGCTCGCGCCCAGGCTCAATTGCAGTTGTCGCAAATGCACTGCTACACCCGCCCCACCCAAATCAAGAACAGATGTATCGCTGGAGGCAAGGGAAGAGGTGTTTTCCGTGACTTCCGAATGGCAAGAGTACGTTTGATCCTGGATGATAAGAGAGCGCACGAGAGCACAATACTAACGTCTCTTCTACAGTACCAATTCCGTATGCACGCTCTGGCTGGACAATTGCCTGGTGTGAAGAAGGCCAGCTGGTAGATCACGCGACACATCCATGTTACTATACTGTACAATATTCAAGAAATGGGCATTGGGAAAGGCGTTGGTTGGAAATCAAGGATTTGGGTGGCTTCGAAATTCAGAACATGTTATCTGCCTTCCTGCTTCATTGCACGCAGACCGCTCTTCTTTCCTTCTATCGGTTGTTTATTCTTTGCAACATGGCCAGTCTGGCAGGATGTATGCCCTCTTGAGCTCCTGCATCGACTTCGGGCTCGGGTGCTTCCTCTCCCTTGTCTGCTCCCTGAGCACCTCCCTTCTTGGCCTCCTTCGCTGCCTTGCGCTTCTCCTGCTTGGCCTCGGCCTCTGCTCTCCTCTGTCTCTGCTCGTTCAGTCTGACGTTCTTCTCCTTGAGCTTCTCCTTTCTGCCTTCGGACTTGCTGCCACCGCCTCCAGCCGTGAGCTCGACATTGATTCTACGCTTGCCTCTCTCGCCGCCAACGCCGCTGTCAAACATGCTGTGGTGGTACAGCTTCAGACACGTCTTCATGCGATCGTAGTTGGCAAACTCGAGGAACGCAAATCCTTTGCTCTTGTTCGTGCCCTTTTCGGTCGAGTGACGCACGGATTGCGGTTGGATGGATGCAAAGTGCTCGGTGATTTGCTCGGTCGTGGCTGTGAAGGGCAAGTTGCCGATGAAGACGATGAAGCGCTGGTTCTTTGCTGCGGCTGCCTCGTCGCCCTCTGCCGCTGTCGTGGCGTCTCCTGCCTTTTTGGCCAGCGGCTCCTTGTTGGCTGAGGGCTCCTTCTTGCGCTTCTTTTGCTGTTTGGCTTCTACGGGGGCTGCGTCTTCTGTCGGTGCTTGTTCCTTGTCTTCTTGCGATCGCTTGCGCTTCTTGGTTGAAGTCTTGTCTGATGCCGCATTCTGGTCGTCTGCTTCTGCGGCGGGCTCGTCGTTGTTTGGCGCATCGTCGGTGGTTGTCTCGTCGACCTTTCTCTTCTTGTTCTTCTTGTATCTCTCCTCGGAACGCTTGGCCTTCTTTGCCTTGCCCGTCAGGGCTTGCGCATCTGTTTCTTGTGACATTCTGGGTTGTGTGGTAAGGTAATGTTTGTGGTTGTTGTGACTATCCAAAAAGTCTCTGTCTTGACTCGGGTCCGTCTCCGCACGTTTTTTATGTCCGTGCTTTCGCCGGCGCTGCTCTTTCACATGCTCGACTGCGTCTGGATAAGAGTGAACTTGTTGCAACTTGTAAATTAAAAAAGTTCATGCAGACCATATGTACAGAACGCTCAGAAACCACCAGTAAAGAGAAAGAAAAAAAAAAGAGGGCCGTCAATGCAACCATGTCAAAAGACACACGCGACAATATTCTTTTGCCCGGCCGCCTATCTGCCGTCACTCCGCTATTGTCCTCCTCTTGAGTCCAGTCTGCACTAAAGAAGTAACTATTCCATCCAGAGGTGGCTTCCTGAGCATGAGGCCTGAGCGTAAACCATGACTGTGTGCCTGTGTCCTGTGCTAGCCTGTGTGTATTGCTTGCGTCAAGTGGGTATCTGCGCCGAACACTGCCGCTGCTCCCCCAAACTGAAAAGGATCCAACGCCAGCGACTCCCAGAAACTAGACTTGGCAACGAGATTAAAGAGATCTATCATGCCGTGAAAATGCGAGTGTTGTGTGAAGTAAGGGAATGTCGGTATGAGTACTGCCTGCCAGCTCAGAGGATGATGCATTTTTGCTTCTTGGGCTTCGAGGTAGGGCGAGGGCTCAGCACGGCTCTGTCATGGCATATTAGTGGTCTGCATCATCTTCATCTCTGAACCCTTTTCACGCACCTGATGGCCTCGTCAAAGACACTCTTGAGGTTGCGCTGTGTGAGGGCAGAGCACTCCATGTACTTGACTGCCTTGATCTCCTTGGCAACGCTGATGGCCTGCTCGTACTGAATGGGCGCCATCTTCTTCTGTCTCAAACTCTCCTTGGTGCCCTCGTCGTCGCGAAGATCGAGCTTGGTTCCGACCAGGATGATGGGAACACCGGGTGCATGGTGCTCAATCTCGGGGTGCCACNNTGTTCGCCTTGTCAGACACCATTCTGCATCAACCCTTGTGTTTGCTTTTGCATTGCGTACCTTTGCCTTTACGTTGTCGAAAGAAGGAGGGCTGACAATGGAGAAGCAAATGAGGAAGACATCTGTCTGGGGGTACGAGAGAGGACGAAGACGGTCGTAATCCTCCTGACCAGCAGTATCCCAGAGACCGAGACTGATGGGCTTGCCATCAACCATGACACTCGCAGAGTAGTTGTCAAAGNNCTGTCGAGCATCAGCATATTATCCGACAAGGTGTGCGCATGGCGGACGATCTTGTGTAACGTACACGGTAGGGATGTACTCGCCAGGGAAGGCATTAGTTGTGTACGAGATCAAGAGACAGGTCNNTAATGCATTGTTTAGTTGCTTGTCGCACAAAGGCAAGAGGGAAGCACAAACCTTGCCGACGGCACCATCTCCTGTAACGACACACTACAATAGTATTTAGCGACTTGTATCTTCCAGAGGCTCGGGCGTAAGGCGTACTTTGAGTGACTGTGTTTGAGGGTTGGAAGCCATTGTGTAGACGATCTTTTGGTTGTGGTGTTCTAGGAGGAGAACAGGTGATACAGAGGGTGATGATGTCGTGCGAGAGAGGGGGCAGACGGGGCTTTGAAGCTTTCCCAGATGCTTTCGTTTTCAGAGCGTCACTTGGAGAGTCAAGTGAAGGTAGATCGGTCCTTTGAGGCAGTAGACGAGACGACAGAAGGTTGCTGCAGTGAAGGTTAGCAAGATGCGGCTCTGGGCTCCGAGAAGGCGGTAAACATGCCTTCTTTCACCGTCTCCACGTCGGGGCTAGTGTCTTACGGGTTGGAGCACAAGGCAAGACGTCAAGAAATTTGCCAGGTGAAGCAGCAATGGCAGAAAAAACCGTCGGGCTCCTGATATGGCGGTATGGACAATGGCTCTGAAGTTCACTCGGGGGGCTCGACTCTGCGATTGGTTGAGTTAAGCTCCTAATCCTATTATGCCGCCGGGACGAACCGAATCGCTACTGCTCTTCCTGCTTTTGCTTCTGCGGGGCGCTACGAGGAAGAAAGTCCTTCTCGACGTGATTCAAGCCTCGAAAGGTCTGCGGCCGCGTTGGTTTTTTTTCTTGCCTAGCCAGCCGTGCCCACTCGCTGTCCGCCGTGCCTTTGCAGAACTTTCCAACGTTATGCGCGCGAGTCACGCCGCCCAGGTTACTTGAGCCGACCAATTATCAATAACTTGCGACCAAACGCGCCGTCTGCCCCTGGGGCCCTATGAATGACGTCTAGTATGCCAATAATACTTTTCTCGACCGTCTTCTCACAACTCAATCTGTGTCTGCTCCGTGTTTGGTCCTCAAGACTGCAACCATCAATTCACTCGTACCTTGATGCACTCCGAGGCGGCCACGTTCTGGTTCATTCCCGTTTCATCATGTGGAGAAGGGGCAGATAGACTTTGGATCTTCTCCGTAATCTCGTTTTGCTCAAGAAGCCCGTCTGAGGTCACTTCTTGTGCTTTTCATGTCTGAGCTCCAGATATCGTCTTGCAAAAGGGACATGAGGTTGGTCAAATCTCTATCGAGTTTTCACATGGTCTGAAGACGTCAAAATCAGAGAATGGCTGTCAGAAGCTTGTCTGGTGGAGTGGGGCGCCACGGGGCACAGCCAATCCGTCTCGGCTCTCTTTCATACGAGCCAGCTTAGGAGCTATGCTTTTTAGATAGGTGGGGCTCGCAAATTCACCTGTCCTCTTTCTTCAGCTTTCCTCCTCCCAGCATATACGTATGTGCACTCGAAGTCCTGTGTTGTCAAGTTCGTGTCACTGACTTGGCCAGTACTCCTCCAGTATGCCTGTCCAACGCATCGGCCAATCTATCCGTCTGCGCAGAGAGTACGTCGATGAATACATCAAAATCCATTCCGAAGTCTGGCCTGGCGTTTTGAAGAGGATTGCAGGCAGCAACATCCATGATTACAGCATCTTCTACGACAAACAGTCCAGCATCCTGTTCGCAACCTTCAAGTATACCGGAAGTGACTTCGATGCCGACATGAAGGCTATGGCAGAAGATGAAGAAACGCAGAGATGGTGGAAGGTTACGGATAAGATGCAAGAGAGCCTGAACGAGGGTGCTACTAGCAGCGTCGACGGTGGTTGGTGGCGCGCACTTGATGAGGTGTTCCATGTCGAGTAGAGTAGTAATGGTCTGAAGCGATGTCCATCAATCAAAAGCGTCGTCCTTAAGTGTCCTTGCCTCCCTTGCTCTTTTCTCTTCTTCTTTTTCTTCGGTTCCTCNNCTCGGTTGGTATGGGACCTTGCAGCAAGGCTTGGAAGGCTGCCTTGTGTCCACGAGGAGCCTTGTCGGATTTTTGTTTCTTGGGAGCGGCCGTCTTGGCCTTCTTCTTGGAGTCGGACTCGCTGACTTCAACGTCTTTGGCACTGCTCTCGGCCTCGTCGTCATTCATCTTGCGGCTCATGGCCTCAAAGCGCGAATGACTGCCGACTCTCTCGGTCATGTCTTCGAACTTTCTCTTGGCACCGTTCTTCTCCTTCTCTTGTTGCTCTGCGCGTTTCCTGTCGTATTCTTCGTTTCCAGCTAGACCGTGCTTGATGAAGCGACCGGCGGCGGCCTTGTCGAGAGTGGCATTGCGCTTGACGTGCGAAGTCTCGGCGAGCTTGATCTTTTCAAAGTATTGCTTGACGCGAGTGAGTTCGGCAAAGACGGGATGCGTCTTCGCATCGAGGCCGTTAAGGCGTAGATATGAGAATAGCAGAGACTCGATGGCGTATGTGACGAGAGTGTAGAGTTTTGCCTTGTCGAGCAGAGGGAGTTTGCTTGTGCTGGCAGATAGGGCGGTGTTGATTAGTGGCGCAAGAGATTCCTCGACTTGGTCGATGTTGCTCGCGAGGCTCTCGACCAGCGGGCGTAGATCCGTGTCCATGGTGTGTGGTTGTGATGTTGATTTGCGATGATGGAATTTTCTGGAGACGAATGCGACTTCTAGAAGCGGACGGAGAAGGAGCGGCGGCGGCTCTCGCAAAGCCGAGGCTGACGAGCCAATCACAACCTTCGACACGAGCATTAGTTTTGTCACATATACCATCTTGACTTCCATCCCACCTCTGCCACTTGAACACCTACGACTCTCAGTCCAAACAACCCCTCTTCTCATACCAGCTACCAACATGCCTCGCAACAACCGTGGATCCGCTGCCCCTCCCAGGCGCCCTACCGCCGCTCCTGCCCGTCCTGCGCCACCCACTCCCCAGCAGGCTCGCTCCGCTTCTACTGCTGCCCACCCTCCTCAGCACCGCGCTCCTCCCCCACCTGCCGCTGCTCCCGCTGCTCCTCAGCAGAGCGCTGGTCCCGGACTCTTCGGCCAGATGGCTAGCACTGCTGCGTAGGTCTTCGTCTGCTTACTCGGGCTGCCTGAAAAGCTTCGGAACCCAACAAGCTAACAATCCAACTACAGTGGTGTCGCCGTCGGCTCTTCCATCGGTCACGCAATCGGCGGCTTCTTTGGTGGCGGTTCCTCTTCAGCTCCTGTCGAGCAGCAGCCCCAGGCCGTCGCCAACCCTGCCGACAACAGCACCTACACCTCGTCCAGCTACCAGGCTCCCAGAGCTTGCGAGACTGATGTCACAAACTTCCGTCGCTGCATGGACGAGAACCAGGGCAGTCTGACCATTTGCGGCTGGTACCTCGACCAGCTCAAGGCCTGCCAGTCTGCTGCCTCGCAGTACTAAACCCTCATTTCCTATCCTGTTCTGTACAATACCACATGAATCACGTTAGCTTGTCATTGCATCTCTCTCATCTCTTGTTTCCATAGCAAGATTGTATCATTCTTTGTTAGACATCTACATTTCTTTCCAGAAGATACATGCAGAGTCAGTCACCTTTCAGCCGCATTGTCTACGCCAGCATATATCTCCTGAGGCCACGCTCGGCTAGAACACCGATCGCTCCGATTCCGACCAAAGCCAGCGACCAAGGGTTGGTTGCCTCCCTCAGGGCAGGCCAGAAGCTGTTCTTGTTCGCGCGCCACTCCTCCAACTGCATGTATTTCTTGGGTGCATCTGCCTTGTAGCGTTGCTCCTGGGACTCCTCATTCTGCTTGTCACCACCGATGAAGCGCAGGAAGGCGTAGTTGGCCAAGGGTCCTACGAGACTGAGTGGGTGGAACATGCCGTTGGCAGCAAGGAGTAGTGGGAATGAGAAGTGGACCAGAGCATCGCCAAGGTAGTTGGGGTGGCGCACGATCGAAAAGACACCACTACGGTTGAGATCGTCGCTCTTCTTCTTGTGCTCTTCGAGCTGCTGGTCAGCCAGGGCTTCCATGTTGAGGCCAGTAGTGTAGAGTCCAATTGCGAGTCCATGTAGTAAGGCACCATACTGAGGGGGCGTGGCTTCAATGCTTCCGATCGTGCCCTGCTGGAGCACTATGGACCATGAGAGTGAAATCAGGGCCTGGAAGACAGCCTCGGGCAAGAAGACGGTGAAGAAGGCTTTGTTCCAGAAACTAGTGTCCTGGTTCATGTCGTCGTATCTAGGATCGTCCCTTCCACGCTTAACGCTACGGGTCGCGATACGGCCAAACAATCGAACACCCCAGAGTGTGACACCACCGAGAAGAAGCTTTTGTGTCCAGCCAAGGGTAGATAGTGATTCACCGAGACCGAGACCGGTTTCCGAGCTACGTGCCCAGACGCCGTGATACCAGGCATTGAGCACCATTCCCGAAGGCCATAACCAGTCCTTGAGTTCGACGCGGCGAGTTACACGGCTGGCAGTGTAGGCGACAAGTGCGAGAGATGAGTGTAGGTTCAGAGATGGCAGCAGGTTGTCGTGTAGAAGTCCTAGCATGTTGGTCGTTGACGAAGCCAATGCTTGAGGCTTTAGGTTAGGCATGCGTATCTGTGAGCTTCCAGCGCCAGCCGAGTCCACTGGGATTTTCGAACCGTATGCCATTGATGTTGGATGTGATCTGGTAGAGAGTGGGTGAAACCTGGCAGCTCGTGGTTATAAAGCACGTCGGATGTGGAGTAGGTGTGACGTTATGGGCTATCAAGGTGTGATCGAGCTGCTTCATATTGTTTGCTCTATTCGTATTATCGCCATATACGATATGGGTCTGGGACACCACAGATGTTTATACCACAGGTATAAACCAAAGGAACTCGCTCTGACATGATTATGGTTGTGAGTGTTTGAAAAGGAAGTCTTAGTGCAGCAGAAAACTTGTTTCTTGAACCGATCTACTCCCATATTATTGTATTCGATATATCACTACAAACACGCCAGTACACCAGCTGAAACAATGCTGCGGATGTTCTGAACATACATAACCCATACTCAGTCCGAGAACCAAGGCCTACCACTCGTTTTACGTGATGCAGAGACATGCCAGTTTGGAGTCAGGGTGGCCCCCGAAGCATATATTCTGAAGTGTTGACCATGAATAGAACATGCGATTCGAGATAATCAACAGCAAACAGACTTCCGATATAAGGTCTGGCGATGATGAAAAGGATAGATGGCTTGCATTGTTGCTGGCGTGAGTACAGTAGCCCACACCACGAACATGCAGTCTGCGCACGCGGAAAGCTTCCAATTAGGGCCCTTTGCTCTGCTCGCTCCAGCACAGTGGCACACACAGGCTTTTGAACAGTCAAGCAAGGCTAGACACCCGCAAAGCAACCACAAAAATCCAAACACCTGCACGCTGGTGTACGGCCCGCACAGTTGAAATGCAGCGGGTTTGCTGGTTGGTTTCTGGTTCACTGACTTGCAGGCACGCGGCGCCAGGGACAAAGTACAAAGGCAGGGCTTCACAAGTGCACAACGAAGGTCAAACTTGCGGTGTGTTGAGTGTACCTCCTGTTATGGTCCCTCGCGAAAAATAGTGATGAGTACCTATCACGCAACGGTGCATCAACGAGAAGCTCAAGGTCCATCTCCCCTGAAAACGGCAGCGAAGCTTTGCAGGAGGCATAACACCAGGTTTGCTGGTGGAGCAGGACGAGAGTCGCGCCGACGACGTGTAAAGGCTGGCAGTTGTTGTCAAATGTCAGCCCGAACCAGTTCACGCATCGACCTTCGTTGAGCAATTTTGCTCTGCTGGCAGACCGACCCTGCTTTCTTCCCCCTTTCAACGGTCTCGCTCCCTTCTTACCTTTTAACGGCTTCGACGTTTTGTCGACAATGCAGAAGCGTCACCCCTGTTCACAACATGTGCAAAGGAAACAGAAAGCTTGCGCGAGGAAAACCATCCGATGGATGTACTGAGTTGATGTATATCGATGGAAAAGCTGATCATTGGTTATAGGTGGCACCCCTTGCAACCAGAGCCGACCTCTCGTCACTGCTGCGAAGCCTTGCAGCTATAGATTCAGTTCAGAGGTAATCCACAGGTAATCCACAGTAAACAACATGCACGATCGCTATGAAAAATCCACGATCAACCCGCATGCCGTTATGGGCCCTGGCTTCATGGCTTCAACATTCCATCCCCTTTCCTAGTACTCAGGTGGGGAATGCTCTGGTCTTTATAGGAGGTATAACCCATGAGAATCAAAACAAAAGTCTACATTCCCGCGACTGTTTGTTGTTTTGATACCTCATTTCCACCTCATCCTTGGGTATCGCAACGCAGTTCGCTCCTCCTGGCATATCTTATGCAACGAACCCCTACCCCCAATAGTTCATCCGAATAATCGATAGGACGGACACAACCATGCAGAGCGTTAGACATTATCCCATGGATATGAGTACCGCGCATGCGAGACCAGAGCCTAGAGAAGAGAGGCTGAGGATACCGGGGCAACCACAACAGCGTCAGATGAGGACAAAGTCTCAGCCAAACCTTAGGTCCATGGCACGTCGACAATTACCTGGTACAGGTTCCCAAGCAGAGAGCCACAACGCATACAGGACCCCCAGAGTGGTACATCCTCCTCTTCCAACCAACACTCATCGTCGCAAGCATGAAGCCATGTTCATCGAAGAGCCTCCATTCGAGCGACCATTCTCTCCCGAGTCTGACTCGGAAGAACACATGATCTTGGATTACTATCTCCAAGCATCATACCACACTCCTCTTTCTAGGGTTGTGTCAGCCGAGGAGCCCTGCAACCAGGGTGGAGCCATGGCCGCGTTTGACTTCGGCCTTGAGCACACGCCTGAGCCACCCTACAGACGTCCTCAGCCTTCGATACAACGACCAAGGACAGCACATGAGTCGTCGTCGTCGTCACGAAGACAATCTCTCTCATCGCCTCAAAGACATGCTCCTTCTTCACCTCAAAGACATACTCCTTCTTCACCTCAAAGGCATACTCCTTCTTCACCTCAGAGACAACCTCCTTCGTCACCTCACAGACAACATCCTTCGTCGCCTCAAAGACAGTCTTACACTCTCTTCCCCAAGGAGCAACAGCAACCATCAACCCCACGCATCAGCGTGATCAGCGACAATGGCAGCATCTTGTCTCATCACAGCCACTCCAGCCAACATCGCCCTCGCACCTCCTCACTAGCATCATCGGAGCGTTCGCGCTCAGACTCATGCATGTCTGTCCGCCTCCAACCCTCTGCAACCCTCTCCTCTTCCCCGTCTTCATCCCCCAAGCGTCCCCAAACCTCTCCTCGCATGCGCACAACCAGCGCGTCTTCCCAACAGCAAACCAGTCTCTCCGACCAACCTCCCTCGCGCTGGTCGGGCGAGACGGTAGACATGGTCTTGGAGTCGCCCAGATCCGGCAGAAACGCTGTAGATAGAACCAGAGATTCTTCGTCGTCGACCTTGGTGGCTACCAGCCCTGCATGGCCCACTGGCAGCTTCTTCGAGGATGACGAGGATGAGAAGTTGCCTTTGAGACGCAAGGTGGCGCAGAAGCTGAGGAGTTCGCGTTCGAGCAATGCATTGAGATCGGCTAGCAACCCTACTAGCAGTGTGGAGCAGCAGCCCAAGAAGTCTTCATGGACTCGTCGGTTGGTTACCTGGCACCGCGCCTAAACAGTATACATAGAGTTACGATTCTACGATATCTGATGAAAATTACGTTGGCCATTCAAAAACACGTTCCAGTCTCATGCCATGTAAACCAAAACAAATCTATCATCAATATTGTCATGCTTGAATAAGGGTATTGTTATGTACTGAGAAGCCCCCAAAAACGCCAACTTGTCTTTTATGTGACTAAAGACCTATGCCGGTATCCCAAAAACGCCATCATGATGCATTCGTTATCGTGTAAACATTAAGAGAGCATGCTCTCTATCGAAGCCCTGATATTCATCCAGGTACTTNNCCGTCTTTTTTTCAACTCGGCTTCGCTCATGCTGCGAACCGTCTCGACAGGCTTTTGACCGAGTATGTCTTCTTCAGGAAACCAAGTACCATGTAGCCCGTACGGAACGCGCTGTGGAAGAGCCACCCTACCAATTACTGTACGCATATCTTTGGCGTCAATGATCCAAAGTTCACTCTTCGCTCTGCTTGTAGCATCCGAATCCGAGGGCACTTCACCGTCGGGGCCCAGCTGGGACTCATCGAAGGCATATGCGATAAGGTAGCCGTCATCCTCCGTCAAAGTCTGTCCCGGATTGGCCTTGCGCGGGATGAATCTGGGTTCTTGGGCGAACCAACCAGCAGGCATACGGAAAATTTGAATCGAGTCGTTCTCGAGAGGATCTTCCACAATCTCGTGAACGGTGCGGGTATCGACGCAGCCAGTGACGGTTTCGAGCTTTCCCAAGTCGGTCAACCGATCACCCTTCTCGATCAGTGTTCTAGTGTCAATCTTGGCCAGAGCATCGATCTTGACAGAGCGGCCCAACGCCGCATTGAAAGAGGAGATTGATGTAGTGCATCCGTAGACATAGCGAGCTTCCTGCATGTCGAAATCGGGATGAACGGAGGGGAACTCGAAAGAGATGGCAGACAGTGCGTACTGGGCAGTGATCTGAGAAGATTTGAGAGAAAAAGCGTAGTGGTATAGCCGGCACTGATCATCCTCTTCGAGAATATCGTCGGTATCATCTCCTTGCTTGTCGAAGTAGGATGCGGTGGCCTGGCTGTTGTTTGTTATTTGGATTAAAGGCTCGCGCTCCAGGCCAGGTGATTCTAGAGTAGGCGCTCCTTCGTACAAGCATGTTTCATCTGCATTGTACTTGGAGAAGAAAGGCATGTTCTTTTTGACGGCCTTCACGGCGTGTTTGGTAGGTTGCGGCGCAGCAATATTGCCAGCACTGAAGACCAGAGAAGCAGATGTCAATCTACAGGTTAGCAGGTGGACGGTCTTGACCTGGCCTGAGGGATCATAGTCGTCCCAAGCGTTTGCAGTATGGAAGATGCAACAAGCAGTAGTTTCAAAGTATTTGACTTGCTCTGGATGGTGACGAGGGAACACACCAAAGCGGGCAGGCTTCTTAGGATCGTACTCGATAACAGCTTTGTTCTTGGCCAGGTTGAAAGGGTCGAGAGAAAGAGGAAGATCCATTATGATAGTGTGCTTGAGAGAGACGCCAAAGTCGTGCATCATTTTGGCGCCAGTGATTCCTGGAACTGGGCGCTGAACAATGCCCTTGTTGGTCTGAGAGCGAGCAGAGGTCGGCGGGATGATTGAGTACTGAACATATGGAGGGAGGAAGGTGGAGTGGAAAAGCATCATTTCTTTGGTGATCGGATCGACCTTTGGATGAGCAGTAGTCCACTCACGCAGGAAGCCGAGCAGGCCTTTGCCCGAGAACGAAGGGTCGTTGTTGTTCAGCTCGGGCTCGCCCTCTGCACGGTTGCCATCGTACCAGCCAACAGTTTCCAGAGCAGGGAGTGCGATGCGCATTGGTGGACCACTCTCGCATGTTGCCAGTGCTCTGCCATCATGGTAGAGGATGGCTGTGTTGGCGACGCTAATCCTCTTGATTGCACGAGTGGAACCTGGCAAGAAGGACAGAATGACAAGCACGATGGTACGGAGGATACGTAGGACGATGGTGACGAGGGACGAGAGAGGGTTGACCAGAGTTGCGATGCTGGGCAGGATGGGCGAGCGAAGGCGTGGAGAGGCGGCAGTCGAAAGAAAGATGTCGGTCAAGATATACTGGTTGACAAACTCGGGCTGGACATTGCCGTCTGCTTGCCTGGTGAACGAGACGCCACTCAGCATGCCATCGCCGTCGAACCAATGGGCATCACGACCCAAGTCCTCGTTGGACACAGGGTTGCCGCCATTGCGGACATATTCACCACCAGCAAGCTCGGATGGAATGGATCCTGAATAAGTACATTTGGTGAGAGGCAGCGTCTGGTTGATGGGGGCGAAGTTGCCCGAGAGATAGCTGTGGATGGTCAGTGTCGTGTCGAGACAAGTGTCGGATGGACAAGCATACGCGTGTTTGTGCTGTGGCGGACTCTTCTTCTTCAGCGCAAAGAGAGCCATGTCCTGTAGCAGGTCGACGTTATAGGTGAGTGCGACTCTGTTCAGGCATCGGAGTAGGCACTTTGAACATCAAAAGGCTTGTAGGACGACAATATCCGGGCTAGCAATGGCATGGCATGATTCGGAAACGCATAGCGTGACTGACACGATCAAGCGCCAAAAGCATGTCTGTCGCATAAAGTGCCGTGTAACCATGACATCAGGGCAGGTGCTGCATCATCGCTTGACTCTTGATTGACATGTGCGGCAGGTGCGACCCGTGCTTCAAAAATCGCCGATCAGGGCAGGCGGTGCCGAGGAAGCCGACGCTGCCGGTGTTGGTCTTGACTCTTCTGCCCAAGTCGAGCCTCTGTCTTGGACGCTTGCTGGCAGAGTTGCGCAACTCGACTCCGACACTCCTTTCTGTGTGCTATGGCTTTGTGACAGCCTTGGATCTAGCAATTGTCTCGNACACCATGGGCTACGACTATGCGCTTGTGTGAGAAGGCCCCCTTTCTGCTCATGCCCCCTCTTCCTCTCGCAGACTAATGACCTCTGTATACAGACACGTCAAGTACACGATCCCCCCCGCAATCGCCTTGACTCTGCTCTACCGACCTCTGTTGACCCGTCTCGATGTCTACAAGATCCTCTTCCTCGTCACCGTATGATTTGTCTCCGCCTATACATTTCCTCTTCGCCAGTCTCACTTTTTTTCAGNNATTGCTCTCGTGTCCACCACGCCATGGGACTCGTATTTGATCCGCACCCGTATCTGGTCATATCCTGAGGACGCTGTCATTGGTCCTAAGCTCTTCAATATCCCATTGGAGGAGGTCTTCTTCTTCATCATCCAGACCTACAACACTTCGCTCCTGTACCTGCTTTTCAGCAAGCCCACTTTCCACCCCGTCTATCTGCGCCGTCAGGACAAGAATGATCGCTGGAAGTACATGAAGTTGNGGGGACAGCTTCTTCTGGGTCTGCTACTCAAGAAGGCTGTGAACCTGATCAGGGCTGAGGGTGCTGGCACATATATGGGTCTGATCCTCGTCTGGGCGGTCCCATTCTTGCTTTTGCTATGGTCGCTGGCATATCAGTTCATCCTCGGTCTGCCTGTCACCAACACTCTGCTACCAATCGCTCTTCCAACGCTATACCTCTGGGTCGTTGATACACTGGCTCTCCGGAGAGGCACTTGGGTCATCGAATCTGGTACTAAGCTTGGAACACATCTTTGGCCTGGCTTGGAAATCGAGGAGGCTGTCTTCTTCCTCCTTACAAACACACTGATTGTTTTTGGTCTTGTGGCCTTCGACAACGCCGTCGCCATTCTCAACGCCTTCCCCTCCCACTTCCCTTCCGTACCCGCCCTTCCCTCACCTGTGCTCCTGGTCCGGGCTCTGCTACTTCCAGCCGCTGCATACGACGAGGACCGTATTGAGGGCTTGTCCGAAGCTGTTGAGCGACTTCATCAGAAGAGTCGAAGTTTCTATCTGGCTAGTGCAGCTTTCTCTAGCCGCCTGAGAGTGGACTTGATCGTTCTGTACTCTTTCTGCCGCGTGGCTGACGATCTGATCGACAATGCCGCCTCGCCCTTGGAGGCTCGCAAATGGATCAAACGCCTCCGTACCTTCCTTGATCTCTCTTACAAAGCTAAAGACCCGATGGCACACGACCAGAATATTGGAAGTATCGTCCGACATGTTGTCACTGAATTTCCTCGAAGCACTCATACTGCATTGCTACAGCTACCTACCTCGCGCCTCTCTTCCAAGCATCTTTACGACCTTCTCAAAGGGTTCGAGATGGACCTCGGATTCCAAACAAGCAAGGGAGCTCAGCCTTCTACTTTCCCTATAAAATCAGAGTACGACTTGGATGTGTACTCATCACGGGTTGCTGGCACGGTAGCTGCTATGTGTATTGAGCTCGTTTTCTCTCACTACCCAGGAGAAGTGTCACCCAAGCAACAGGAGCAAATACTGGATGCTGGAAACACGATGGGGATAGCTCTTCAATACACCAACATTGCTCGTGACATCAGCACGGATGCTCTGTTACAGCGTGTCTACTTGCCGACAAATTGGCTAAAGGAGGAACACTTGACGCCTGAACAAGCGATTCAGGTTTTCACGATCATGGATGCCAAACCTACCCTTGGCGCCGAAGACCAAATATTCGTGTCCAAGTTAGAACGACTGAGACATCGTCTGTTGGACCGATCGTTTGCATTGTACGAGGACTCGCGTGGTGCGATTGACAAGCTACCCTCAGAAGTACGTGGACCTATGCGTGTTGCTACGGAGAGCTACATGGAGATTGGACGGACACTGAGGCAGCCGGGCTACAGGGTCAGAAAGGGCAAGGCAACAGTAGACGGCTGGCGAAGGCTGGCAGTGGCTTGGAAAGCGCTGCAGTGATACATAAAGTAGAGATACCCTGTTCATATGCATCATAATGTAATTCCCTGCTCGATCACGTTATGGTGGTCTGACCAAGATGGAGTCTGAGTCGTGAAGCGTGATACAGTTTTGATATGCATGGGTGGAGCGCTCGGGCCGTAGCGTGACGGTGGGGTTGGATGCGAACCACGCGATTGTCGATGGTCGATGGGGGCGTGTTCGGAGCTGCACGGCAAAACGCCATGTTGAATGCTTGGACATTATCTGCTTTACATCATGTAGCCGCTTACTGTTACCTGCCAGTTCCTTTGCGGTAGGCATATTGATACTCGAATCCAACCATGAGCGGCACCACCCACCAAAAGACGGCCATTGTCGTAGGTGTGTACCGGAGACATCGCCGCCGATAGACACAAGACGCTGACAGATGGTGCTACANNGGCGCTGGAGCTGGAGGAGTCTCGACGGCCGCGCGACTGGCCAAGGCGGGTTTCAAGGTCACTGTGCTCGAGAAGAACGACTTTACCGGAGGCCGCTGCTCCCTCCTACATCATGAGGGCTGGGTGTGTATCACTGCATCCGAGGTCCTATATGTGTCTGCACGAGACTGACGACAATAATCCAGCNGTTTTGACCAAGGCCCGTCCCTACTTCTCCTCCCGCGCATGTTCCACAAGACGTTCGCCGACCTCGATACAAGTCTGGAAGCCGAAGGAGTACACATAGTCAAATGTGAGCCAAACTACAACATGTGGTTCGGCGATGGCGAGAAGTTCCAGCTCTCGACCGACCTGGTTCTGATGAAGGAACAGGTTGAAAAGTGGGAAGGCAAGGACGGATACTCAAGATACCTCTCGTTTCTCCGAGAAGCCCACAACCACTACGAACTCAGTGTCGAGCATGTGCTATCACGCAACTTCACCAGCATTACCTCCATGCTGCGACCTAGTTTCCTCAGCCGGGTCTTCGAACTACATCCCTTCGAAAGCATTTACAGTCGTGCATCAAAGTACTTTTGGACCGAGAGACTACGCCGCGTTTTCACCTTTGCGAGCATGTATATGGGCATGAGTCCCTTCGACGCTCCCGGAACATACAGTCTCTTGCAGTATACCGAACTGACTGAAGGCATCTGGTATCCAGTTGGAGGCTTTCACAAGGTGAGCGCAGTAGATCAAGTCGAGTAGCGTCCCCAATGCTAACATGCTTGCGCAGNNGTCATCGAGGCACTGGTCAAGGTTGGTGAGCGACTGGGCGTAACCTACAGACTTTCGACCCCAATATCCAAGATCACTCTCTCCCCTGATGGTCGACGAGCTACCGGAGTTGTTCTTGCTAATGGCGAGACTCTGACCGCCGATGTTGTGGTTAACAATACTGATCTAGTTTATGCCTACAACAACTTCTTGCCTCCTACGCCTTACGCAGAGTCATTGGCCAATCGCGAAACATCCTGCAGCAGTATATCCTTCTACTGGGCATTGGACCGCAAGTTGCCAGAACTCAACGCCCACAACATCTTCTTGGCGGATGAATATAAGGAGAGTTTTGATTCCATTTTCAAAAAGAATCTGATTCCGAACGAACCCAGCTTCTATGTCAATATTCCTAGCCGACCGGACCCCACAGCTGCTCCTGAGGGCAAGGAAGCCGTCGTCGTGTTGGTGCCGGTTGGACATCTCCTTGGCGACCACGAGAACCCTACAAAAGCTGTCACAAGCTCGGACAAGGATATCCAACAGAGTAGTGCCAACGGAAAGATGACGAACTCGAAATCTGCAGATGGCATCAAACCAGCCGAAACTCAAGACTGGCCCAAGATGATTGAACTCGCACGCAAGACAATTCTCACCACCATCGCCAAACGGACCGGTGTTGACATTGAGCCACTGATTGTCCATGAGATTACAAACGACCCCATAACATGGCGTGAGTCTTTCAATCTTGATCGCGGAGCTATTCTGGGATTGTCGCACTCGTTCTTCAACGTGTTGTCATTCAGACCAGCCACGCGTGCAAGACGAGGTGGCTGGCTAGATGGTCGCTTTGGTGGCGGCATCGTTGGCAGAATCGGCGAGCTTCTCTTCAGTGGAGGCAGCATTGAGCGTCTGTACATGGTTGGCGCCAGCGCTCATCCTGGCACAGGCGTACCAATCGTGCTAGCAGGTGGCCGCTTGGTTGCGGAACAGGTATGTCAGGACCTCGGTGTAGAGATTCCATGGCAAACCGGATCCACCAAGACTGAGCGGACTGGCGTGTTGGATCAAGTCCAGACTTCCCTCACGCTCGAGTGGATTGTCTACATGCTCCTTGCACTGCTTGTGCTTGCTATTGGTATCTTCCTTGGTAAGCAAACATAAGCCTTCTAGCACGGAGGACCCTAGATTTCTCTAATGAATAGACTTTGTAATATCCACCTGTCCAAGCCATGGTTTCTTGTTCCTTGATCCCTGAGATGACCGTTGTCAGTCATGCATCGATTTACCTAATTACTTGAGCCCAACCAAAATCAGGTGAGCTGGCGCTGTTCCCGCAGGATGCCGGTCCCAAAAGCTCACAGATCCTGAAGCACGTCCTGTCACCCTGTGGTGAACCTGCAGTTCTGCGGTGAAGCCTTTACGTGGGTGACACATGTGAAAAAAATAGCAACTGCTAGCGAATTCGGTGCACACCCTTATCGGCATCTTCGGCCCATGGCGGAATGCCACGATCGCATGTTGTTGTTTGGAAAGTCAAATTTCCTGCTTAATGCGCCATCTATCTAGTTGGTCGTAGATAGATGAGATATGAATAATAGAAGACGCATCACTTCGAAATGCATAGTCATTAAAATCTATTGCTGCGCGATACGTACAGCATGTGACCAGGTTCGAACACATGCCACGAAGATGTCACGCAACCATGGCCGCTAAATTGAACCCTCTTTTCACATGCGTCTGCATACAGGTACGGTCGGCACGACATCAGACGACATATGAAAGGGAGGGTACGTCATGGACGATTACCAGGGAACATGGCAACGTCTGCCAAAGTCAAAAGGTCAAAAATCAGCTCAATGGCAGTTGTTTTTCGATGCCGAAGGGATCATGATGGATGAGATTTAAGTTTGGTCTCCGAAGTTCAGTCAAGCTTTCTGAGATCGGAATGCGGAAAGGGCTTGGACTGCTTGGTGGCTTGATGGCGTCGCAACTGAGAGCCGGATCCCAAGGCCGCTGATGTCGATGATGTCAGGGATGTTCTACTTGACTTACGATAAGCAGACTTGATAGCGGATATTTTGCACGTTTGGTGACGGTAGTGGTGAGGTTGCTCATGGAGCCTTCGGACGCTATGCTGATTTAGTGAGCTGGTGTAAGAGGCCCTGCAGTACGATCGTGAATACTCGATGGCGCGTTGGGCCTGTGCGACTACCCGTAGATCACTCTGGCGAGGGGGGTTTGCGTTGTAAAGTGAGTAGTGACGGGAAACGAGGAAGAGTCCTCGATCGAAGAGTAAAGCGATGTTTCACTCGCATCTCGTCATAGTGTGATGCGAAAACAGATTGGCTTGACCGCATCGTTCCGCGCATTCCTTCCACCGCGTTTATAAACTACAACTCCCCTCGCCTGCTCGCCATCATCCATCCACACTCTTCTCATCGAGCATTGCTTTCTTCATCTCATCCACACCACTCAAGATGGCTGGAAACAACGCCCTCAACGTCAATGGTAAGCCTATCACTTCTTTGCACCACTATACACAGCGCGCTGACCATGCTTGCGCGCAGGCAACACTGTCAACGGCAGAACTGTCGACATTGCCATCACCGTTCGCGGTTCTGACTGGTACTGGGCCGTCTGCGCCGTCATGACTGCTTGCACCTTTGTCTTCCTTGGTCTGGGCATGACCAAGCCTCGCCAGCACCGTGTCTTCCACTACATCACTGCTTCCATCACCATGGTCGCTGCTATCGCCTACTTCTCCATGGCCTCCAACCTCGGCTGGACCCCTATCGACGTCGAGTTCCTTAGACCTGGCGACCCTGAGGTTCGCGGCATCAACCGCGAGATCTTCTATGTCCGCTACATCGACTGGTTCATCACTACTCCTCTTCTTCTCATGGACTTGATGTTGACCGCCGCCATGCCCTGGCCTACCATTCTCTTCATCGTCCTGGTTGATGAAATCATGATTGTCACTGGTCTCGTTGGTGCTCTCGTCCGCAGCTCCTACAAGTGGGGTTACTTCGCCTTCGGTTGTGCTGCCCTCGCCTACATTGTTTGGATCCTTGTCTGGGAGGGCCGCCGTCACGCCAACGCTCTCGGTAACGACGTCGGCAGATGCTTCACCTGGTGTGGCTCGCTCACAACCATGCTCTGGATCTTGTACCCCATCGCATGGGGTGTCTGTGAGGGTGGCAATGTCATCTCTCCCGATTCCGAGGCTGTCTTCTACGGTATTCTCGACTTGCTCGCCAAGCCCGTCTTTGGTGCTCTTCTCATTTGGGGCCACAAGGGCATTGACCCTGCCCGTCTCGGTCTCTACATCCACGACTATGACGAGAAGGACCCCTCTGTTAAGGACAAGGTTGGCGCTCCTGGCCCCAATGTCCACCCCAACACCACCAGCGGTGTTGCCACCAATGGCCAGACTACTGAGACCGTCTAAATTTGCAATGCATAGTCATTAGCATTTGGCGTTGTCTGGACGTTCGCCTCGAACGCCTCAAAGTGTCTCCTACGATTCTCTTTGACTAAATTAATAGCAGTTACCCTGCTGCGATACCCACGAGCATGCTTGCATGTTCAACCTTGCTTTCCACATTTCTTCCTTCACGATCACGACCAGGGGATGACGACGAAGACTTTATTCTGTACAATAATACACTAATTCATGCCAAACGCATGCATACCCATACACATCCTTGACTCTACATTCTTGACTCCATACATATATGTGCCGATTATGAGTTTGTCTGTCTAGAAAGACTTTATAAGTATCTTATTTGTGCGACCAATTTGTATGCATCTCGCAAGCGAACTTCCAAGGCGCTTGCAATCCTTCACCGCCTCCCCGCACCACCCACGTCGCTCAACAGTTCTTGTATGAGTATGACAAACAAGCAATGTAGCAACAGTAGACTAATGCCGGTTTCTTGCTTGTTTGAACCTGGACCTTACATACATCATATGAACAGATCTGACCACTACGCCTCGAGTTGTGAACTTCTTCTGGAGATAGCATGTCTTTACGACCCGAGGACCATCGCTCATCGCGCTCAAGGTCCAAATCGCACTCGCGACGTGACCGATCGCGTTCACATAGCAATGTGCGAAAAACACACAATGTTACTCCGGACAGGCCTGCAGAGTATGTCTATGCCAACACCCCTGCCTCGGTACCACGTCACATTTCACCGGTAGTAACCATGCCCACGATGCCCGCCATGCCGGGTGATTATGACGACGAGTATACCGTCAATCCTGGAAGCAATTTGCGTAGCGATGGGCAGCATTTACCATACCCTGTTGTGGGACAGCTGCCTTACCCGACTGTACCACAGGAGATTGATATGGGCGACTACAAGGATTTCCCGCCGCACGAACGGCCTGGGTATGTTGCGTCTAGGGATGCACATGATGATGACTCTGATCTGGCGTATGGGACTCTGCCTTTGCCCGAGACCAGAAGGGGACGCGGTAGCAGTGTGAGTAGCCTGCGTGCTCCCTCTCCATCAGGCTATGCGTCTACCTCTTATCGGTATCCTGCATCTGGCGGCCCTCAGGAATCGCAGTATACCACATCCAAGCCTCCATCTGGACAGTCTCAGCAGTATCAGTATTCTCAGCCTAGACCTGATCAGCCATCAGCACGCCATGACTACAATACTCAAACATATGGCCCAGTTGCTGGAAAGCAACCTCAGACCTCTCTCAAAGCTCAAACAATCGATGTGACGCCTGGTATCTCCAAGCAGACCAATCTTGGTCTGACAGTGCGTATGGATCGTTTGTCGGTCAGTGGCAATCGGCCAGACATAGCTGGAATATTGCCTCCACCTAGTCCATTGCTAGAAGCATATCGTGGAACCTATCAATCCGTATCTCCAATGATAGCACCGATGAAGTTATCTTCGGACAGTGATCTCGACAGACTGTCCTCGCTTTCACCCGGCCCATCGTCCGACAGCAAGCATCACAGACGATCCAGGAGCAGTACCAGCAAGATCGACTTTGTCGGCTCTGGCTCAGAGGCCAACGCCAAAGAGCCCAAAAAGCGAGCCAGACTCTACGATGCCGAAAAAGACGCACTGGCTCTCAACGAAGCAATCTCGCACCACAGAATTGACATCGACACAATCTGCAAGATCCTTCCTAACCTAACACACGACCAAGTTCTTGAGCTTCGCAAAGAGTACAAAAAGCACATCAAGGTCCAAGGTCGAGGCATCAACATCGCCAAACACATGAAGATGAAGCTCTCGGGCAACTTTGGCAAAGCGGTATACGTGTGCGCGCTCAGCAGATACGAGAGCGAAGGCTACTGGGCAAACTTCTGGTATCAGTCGCACAGCAGCCGGCGCGAGCTACTGATCGAAAGCCTGATGGGTCGCAGCAATGCCGAGATCAGACAGATCAAAGAGTCGTTCAAGGATAAACGCTACAACGACGACTTGGTCAGGTGTATGGAGAAGGAGCTCAAGCCAGACAAGTTCCGTGTTGCTGTGCTGACCGCACTCGAGGCCAGAAGACAGGAGGAGAATGAAGTGTATCCGAGACAATATGTCGACAAGGATGTTGATGTCTTGAACAGATGTCTGACAGCCAAGGAAGGCGGAGAAAGCACAATGCTGGAGGTTGTGGTTAAGAGGAGTGATGCACATTTGCGAGAGGTGTTGAAGACATATGAGCGTAGACATGGTGTCAATTTTGCAAGGGAAGCACTGAGGAAAAGCAATAATCTGGTGGTGGGTCAAACACTGTTTCCTTTTACTGTGAGGTTATACTGACCAATCTGACAGGGAGAGGTAATCTGCCACATCCTCAACGGGGCAATCAATCGACCAGCACGAGACGCTCTCCTCCTCCGCCACGCTATCGACGACATCAGTTCCCACAACCGAGACGAAGAGTTACGCTACGAGCTGCTCATCTCAAGACTAATGAGAGTGCATTGGGACCATGCACATCTAAGTCGTGTAAAGCGCGAGTACGCGGAAAAGTACCGCAAGAACCTCGAGCATGATATCGAGGACGCGACCAAAGGTGATTTCAGAGAGTTCATGTATGAGATCTGCAAGATGTGAGTAGTTGAGAAGGGAAAGGGGATGAATGCATGAGATGATGGTTTACGAAGCTATGAAGTTCTTGTCATGTCAGGTCTGCTCAGACATATAGCACATATCATTAAAAGTTGTGTCCTTCAGTCTATCATGAGGCCTTGTTTACAGCAGATTGAAAAGTGTTGACATGGAGGTATGCCTGGACTCGAACCATGCATATGTGAAAGTCGGTGTGCAGGTGGTCCGGGTTATGGTGGTAGTCGGACCCAAAGTGTTCACAAAGGTAGCTGCGAATGAGCAAGGGAACGGAGGCAAGTCATTTTCGGAACAGTTCATACGACTTTGTCTGGTAGAGGGCCCCGTAGAGGAAGCCACTCTCCATCTTCTCTCTTTTGTCTTTTCGTTTGTGGACAGCCAGATGAAGTTTTGTCATTGTCTTCATATTGTTTTCCCCCTTTCCACGGCGGGCAGCCACAGGTTAGGCCATGACCAGTTGGGAAATCCACATTTGTTGCAAAAATAATCTCATTGCCCTAATGCCGAAAAGAAGAAACTCCCCTGAATCAATGCCCTGACCTAGCAACAACGCGCGTTTTTGTGTCATTCAGATGTTTGATCAACCTCATCCTTTGTCTTTAAGGAGAAGTCATCGTTTAGGCGGAGGCGTTGGTAGGGCCACGGGCGCCCTTGGGGGTGCCGGTGCGGAAGCCGTTGCTGAACTTGCGGGAGACGAGCTTCAATGAGCGCATGCGGCCGGTACCGGTGGTCTTTNNTCTTCTCTTGGCCTTCTCGCCCCAGTTGACTGTTTGGCTCTATGTCAGATGTGTGTTCTCATGTATCAATGAAGGATGTGTGGTGGTGCTCGGGTGCGGGATGTTCATGTGTCGGAGAATGTCGATCGGCTGTTCGTAGACCACAATGGCAGTGTCGGAGAGGTGGTGCTCGGAGGTAGGAGAGGTATAGGATCAGAACGTACACTTTCTGATGCTAGCGCTGGGGTAGCCGCAGTTGGAGCAAGTGTGCTTCTGGACGTGGAGAGAGCGGGAGCCTNNGTGTTCGGTCGTCCGTCAGCATTTCGAGTCCGGGAGATTGATCGAGGGCCGTCGTTGTCGTCGGTGGAGGGAGTGCATACCGCAGCGTCTGCACAGAACGTGCGTCTTGTTGTGGCGCTTGCCGAAAGATCCAGTACCCTTGGCTGCGCGCAGATGTTAGTTATCCAGAATCCATCGCTCTGACAAGAGTATACGGGCGGCGACTAACTCATTTTGAAGTATCGACTGTGCGGCTGGCTGTGAGAGGGTCGGTCGTGTCGCTGTCTGCTCGAGAAATCTTGTGGGCTTTGCGAATTCTGTCTGGTGCGTCGCGGACCGCTTCAAGCCTTGGCGGTCAGGTGCGACCGGGGATTTGCCGCGTGGCTGGCTGGACGATCGCTCCTTCCTCGACCATTCACTTTTAGAACATCACTTGCTGCGCTTGATGTTTACAGACAAAACACAGGTAACTGACAGCCTGGAACTGCGATGCGTACTTGGGTTTGTCGGAGTGAGATTCTAGTCTTGCTGAACTCTTGGCTCCATTCTTCTTATTGCTCAACCGGTAGCTGAGTGCACTGTGCAAGTACGCAGTATGCTCCTCCAAGAAACTCCACTCTTCGTCAAGCTCATTCCTGACGTTCGCCTCGAGCATCTGCGCAGTCATTCACACTTTCGTCGGTCATGCTTGAATCTCGGAAAGTAGTGTGTCTGGATTCGTTGACATCTATATATCATTCAGTCGTCCCATCGGTCACTGATACATCGTACTTTTGTGTCATGAGCGAACCGACACGCTGTGCTATTAAAAAAAATCAGGCTGGCTCGTTTTCAAATGCCTTCTCGTCGCCAATTCACCAAACACCAAGCAAAAGAAAAGGGGTGTACGTCTAGAATCGAAATAAAGGCCAGCCCACCAATCAGAAAGGTAATAGTACATAAGACATTATTTGGCAACAGTGGCCTTACATGGCACTTGGGTAACGGCCAGGAGGTGTCAGCCCGGTGGGATTAGGACGTGGCATTCCTCTACCACGACCGCCTCGAGATGCACCGCGCATGCCAGGCAACATGAAGTCTGGGTTTTGGCCGAGAATCATATCATTTTGCTCGTTCCTGCGTTGCTGTGGTGGGCCTGCCGCTGATCCAGGGCCGTAGCCTGGTGGTGGACGCCAGTTAGGGTTGACGCCACGCTGACTAACTGACGTGAAGTTGCTGGTGTCGGACATAGCAGGTGACAGAGCACCCTCTAGGTTCTCATAAGAGCTGTCCCTGTCCAAAGGTGGCCCTTCGTGATCCTGACCAGCATGTAGACGATCGGGTGTAGGGTGACGCACGGTAGGGATTGGAGGACCAGGGGTCAAAGTAGTCGGAATCGGGGCACCCACCATGGACGATTCATCAGCAGCAGCGAAGCGAGGGTCAACGTCTTCATAGTATGACTCAGAGCCAGCGCGTCTATGACGGGATGTCGGGGATGCCTGAATGGGCGAGAGGGGAGGTACAGAGTTCATCTGGGTCGCGGGTGCAGGGGCGTGTCTGGGAACAGGAGGTGCATCCCAACCGACTCGTGGTTGCACATATGTTCTGTATGTGTTAGAATAAACTTTTATTTCACGGGCGTGATTGGTGTTAACTTACGATTCTGAGTAGATGCTTGACGGAGTAACTGGCTCACCGCCGCTTGGCTGTCTTTGATTGACGGGTGTGATGTCTCTTCGAGGACGGGGTAAGGGCTGACCTGCGCCAGCCATTCCGGGCATTTCGTGTTCGTAACGAGTGGGTGATTGGATAGCAGGGCTCCCAGTTCTCTCGTCCATTTCGATAGCTTGGCCGATGATCTCGCCATTAACAGGGTCCTCAGGAGAGCCGTTTCTGCGAGGGAATGGACCAACACCGGGAGGAGGAAGGGGATCGTTGCTGTATCCTGGAGGGGGACCACGCTGGCCGCGACCCATCATCATCGGGCCAGGACCGGGACCGGGGCCCATTCCCCTGCCTTGTGGACCGTTCCAACCAGGAGGAGGTGGTCCTCTCATACCTTGAGGACCACCTCTGCCGGGACCGTAACCACCTCTCGGGCCTGGACCAAAAGAGCCACGAGGTGCAAACCCACCTCTGGGAGGACCGTAGCCTCCGCGAGGAGGATAACCGCCTCTGCCACGTCCATAGCCAGGAGGAGGAGGCCCCATGCGGTTAGGGTTTTGAGGCTCATGGGCGCCATCAGAAGTCTGGCGCATCAACATGACCGGAGGGTTGGCGTTTTGCTGCATGTTGTAAGGGTCTGCGGGCTGAACAGGCATAGGCGGGAGTTCGTCGTCCATTGGGCGTGTGCTAGGAGCTGTACCATTGCTTCTGAGGGATGGCGCTCTAGGGTTGAGCGGAGCACGGTCATCACTTCTCCTTTCGTTGCTCTTGGTTTCGAACGACGCGAATTGAGGTTCTTTGGAGTTGTCGAAAGTGCCGTTCATTGGCGGAGGGCTGTCTGCTCTGGGCAGTTCATCGGCCATCAGACGCTCATTCTGCAGGTTGTTGTAGTAGTTTGCGCCGTTCATCTCGGCGTTCTCAGCGATGCGCTTCTTGCGAGCTTTTCTTGATACCAGAGTCCTTCTCATGGCGCAAGTGACAACACCCGAAGCGATGATGAGAATGGTGGCCGCCAGGACAATCCATCCTCCCCACTGCATGTGTGGAACGAACAAAAGGATGTCGACCAAGAAAGCCAAGAGAGCAACCAGCAAGGTAGGGAATGTCAGGATGAGCAGAGCCAGAAGATAGCGAGGAGAGTGGGCAGGCGAGTGGAAATGAGCGGCCACGGCCAGTGCGAAGCAAATGAGCGTCAAGAGGGCTGCGATAGGGTGGACGATGAGAATGGACGAGAGCGAGGCTCGAGTGCTGGATGGCAGAGAGAACTCATTGTTGTCGGCGGCGGAAAATAGTTTATCNTAGAGGACGCAGTCAGAGGAAGAGTGATCGGCGTAGCTTGATAGATGCAGCGTACCTGTGTCGTATCCAACTCTCATACCACTGCATTTTCCGTTTTGGCAATAGCCAAAGACTCCAAAGTCGACACCATCGAACTGGGCCAAAGGAATGGCCTGGATAATGGGCGTCGAAAGGGTGCTTAGCAACAGCAAGACAAAGGCGATGAAGAACAGGATAGAAAGCGGAGTCGCTGGCCGCAACATGGTGGGCAGCGTGGGGTGCGACCTGGTATGGCGTGGGCGAAGACGACAGCGACAGCGGTATTATAGTGATTAACTTGAATGTGCCCCTGCTCCAGAGCGAGTGTGGTCTCTTGCGCTTATGCGCTCCGAGGCAAGAATGAAGGAGAATGGAGGCGCAGCAGGATGGACACGCGGATGGGAAGAAGAAGAGAGTTTGGAGAGCAGCAGAGAGTGGAAGGAGAAGAGGCAGCAGATGTCGTCGCAAGACACGGCGCAACCAGCACGTCGTTGGTGGGATCGAACTGGACAACGATGGAGAGGGGGCTAAGTTGTGGCGCGCAATCGAGGCAGGCCTAACCACCGTAGCTTTCCCATCTTCTACTGCTTGTCCCCTCTCCACACCAACGACCAACTCGTGGCAGCCCGGCCAACGCCAGTAGACCCGTTGTCTCGCGAGCTGTTGCTGTGCCTTTTCCCTTCTTCGCTCCTGTATCTCCTGCGCAACTGGCCAACGTTTCTTTTCTTCCATCTGTTCTCCAACACTCGCAGCCATCAATGACATCTGCAAGATGTGAGATTCATGCCGTCTCGAGTCCGAGACGAGCACGCGGCACCCCCAGAAGACGCGAGGGCACTAACTTTTCTTAGTCCAGCCTCATTAAACTTGATTCGATGTGTTGCGCCGATGCCTCATCTCTTATCCATGTCGCATCTAATCTCAGCTTCGCATGACTTGCTCTCCTACTTGACTCTTGCTCGAGCTGTGTTGACTTAGACGTGCGTCACTTGGATTGACAGCAACTCTCGTCTCTGGTGTCCTTCTATCTTGCTTCTGCACTTCCCTCGAACCCCTCGCCTGTACTAGCTCCAACTTTATATCCCCGCAATATCAGCCTTTTGACAACCCCCCTGACACGAAAGGGAAGGACGGGCTTGGCCTATCAAGCCCAACAATAAGCCGATGCATATTTCCTTTGATGAAGTCGAAAAGATAGGCGACTACCTGCCGCTTCTCACCCCGCTGTCGCGCGACACGGACTGACCTCTGCAACTCGAAGGAAAAATTCATAAAGGTACATGAGGATCATCACGAAGCTGAAACTAACATCCTGCGGGTGTGCTGTCGTGATGAAACTAAGGCAGGTACCCCCTTTCTTAATTCATATAACACATCCTAGTAACAACTCTCACGACCTTCTTTCTTCACTACTCTGCTGGCCAGTAAGAGCCCATGCTATCGGACTGTATCGATACTGACGAAGTCTATAAGAAGACCCGTCCTCGGTAGGGATATCGGCTCTTTGTTCTTCGCATGGAGGACCAAGCTTAACAGTCTCGAAACGCATGAAACGAAAACAAGATGCAACTGTCAGTTGTTTTGGCAATCGACTTCACGTCATGCGCGTCTGCAGTCTGATATGACAACATCGAACAGGCCTTGAAGGATGTCGCTATATCCTCCGCGAGTACAATACTTTCACAGTGTAGCTATAGAGATGCACAATACTTTTCGTGAGAGAGCAAGATCCACAGAGAGATGGCCGTCATTGGGCATCTCCGTGGCATACTTCTATGTAGAAGGAGACTGTAGTGCTCTTTTATAGTATGCCATGTTAACATGTGTCTGTACAGGAGAGAGAGGGTCGGTTGTAATGTTTGCCTGGTTCAATTCTCGATCACTCGCCTAGTGTGTGATCTTGCATATTTGGATTTGATTTATCAAACATACATGTATATGTATTTGATCTTCAGATATCACTGCTTGACCTTTTCACAAGAAGAAGAATAAATACAAGTCAGGGTGTCACTGTCAACTTGGGGTCATGTTCAAATGCTCGACTTCGGGAAGCCCGGAGTGTGATGTCACTGATGGTCGTCTCACTTGACAAAACATCTCTCGATACTCAACAAAACACCTCTGCATCCAAGCAAGAATAATCAAAATGGCCAAAGTCATTCTCTCAATCAACGCTGGCTCATCCTCCGTCAAGGTGTCCGTCTTCAGAGGAAGCTCCAAAGATGCTGAGCCCTCCCAGCTTGCCGAAGTGTCAGTTGCTGGATTGACTGCACCTCCCTCGACCCTGACATACAAACGCGGAGATCACAAGATCAAGGACGAGGAGATTGAAGGGGTAAGCACGCAGGAAGATGCATTCAAGTACATTCTTGAGCACCTCCTGAATGATAAAGATCTGCCCGAGCTCAAGAACAAGGAGGACATTGAGTTCGCATGCCACAGAGTTGTCCACGGAGGAGACTTTGACAAGCCTACACGAATTGACAAGGAGACTTATCACCACATCGAAGAGCTTTCTGATCTTGCACCTCTGTAAGCTATTCAATTCTAATCTCTGATCACGGCTAACCAGCATCGTAGCCATAACGCAGGTGCCTTGACCATCGTCAAAGCTGTTCATGAGCAACTACCTAAGGCAACCAACATTGCTTTCTTCGATTCAGCGTTCCACTCTTCGGTGAGTTTGAATCACAAGAGGAAACAAGAATTCGGTCTGATGTTTCATGTCATAGNNATCCCAGAGCACGTCCGGACATACCCCATCGACCAAGAGCGAGCAAAGCACAACAAGCTTCGCAAGTATGGCTTCCACGGTCTCTCATATGCATTCATTACCAGATCAGTGGCCGAGTCGCTTAACAAGCCTGTCGACTCTCTCAACATAATCGCTCTCCATCTTGGAAGTGGTGCCTCTGCATGCTCCATCGTCAACGGAAAATCCTTCGACACTACCATGGGCTTGACACCCTTGGCTGGTCTTCCCGGTGCAACCAGATCAGGCTCTGTCGATCCCAGTCTGATATTCCATTTCACGCACACTGCTGGAAAGCCCAGTCGCAGCAGCACTAAGGATCTGCACATCACCGAGGCCGAGGAGATTCTCAACAAGAAGAGTGGATGGAATGCTATCGCCGGCACCACTGACTTTGGCGTGATCAGCTCAAAGGCAGAGCAAGGTGACAAGGCATGCCAGCTCGCTTTCGACCTGTTTGTCGACAGAATCCTGGGTTTCGTTGGTGGCTACTACGTCAAGATGGGCGGTAAGCTCGATGCTCTGGTGTTTGCTGGTGGTATTGGAGAGAAAGGCAGTCAACTTCGTGCTCGTGTGGTCGAGCACTTGAACTGCCTTGGTCTCGAGCTTGACGAAGCAAAGAACAAGAAACCCGATGACAAGGAAGTGGTGGACATTTCGAAATCTGGATCCAAGCACAAGGTCCTCATCTGTCAGACGGACGAACAGACCGAGATGGCAAGGCAATGTGTGCAGAACGCGGACGACTTCCGCAAGCAAGCCTAAGAGGGCTTGAGAAGCATAATAGCCTTGTATGACCAAGTTACAGTAATGACCAGATCGCGATCAAAGGTATAGCATTATTAATTATGATAAACTCACAGACTCGTTGGGTACTCGCTTCCGCCTTCGCCAGTCTTTTCTCGTGCCTATAAGCTCGTCCAAGACCACACTCCGTCGCAGTCGTTCAGGAGGCCGAACAGGTGGTTCTGCCGGCGTGACAGGTGCAGGCGCAGGAGTTACAGCTGGAGCACTGCGACTCTTGGGCTTGATCATCAACAAGATGAACATACCAGCGACTATGAGGACTAGCAGCAAGATAATTTTCCGCTTTGTCGACTTCTTCTGGTATCCTGTAGCGACCTTCAACTCCTTCTCGGCCTGTTTGACTTCTGTTGTCATGTTCTCGACGTTGTAGTCGATGCGATCCAGCATGCTACCTTGGTCGATGACCATGGTCTGCAACTCCTGGAAAATGTTGGACAAGTCGATGATGCCTTGTGCAATGTCCTCAATTTCACGCTCTCGCTGGGCAATGGTCGAATCGTGCAAGCCGGCAGAGCGTTGCTTTTGCTTGGTTTGTAAGAGAGTAGTTTGCGCCGAGCTGCGATCGATCTCGGAGTCCATGAGGGAAGGATCGGTGTAGGGATTCTGAACAGGGGACGTGGCTCGATCGAGGGGTGAACTCATGCCACCGAGGGCGCGTAATTCTGCAGTTGTTGTCAGTCATGATGGGAGAGTTGTTTGAGGACAAGGAACAAGCATACTCTTGAGATAAGCAGACTGCTTCTTGCGGAACAAAGCACTGCTGTCTCCCACCTTCGTAGCCAGTGAAACTTTGAGGTTCTGTGCCATGGTCTCCTCTCCTCTGCTCAGGCTTCCGGTTTGCTGCGACTCCTTGACCATGTTGTCGATTCGACGGATAGCTCGTTGACAGGTCTGGAAGCCTCTGGTAATCTCTTGAGTCATGGCCTCGATCTCGCGCTCTTCCCTCCTCTTGACCTGCTCATCGTCGAAGCCTGGCAGCACGTGCTTCTGACACAATTGATCCAACTTCTTGATCTGTTTGGTGATGTTTTCCAGCCATTCGTTGACTTGGTCCTGCACGTCGAGCCAACGCGGCGGTAGACGGTCCATTTCAATCACAGCATCTCCATCGTCGAAAGCACCAGCGGACATGAGCCCTCTGGTTTCCTCTGATTCGGCGGCATTGTCGGCGAAGCCTCCTGCGATTCGGGACTTTTTGGTTGTGGGATGATGTGAATAGGACTGGCGGTATGAAATAAAGNNCTGCAAAGGGAGACATGGTCAGTTTGGTCTAGTAATGCATGGTTGCTTTGGGTTCAAGTACAGATTGGTTCTATCGCGCCACATGATGCGCAGTTATGGGGAGAGTTCGAATTAACATGGAACAGAAGACGGCGGCATGGGAAACAGTCTGTATTGTGTTACTTGGGCATCTGAGACGAATGATGGACCAGGACAGGTCAAGGTGGTGCTGACGTGGGCAAACACGGAGACGTGAAGCTCCCGCCGAGCAAGCACAAGCACAAGCACAAGCACAAGCGCAAGCACCCTGAATCAGGCATTCTGGACTCTGCTCCTCTTCCAACACAACAACCCGTTTCTTGTCTTCTGGTCTAGTCGCATAACCACCCGAAACGACAGCTTCCCTTCTATTCACCTTTCGACACACCCTCGTCCACGACTCGCATCGCAAAAATGGTAGCTTACCCCTTGTCGCCCATCCAGCCCCGCCATACTCAGGAGGCGCCTGCTGTTGCTCCTCACCACCATTGCATTTGCTGACACTGTCAACAGGCCGACTCGCTTACCGAAGAGCAAGTCTCCGAGTTCAAGGAGGCCTTCTCTCTCTTTGTAAGTTTCGTTCCGCCTTCCTGTCGCTATGCGCGTCCAGGCCCCCACCCGTCGCAGTCGTGCTAACCCAATCATAGGACAAGGACGGCGATGGTACGTCTCGAGCCCCTCTTCACCTCTCTTCCGATCTCTTTCTATCGCCTCAGATATCCGTCGCACCAGAACACGCCGTATTGACATTGTCGCGCAGGTCAGATCACCACCAAGGAGTTGGGCACTGTCATGCGCTCTCTCGGCCAGAACCCCAGCGAGTCGGAGCTCCAGGACATGATCAACGAGGTGGATGCTGACAACAACGGAACCATCGACTTTCCTGGTTAGTCGTAGCTCGAACCGCTATCGCACGATCGAGGAAGCTGACGCTCACTTCCCAACANNGAGTTCTTGACCATGATGGCCCGCAAGATGAAGGACACCGATTCCGAGGAGGAGATCAGAGAGGCCTTCAAGGTCTTTGATCGCGACAACAACGGTTTTATCTCGGCCGCTGAGCTTCGCCATGTCATGACCTCGATCGGTGAGAAGTTGACCGACGACGAGGTCGACGAGATGATCAGAGAAGCCGACCAGGACGGCGATGGCAGAATCGACNTGTGAGTCTATTCAACTGTGTTGACCACAAAAGAACTGTGCTGACCCGAATCGACAGACAACGAGTTCGTTCAGCTCATGATGCAGAAGTAGAGAGAGAGCACGACGTAGGAGTGCAAATGGAGAAAAGCACTTGAATTACAATCATGCGGTTCTCTACAACCGTCACGACCTGAGAGATACCTGAGAGCTTATGCTTATTACTGCTGCTGGACTTGACTTTTGAACAAGCTCTTTCAATCAACTTTCATCAATGCCACACTGGCCCTTTCAAATTCTCAGGCCTTTGCACCATAACAATCTTGTGTAGGCTGTGGCCATGGCTAGACTAAATCCAAGCATTTGTTTCAGGTTGACCTTATATTGTATCGTCCGTCAGGAGGGACCAGAAGCCTCCCGCAAATCAAACGCTCCATGTGCAGCATGGCCAGAAGCGGCTTCGGGCCTGAATGTGGGGGAGAAATGACGGGATGACTGGCCGGGTCAAAGGGAAGTTCACGGAGTGGAGATGGTCATTCTACCGAGCAGACAGACAAATACCAAGTGATAGAGGTTACATACTTGTTCAAAGGCGCAGACAGGTCTACAACAATACATATTAAGTCGAGCAAACAAGATAATCGAACATGGCTGCCTCTAGAAGACTCGGTATCTACGACTCATTTCCAACCATCAGCATCTATTCAGACTAACAGGCATACAGTGAAACCAGCTCTTTTGTAAGACCATCAATTCGCATTAAGCTGCGACGTAGACTCCAGTGCTCTATCGCTTACTTTGTCGACAGCATATGTGATCTCCAAGAAAAGTTTCGCTCGGCCATCTATGAGTATGGACGTGTGATCAGCACGACACAGAAGCTGCTCAAGGCTTGCCAGATACTGGACATTCCTGTGTTCGCAACAACTCAACTCCGCGCCAAATTAGGAGAGACATGCAGCGAACTCGGTCTTGACAGTCCAGAAGGGATCAAGACTCATGCTCACGTTGACAAGAGCGCCTTTTCGATGTTTGTGCCAGAGATTCATGACGCTTTCAAGAAGCTTGGTGGTGAGAAGAGAGAGGTCATCATTGTTGGTATTGAGAGCCATATTTGCGTGACGCAGACAACACTCGATCTGCTCAGAGAAGGGCACAAGGTTTACATTATCGCCGACGCTGTCAGCAGCTGCAACAAGGAGGAGGTTCCCATCGCACTGGCAAGACTGAGAGCTGAAGGCGCTGTTGTCACCACTAGCGAGTCGTGGCTCTACGAGTGCATGGGTGACGCTTCGCTTCCAGAGTTCAAGCAGATCGCAGGTCTGGTCAAGGAGTACAACTCCAAGACAAAGGAAGGCCTCCAGGCTTTGTGTAGAATCTAGATATTAGCACAGACAAATGGATATGTATCGGCAGGCGCGTGAGCTATGCGCCAAATGGAGCATCCTCTATTTTGTGCAGACGGGTGTGATGACGAACGTGATAGGCCAGACTGGTCAGCAATAATATCAAGTCTCGCGTACTTCGGTGCTTTCGGTTGGTATATTGGCTTCTATTTTCTTTGTCTTACACGAGTGCTCGGTCATTCAGCCTTGCTTTCTAACCCGACAGCTGCTAAGCGACGGGAGATGCATGACAAGACGGCATGGGCATAAGACGTCCGGCAGAGAAGATGAGAATGGCTCGGAAAAGATTGCCGTTCGTTGGAAAAAAGAAATCGGGTCAAGGTCACAAATACTGGATATTCGATCATTTGTTTTATGCGCGTCGAGTCGGTGGTCCGTGAGCGCGGCTCTCTCTGATGATGATGTTTCAGGGACCGTGAATGAAGACAGCAAGAGGAAAGAGTGAATAGGAGCACCTTCCCATTCTAAAGAAGCGGAAGAAAGCGTCATATCAATCGTTGCAACACGCGGTCGATTGCTGTCAGGAACCGCGCAGTGCAAAGCAGGGGGTCGCATAAGAGACGAATCCGACGTCTTCTCCATCATTCCCTCGTCTAGAAGCACACAAAGCAAAGACAAGGAATCACTTTACCCATCTCTGCCTTCCCCATTCACAACGCCCACCTCGGCCGCCACTTCCTGGTTTGCTCTGCCCGTCCATCGACCCTCTGGCGTCCGTCCTCGTTTGCTCTTGTTTCTTCATTTCTCAAAACCCGCGCCTGCAGAAGCCCGTGTTTGAAAGAGACAAAGGGAATCCAAGGACATTGGACCGGGTGTGCCACAAGCGCCGCTGTCGACCAAACCACTGACGCAGCTACAACCCTTCCGAATACCCTCGCATACAGCCTGGCCATCTCCTCCCGCCTCGTCTGGTCTGTCGATATTTCGATCCCTGCTCGCTGTCGCCGTACCACCAACACCCCGCGGCACAGTGATCAAGTCTCCCGAAGTTTGAGCATGAGGATTACCTGCAAGACCAACCCCGTTGGAATATCTACATGACGTCTAGTCATACCCCAAACATGGCAGCCGCTTCGTTCGCCCAGAGACGCTCGACGAATTCTCAGCAATCAAATTCCGTCCCTTCCACGCCGCACCAACATCCGCGAGACCTTCGTTTCCGTTCGCGATCGCCGTCCCCCAGCAAGACGCTAGGCCACAACACTCCTCACCATGCTGCCCCTGGAGCCACCGGTACTCCGACCGCAGCGAAGCCGACTCAAGAGTTTTGTAAATTCGAGACTGGCCCTGAGTTCAGAACACGACGAATCCCCTACCTCGATGGTGGCGATCTTCCGTTAGCGCCGCCAACAGAAGAGCCCAAGGTGGCTCTCGAACCAGAGCAGGACCAAAAGCTCAGTGGCGATATGAGAGAACTATACGACCGATTACTACCGACAGAAGAGAGCGAAGAAAGAAGACGGAAACTCGTCCAGAAACTAGAGGACATTTTGAATGGAGAATGGCCCGGCAATGAGATCAGAGTCAATGTGTTTGGATCTTCGGGCAACCTGCTCAGCTCGAACGACTCTGACGGTGCGTACTCTCATGCTCGGCTCTCCCCAGCCTCCCCTTTGCATGCGCTGATCGTTTCCCGCANNGTTGATGTTTGTGTAACGACACCCCTGAAAGCGCTCGAGTCCATGCACACCTTGGCTACCGTTCTTCACCGACGTATGTAATCCCAGGCGTCTCTCCTGTACCGTCAAGCTTACCCATTGGTAGATGGCATGCAAAATGTTATCTGCAGAGCAGGAGCGAAGGTCCCGATCGTCAAAGTGTGGGACCCGGAATTGCAACTGGCGTGCGATCTGAACGTCAACAATCCACTGGCTCTCGAGAACACGCGCATGATTAAGACATATGTCCAGATCGACGAGCGAGTACGGCCGCTTGCCAAGATAATAAAGTACTGGACGAAAAGGAGAATATTGAACGATGCTGGTGCGCGCCCTTACCCTGGCTGGCCCAAAATCCGTACGCTAATATCTTCTCNNGCAGCCTTTGGAGGCACTATCAGTTCCTACACATGGATATGCATGGTCCTCAATTTCTTGCAGACCCGTAATCCGCCCATCCTCCCGTCTCTCCAGAAGATGTCCAATTCCCGCTCCACCCAAGTCAACGGCCAGACTGCAGCATTCGCCGATGATCTAGAAGAGTTGCGCGGTTTCGGAAAAGATAACCATGAAAGCTTGGGACAGCTCATCTTCCACTTCTTTCGATATTATGGCTATGCCTTCGACTACGCAGAGCATGTGGTGTCAGTGAAAGAAGGAAAGCCGATACCGCGCAAAGAGAAGGGATGGGACCCCAGCAATCATCAAGAGAAGGAGGCGCACAACCGGCTGTGCGTCGAGGAACCCTTCAACACCCAAAGAAACCTCGGAAATTCTGCCGACAACTACGCCTTCACTGGTATACACAAGGAGATCCGAAGAGCTTTTGAATTGATCAAGGACGGCTCTGGTCTGGAAGACTGTTGCGCTCAATTCGAATGGCCTGTCGTCGAGAAGAACATATTCCAACGGCCGACACCGAAGCCTAAACCTATACTCACACGAAGCGCTTCCCAGTCTGGTCGGCCCAACAATGGGAACAACCAAGGGCGAGGAAATGGAAATGGCGCAAGGAACAACCGTAATTCGTCTAATCAGCGGACTAACGGCCGTAGATCCTCGAGTGGAACAGCCTACGGCAACCAAAGGATGCCATATGTCATGAGCCCGCCGGTCGGGATCAACCCTGCTGATTACTTCTCAGCCACGGCCATATCGACTGACCAGCTGCACAATCAGCTCTACAAGCAATATCGTTTCTTGCAGGCCCAACAAGAAGCACTGAGAAACCAGCTCTTGCAACAACAACAAACACAGGTTCAATTGCAACAGGTTCAAGCCCAGGCGCAAGCTCGTGGTGTCGATCTGGGTACTTCACCTCGTTCGCGACAATTTGTCAATAATGCTCCAAGCCCGCATAGTCCAAGGACCTTCGAGCACTCTCCCACAGCACCACCACTTTTGCCTGGCTACCTCTATCATTATCCGGCAAGATACCCTCCGCCGTCACCTTTGTCTCAGTCAAGGAACACTGAGGACACCATTGTTGGTCCTTCTTCCCCCTCGTTGCAGAACGCAGCCCCTAATCTGCGGAGGGGCGCACATCGCGGTTCTATCACCGAAGGCACACCTAATGCTTCAGCTCGTTCGCAATCTCAGCCCGGGCGTTCATTCCCTAACCCTTTGACTCTTCAGGGTCTTGCTCATCCAGGCTACGATGTGTCTGGGGCCATTGCCACTTCGTACATGCTGCCGCGGTCAGTGCAGCAATTTGCTCAGATGCAGCCAAATGGCTCAGTAAGACAAACCAACGGTGCCTTCTCTACTGAGACCGCCATGCCTAAGGAATATGTCGGGTACTACGTCGGGCAGTCTCCTCAACTTGTTCCCCAATTCCAGACTGGCAACTTGGTACAGGTTCCACAACTAAGAGACATTGCCCCACCATCAGACAGACGCATATCTCCTGAGCTTGGAATTCATATTCCTGACGGCATGCGACATCAGTCTCGTTCACCTTCGCCATTTGACGGCGGTCGTCGGCACTCAAGCTCGGCATCTGCTCATCCTATCACAGGTTCTCAGCTCTTCTCCCAACAGCCTCTACAGTCTGTGCCGATCCAGCCCAGGCCTAATGACAACCAGGGACCTGTTATCGTCAACGGGTCTAACATGGCAAGTACGAGACAACGACAACCTTCTGTGACAATAGCCTCGACTCCGTTAGCCCAGAAGGACAGCGACCCGACTCCCGATCTTGTTCCTATTGAGCAGATACAGCAAATGTCTTTGGATGCATCTATGTTCCATACCAACGGCCAGCAGCATGACATGGGCGAGGCCGCTCCTAGGCACTTCATTCATCGCACGAATGGGCACACAGTTGAGCCTTCACTGCCGGCTCATGTAGCCCAGAATGTCCCGACACCTGTCTGGAGGCAAAACGCCCCTGACCCCCAGGGTGTTTCGAGTCAAGCTGCACCCGTCTCACGAGTTCAAGACACGAATCATGCCCCTTCGTCGAACCTAAACGACTCTATGCAAGCTGTTTCTTTGCACGCCGCTATGGGACCGCTTCTCTCTCCTGTCGCCGAGATTCGTACGCCGTCGCCTGCAACTGGCCGAGCAGCCGAGCCTTCCAGACTCGGACCCCACCACAAGCTTGCGCAAAACGTGCAGATTGTCAATGGCAAGCATGCAGAGGCGACCTCAAAGTCTCAGAATGGATATTTGAACCGCAATGAGGATGGCAAACATCAAGCTCCCGCAAACAATGCCAACAATTCTTGGNCAGCAGGCTCCAGCAAGAAAGGGCCACAAGAAGAGCAAGTCAAACACAGCGTCCAAGGGCTCGCATGCCCCAAAGNNACCGGTGGTGGGGAGCCTCTGCCTGCTAACGAGGCCGATCGAAAGGGAGGATGATCGAGTTTGCAATGAACCCGGATAATTGGATACCTGGTCCGAATTTCTGCTTGCCATTCTCTCTTCGACTGTTTGCTTGAGGCAGACAATGATCAACATCTGCATGATCGAAGAGAGCACTGTTTCACATATCTGGATTTTACTTCATGTTTTGAAAGGCCACAAAAACAATGAATATACACGAAAAGGGGGCGCACCATATGGACTGTGCAACACATCGGAGCAAAAAAAAGGGGGAGCACAGGAACATCTTCATGTTTTTCACAAGATACCATCGAGCGTTTTCCTTGTNNTTCTTCATGTTGATTTCATTTCATTTTCTTTCAACCATTCTTCCATCTCGGCATGGTGTGGACATGGNNGCACAAATGAGTTTGCATGTGGCGCTTTGGCAGGNNGAACTGCATATGGCATCAGGGGATTAACAACATGGGTTTCTTCTTGCGATGTATAGAAAGGCAACCGAGATGAAGGAAGATACAGATAAAAGGACAAAAATGATCACAAAAAAGTTGAAATTACCCATCGGACACTACATAAGGTTCTTACTGCCCTAATGATGGTCTTAACTTGAACAGCGACAGTAGGCAGATGAAGAGGGTCACCTTCCGCGCCTTCCTTGTCCATCTGGGGCAAGTGTGGGGAGGATATGCAGCTCCGTCGATCAATTCGATCGTGATATCCCGAACCAACTTCTTCTTCCACCAATCGTCTGCCAATGCTGATTGCAATATACTTTGCATCCATGCAGCAGACAACTCGAGTCTGCCGCAATGGGCAAGAGACACGTCGACCCCTCAGTACGGTAGCCATTGAAGGGACATGTCTACCAGATCACCAATACGTGACCGACAAATATAAGAATCGAGCATTCGCTGATCTTTCGCAGCTCATCGTCAGCGATGTCTAGCTTCAAGAATCTCATTCTCGCATATCTGGTACTGTCTGTCGGCGTGTCTGCTGCTCCGAAGAAGACAAAGTTCAATTGGCATGACACCAAGTACATGTAAGGCCCTGGGACCTGGGAACAGGAACCAACGCTGACTTGTATCAGGCTAGCATTTGGCGATTCATACACATACGTGCAAGGCACTGCTGGTCACGTAAACTCGACTTTCACCGGCGACTACTTTGACTTTTCGTTCACCGAAAATGAACTGTTGAACAACAAGATAGTCCAGAACCAGGTCAGAAGTGATTTGGTAGACCTGGAGTGACAAGAGCTGATGTATTCACATAGANCCGGTACTGCCGAGGGTGGACCAAATTGGGCTGAGTACCTCACAGGCTGTGGTGTTAAGCCAGACCTTACCTCACCACTCTCATGCAAGACGCAGCTCTGGGATTTTGCCTTCGGAGGTGCAGATATCTCGATCAAATAGTATGTAATTCTCTCTTGGTTAATGTTCAATATTGAAGACTCGCAACAGTNNACTCCCCGCCACCACAATTACACAGTCATGCTGGAAGAACAAGTGCAGCAATTCCTGACTTATGCTCAACCAGCACTTTCCAAGTTCGTTGATCCGTCAAGGACGTTGGTCGCCTTCTGGATTGGTATCAACGATATCAACGACAGTGCCAAGTATGCTGTCGACTTTCCGGACTTGTACGACAAGCTTATCACCACACTCTTTGAATCTGTACAGAGTGTCTATGATGCCGGATACCGCAACTTCCTCTTCATGAACCTGCCTCCTTTGGATCGCACACCAGGCAACGTCCTCAAATCTGCCCCTCTTCCCAACACCACAATGATAAACTGGTGGGACGACTCACTCACTTCACATATCCAAGTCTTCAATAAACAAAATCCATCAGCCAATGCTCTTGGCTTCGACGTCAACAGTTTCCTAAATGGTGTTTTGGACCATCCTGACAAATACGGGATCCAGAACGTCACAGGCTATTGTGCGAGTTATGATCAACCCTATATCGATACCGACCCCGAGAGCTATGGTTGTCTGCCTTTGGACGAGTATGCGTGGTTTAACAATGGGCATATGACTTATCATGTTCATGAGATCTTGGCCGAGGAGGTGAAGCAGTTTCTCAAGAAGCAGTAGTACAGGCATAGAGGATGAGGAACCAGGCTTATTGTCATGTCTTTGATACACTGATGTCTGGTTATTGCAAACAGACATAGGTGCATTTCGAGACTGGCCATTAGTAACCATGATCGAAACCATGAAATCAAACAACGATTGAGACAAAGGCCAGCGAGTCGCCGAAGCAAAAAAAGCGAAGCATATCCCACCCCTGATTCGAACCTTGGTCACTCCCAACAAAGACCTTGTATACCACTCAGTATGGCTTTTATCCCTGTGATCAGTCGAGTGGTTTAACAGCTTATACACTCGTGATTCGTGATTAAGCAATCCCTTGCCTTGTACGTCTTAATTCATGCACCCCCAGATGACCGACATCTGGTGACTATGATCGAGCAAGTGAAGGGGTTGGTTTTCCCACAAGAGCTCGGCTCTGGTTTTTCTTGTTTTTTTGTTCTCACTTACTTCCTTGCTTTTGGTCCATTCCCCAGTGGGCTTGATAGCGATGAGAGTAAGAAGAAGTGCCTATGTCACTGTTAGTGATTATATTGTTTGGTAAGAGAACCACAGCGTGACGAAGAGTCACAAGTTTGACCTTCCCGAGAGCATCTGAGCAATGCATACTCACTGTGACTCTCGATATATACAAGACTGACCAAGGTGAAGACAGTACCATGTGTAAGTATCTGTGTTAGGTATAGGCTATGTCATGCTCATCTACAAAAATAAGGCGAATCGCTCAAACGCCATCCCAATGCTATCTATGTATGAATTAATCCTTGAGGTATGCTTTCCCCGAACGCCACTCATCAAAAGAAATCTGTGCAGTAGCACTCACTTGCGGTGCTTGCAGTCTACACTGACAATCTCCGCATGGCCCCAAGCATTCAAAACCATAGCGGAGAGTTTGTCGCCATTCACACAGCCACTGTCAAGACCCTTGCTCCATCTCTTGAGATTGAGGCCGCGAGGACTGTCGTGACCGTAAACGACAACGGATGGCTTCGAGTGTTTGATAAGTGGTTGAGCCTCACCGCCATGGTCTTCGCTGTACAAGCTATTCAGCGATTTCCACCATTCACTGGCTTCTGAAGACTCGGCAGCAGAACCGAACAGCCAGGACAGAAAAGACGAGTGAGTTCGTGAGATGCGGTCGTTGTACCAGCCCCAGACGCGTTCCCAGGCTATGCCTTTNTTACGGTTCTCGCTAGGCACATGATTGGTTGGAGACATGGATCTCATGTTCATGACAGAGAAGGGATCTTGTCGTAGGAGAGGGACAGAAGGTACAAGGCCCGCATGAACGACATTGATGTCGTCTAGAATCTTGAAGGTCTTCTTTTTCTTCTTCTTGCTTAGAGTATCCAGAGAAGAAGCCGCTGGAGCTGAATGCTTAGGTGGAGCAATGGCAGGAATATGAATGATCAGGGGGNNAAGCGAACGTAGCCACTTGAGGTGGCGTGGCTTGAGATAATCGAGCAGAGCTTCTCCTTTGAGTCCGGCACCTCTTGATGCGGCTGAAACGTCGGTAGAAGGCTCGTCGTTGGTTTCGACAGAAGCGCCCTTGGAGACTCGTGAATTGGCGGCCAGCAGAATACGGTCTTCATGATTACCACGCACAGACAGAGCTTCGAGAGATATCAGTGTGTCTATCACGCCAGGAGAATCAGGTCCCTTCGCGAGAACATCGCCCGTGGCAATGATCTTGTCGGTGTCCTTGTTGAATCCGACGGCCTTCAGTAGTCTCAGGAGCTCGTTCTTGCAGCCGTGTATATCGCCAATGAAGATCAGGCGTCTCTTGCCATCCGGATCGGATGCGCTACCGGGTATGTAGTCGGACCGTAGTTGCTGTAATTGTATAATACCGCTGAGCTTGTCGGGCATCTGATGGCCAAACGATTCCGGGTTGTCGAGACCTTCTTCTAGAGCCTGTCGCTCCCGCCATGCCGGGAAGAGGAAGCCACTGCACAGGAAGAACAGAAAGGAGCAGGCGACTATGAGGAGGAACATTGCGCGGCGGACTTTGCGGTTTATGCAAAAAGCATGACAGAGGTTGACAAACGAGGTGTCGGAATCGAGGTCGCAGCAATGTGTCAGTTCGTGATCGTCGTCGTCGTCCGAGTCGGAGTCGTAATGCGACCTCTCTGAGCGCTTCTCTTCTTGGTGATGCCAATTGTTCACGACGCGATCAATCAGAGGTCGGTTGTCGTATTGATACTGGGCAGGAAAGTAGCGATCGGAAGGATGGGTCCTGGAACTCATAGCGTCATACGCGTAGGAGGGAACATGAAGTTTAAATGCCGTAAGACGATACAAAACAAGCACAAAATTGGAATATCGAATAACTTGTAGGGGACAAAGGGGATTGATGAAAGCCCCCTCAGGCTGCAGCGTGCAGAGTAGGAATCGATCAGATCACGGATAAATTATTCTTGTCGCCATCAACGTGAAAGGAGGATTGATTGCCAAGACGCGCGCGCGGCCTCGGCGACGTGCTCACCTTAGTGGCCCGGAGGCGAGGAGAGGATCCCATCGAGCAAGCACAAGCGACTCGTCAGCTCAACATGTGAGGCGGTACCTCGTAGGCAATCACATCAGGCAGGAGAGAGTGGATGAGATGCAGTTGCAGCCTCTTCGACCCCTGGTCGTCTCAAATTAGTGAAGTGTCCAAACTTGGCCGATGAGACGATGACGTTCGGTAGATGCTGTCGCGCTCCTTCCAAGTACGATTGTGTTTCATTGCTATGAACATGACAGAGATGGCGCTGGCGAGGTCCTTTGTGCTTGCCTTCGACAGCTGACCGAGAGAGTATTGTCAGACAATTGGCTTCGAGGTCGACACTGACGTCTTCTCCTACCATTTACCATCAACTCATCCATTAATCACCTAAACCGTCTTGATATTTATCTATATTCTACGAACGTTGTCTGTTATATCCACAAGACTCATCCCACCATGGCCGCCACAACTCTCGACCCTTTGCCATTACCTATCGGAGTCCTCCCTTCCTGCATTGCAACTTCATCAACGATACTGGTTCTCACCTTGACGAACAACAAACTCGATGGCGGTGCTTAGGATGCAGGTGTCGTGACTCCAGGCTCCTATACTTCTACCGAATCTGTAACCAAGATGTTCACACTACGATCACAATCCAGATGGCGAGCAACCAACCTCATCGTCAGGGATATCAACGACCTCGTTCTCTTCCGCCTGAATCACAACACAACAGTGCAAGGGGTGGGATGCAAATGGACAGTACAGCTACCTAACGGGGCTGATGAAAAGTCGATTGTATCCTCCAACTCCTCGAAGTCGCTCAAAAGAGTGATTACAAGTCGATCGGGTCTTCCGACTCTTCGAAAAGCTGGTCATGGAAAACAGGAATCGACTTGAGCATTGAGAATCTAGCTGGGGATGGCAAGCCAATCATTCTGGAAATCCGTCAGCCGAAGAGCCATTTGGACCTCAGCTATCATGTCCTGGCAGATGAAAAACTTGTTGCGAGAATCACAAAAGAAAAGGCCGGAGCGCGGTCCATACATCCGAGTTGGGAGATTGAGGTTGCTCAGGGATTCGACATGGCTCTAGTATGTCATGTCCCTCTTTAGCGAAAGACCTTCATGCTGACCTTCGACAGGCGTTTGTCATTGGCAGGATACTGGTCTGGCATCCGTTGATCAGGGCTCCCTCTGGAGGCGGCGGGGCTGACACTGCAGCAGCATCACTACAAGCAACCTCACTAGTGCTCTTAACAACAGCAAACATGATGCTGCTTGTTTGAGTGTTGTTACTATCAAATCTTTACCTCATAGTCACCTGATACGAATGCAATTACCCCAGATGGATCGAGAGCACCGTCATGCAATCCTGCACTACAATCCTACCATCGTTTACTCTCCCGACAAAAGTGAGTGCTGTAGTATGTTGTGTAAACGCACATTTGTTGATTAGACCAGACGTGTGACCATGGATAGTCTCAGGATGTTATCTCTCCTTAGACAGTGCCTTGAATCAAGAAGTATTCTGTATTTCTGAAGCTACGCTATCACTGTCTCTGGACACGGGGAGAGAAAGACAGGTAGTGAGAACCGAAACTAGAGTTGACCACATGTGGTCTATCATATCCTCCAAAAGCTCCCCTAAACAAATATAGAGATGGTATACAAACTCTTTTATTGGTTGAGGCACTGTTATGAGTGCAAGCATCAACATTCTTTGGACTGGAAACTCATCATACGTGAAGCGCAGGCAGTTGTGGGAAAAATTGTATCGTCTAATCATAAAGGTCTAGTAATCTAGTACAACTCTGTCAAAACATCTAGTGGTATCTTGGGAATATCAGAACGTCTAAGGGTATATTTAAAGCTTGGCTTCCTTCTTGAATTCCTCGCTGAAGGGGTAGTCGGTGTAACCCTTCTCGCTCTTGGCAGCGTAGAAGGTGTCACGGTCGTAATCGGCAAGAGGGATATTCTTCTCGATACGGTAGACCAGGTCGGGGGTGGAGATGAAGTATCTGCCAAAGACGATGACAACGTCCTTGTCGGCGTACTCCTCCTCAGCGGCACGACGGGCACTGTCGGCGCGGAATCCACCAGCAATGAGAACGGGAGAAGTTTTGCCCCAGGCCTCGACAGCGAAGTCGACCAACTCGGTGGACTCGACATCGGCATTGCCCTGAATTCTGGACTCAACCAAGTGGAGGTATGCGAGCTTGAGCTCCTTGAGGCCGTTGATGAGGTAGGTGAAAGTGGGAACAGGGTCGTCCATCTTCATGCCCTGGAAAGGAGACCAGGGAGACAGTCTAATACCGGTCTTGTCGGCACCAACAGCATCAACGACAGCCTTGGTGACCTCGAGGGCGAAGCGAGTGCGGTTCTCGATGCTGCCACCCCACTTGTCGGTGCGCTTGTTGCAGACGTCCTGGGTGAACTGGTCGATCAGGTAGCCGTTTGCGCCGTGAATCTCAACTCCGTCGAAACCGGCACCCTCAACAGCGTTCTTGGCGGCGTTGGCGTAGTCCTTGATGAAGATCTGGATCTCCTCCTCGGTGAGAGGGCGGGGCTTGGGCGAGTTGTCGCTCATGGCAATGTCAGAGGAAGAACAGAAGTCATAGCCATCCTTCTTGAGAACGGTAGGGTCAGCAGCACGGCCAAGGGCCCACAGCTGCATGTAGATAACACCACCCTTGGCGTGGACAGCGTCAACAATCTCCTTCCAGGCCTTGATTTGCGCATCGGCATAAACTCCAGGGACGTTGTTGTAGCCACCCGCGCGAGCGGAGATGGGAGTGGCCTCAGTGATCAAGAGAGTTCCAGGAACGCAAGCACGCTGAGCGTAGTACTCCTTGACGAAGGAAAGTTGGACGTGATCATCATCGGCGCGGAAACGGGTCAAAGGAGCCATAGCCAGGCGGTTCGACAACTTGGCCTTGCCAATTTGAAGAGGTTGGAAGAGCTTGGATGCCATTGCGTGTGATTTGATCTGATGTATCGAAAAAAGATAAGACGCTCGCTGAAAATGCTGCAATTGGATTGTAGAAACGAGGGAACTCGGTATGATCTTGGAACAGCACCTACTTATATGTCTATTCTAGTCAAGCACTGCTTTATTAAGCAAGCTGTGGAAGTCGAGAGAAACGGGTGAGGCCGATGAACGAATGTCATTGCCGAGTGCCCGGGGCGTGCACGATCGCTTACCAATCTCTTCTTTGTTTCAACACAGCAAATGCTTGAAAGGGCTCAGTGTTGATTGCGCAATCGGCATGCTGATATGGCGATTATCGTTGCTTGAGATTTGTGAGCATCTGCGAAATAGAGCAGTAAGTCGCTTAAGGAAGACGAGTTGATAATCTTCGAAGAGATGCTGTGCATAGAAGCCAAAGGGGAAGGTGGTATTTTGCAACGTCATTCGCGCCGTTGCGGCTAAAGTTTCATGCACTACGGGCGCCTCGCACCGACGCCGGGACGCGCACCTAACGTGCCATCGCCACTCTCTCGCTGCTTGACATATGAGAATACAGCGGCACTACAGTGAAGCGAAACATGTAATGGCGGCAAGAACAACGCCGTTGTCGGGAGAGGTTTGTTTCTGAAAGTCAGGCACGACCCTCACCGTGGGTGTTTCTGCTCGCTACGCAGTACTCCAGGATGAAGATGGAATACGAATCTAATGCTAAAGAGATCAAAACTGGATGTAATTTGGACAGAGTCTTTCGAGTTCTACGGTCCCAATGATGGCAATGTCTAATTCTATAAGCATATCTCATCTATGCAACAGCATAAGAAACTCTGCTTGTACCCTTACTCCTGCTAATCTTCCTGACTGTCGTTTTCCCACAAGCCGATGTACTATCAACATGAGTACCACCGCATGGATATGTGTCCGCTCCAACGATTTTGACCACTCTGAATTTCTCTCCCGCTGCAACGTTAGGGTTTTCGGTGATTAGTCTCTCAAGTCCATTCTTCTTGAAATCATCTTCGCTCCACCATTCAATCTCGACTGGCATATCGCCATCAACGTACTCGTCAACCTTCTTCTGGATGGCATCTTTCCACTTGCCCTCGATTGATCCCTGAAATTCACAAGATGCGGCATCGGGGAAGTGCGACGCCTTGAGTTCGTCAAAGCCTTCAATTTCTTTTTCGAGCAGTTTTCTGGTCGCGGCCCCGAGTACATGACCTGCTGTGTGCAGCCTCGAGTAGAGCAGACGCTTCTCGGTGTCGATCTCCTGAGTGACGGTCTCTCCTTCTGTAAACGCGCCGTGTCCAGACTCGAAACGTCCGAAATGTAGAACCTGTCCATTGGAAACGGCATCCATGCGGACAGCACTGACATTGAAGATGCTGTTTTGTGTCTTCATGATGCCCACGTCGGAAGGTTGGCCACCACCTTGGGGGTGAAAAATGGTTTGTTCGGTGATAACGACATGGTCATCATCACTGGCCTGTTTGAACAGAGATTGGTTGGCCTCTTCTAGCGAAGTTGCTGAGCGTATTGATCTAACAGCTGTTGCCAGAGAATACAACTTTGCATTGTGCTGGAAAGCAAGATAAGTTCTTGTGGAAGCAGCCTACAGTAATAATTAGCATGGATTGACACTTTCATTGAAACACATCATCTCCAAACCAAGTGTAAGTCGATTCAAATGCCGGATGACTAGCACAATCGTCCCAAATATCGACTTTGTCCTTCAAGAACACGTTGTCGTGGTACACTTGCGTTTCTGTCTGGGTTTGGAAGATGAAGATAGACGACCGTTCAACCTACCATTGTTTCGGGATACTCCGTAATACCTCTTCTCTTCTCTGACAACAGAAATATACAAAAGAACAGAATCGCTCGGTCGGAGAGAGACGAAGATGCCACGCCCTGTCGTTGACGGCCGGCGGATCGGCAATTCTTGCCGTCAACGTGCGGGCCGCTCTTTACGCGATACGAGGGCTCCATGACATTGATCGTGCAACTTCTTCCTAGAAAGTCACAACCACTCGACAGACTTGGATGTTTCCAGGCGCATATAATCCAAAGATGTGCTGAGATCTCCAATATACAGATATGTGTCGGAGTTCTTCTAGCACTGACGAATATCTCAATCCCATCGAACCCTACCAGCTCGCACAGATCTGAACACCCTTTACAATTCTCTCAAAACAGCAAATGTTTTTCGAATAGAGTTCTAATTACCATCACAACTTTGAGTTGGGTGTACTCACACCACATGAGTACTATAGACGGTAATCTGGAACATGAGCTCCAACTTACCAGGGTCTGATTCGCTCATGATGATATCGCGAGAGTTTCTATGTGGAACTGTGACCTCAGTATACGTCCGGAAGCTTGACTACGTCCCCACAAGAACCATTGGAGAACGCAACCACATTGAGGTTGTATGAGGACTACATAAGGTTCACATTCAAAGCTACGATGGGCAACTTGGTCGATGAGCTGACCTGACCTGACCTGACGGGACGGGGCCATTTCTCAACTTAAGAATCAGAAGACGTCTGCCATTGCGCTGGCTGCCACCATTTTCGAGGACCAACCATGTCTTCCAAGGAGCAGAATGATGTGCTTCTTGCACCCAAGCCGCAGCTCACGTCATACAAGGTCAACCTCTTGATGTTCGATACCATCAAGGTTGACAAATATGGCATCCCGACCTTCCACAAGACGCTCTGTTGTGAAGATGCTGCCATATCTCTCTCCTCTGACTCAAAATGGCAAGACATCCTTCCTTCAATTTGGGACATGATCTGTTACGAATTCAAATATCTCCAAGGCGAAAAGCTCGAAGATTACTCCGTGGCTCCGAGTATCCGATACACAGTTGGCAATTCCAGACACTTGGTCAACAAAAGAGCAGACGATACTCCGTTCTTCGGCCTACTTGCTCGAGAGGACATCGTCGACATTTGCTTCAATATCTGCTTCACCTACAGATACAAGAAACTCTCTAAACATTACAAGCAGCTCAAGCAGTCCGGACCGCGGAAACCAATCCAGATACCTACCAATGAAACCTCCAAGCAAGCAGAGGGCTCAGGATCGAAAGAAATGCAATCTCTCAAGGACTCGGAATCACTGGACTCGATCGAAGAGCTCAAAGAAGAGCCTAAGAAAGAGAAGAAGAACAAGAAGAGACATTCTTGCATCGTCCAATGAAGGCCGGCTGACCTTGCCGACCCCACTTATGGCTCCGAAACTACCAGCAGGGTTGTATCTGATGTGAGTGCCGCTTCGAAATATGGTATTGATCCCATGGTGCTAACTCTCCACCAAAGCCTACAAAAACTCGATCTTTACCTTTGAGCGTTCGAAGGCATCTCTGATCTCAACATCCAATCACCTTGCGGCAGGTATTGTTCATCAGGCTGCACCTGCCAGAATTTTTCTCTACGAAATGATCAAATACACAAAGAGTCAAAATTCACACTTTGACCATCCATCAAAGATCACATTCTCGTTTATTATCTCGTGCATGCGTAATATTTCCGAACCGTCTATATGAAAACTGCTCTAGAAAGAGCGAGTCGCTCTGATTTGAACGTCATGTGGCCACCTGGTCTTCGGCAGACAGAAGCGCTACCTCAGCCAGCGTTGGCAGTGAGAAAATGTACGCCAGTATAGATTGGAACAAAAAGAGTCAATGTCAAGAGAGATTTTGTCTACCCGCTGCGTTTGCACATTCCGTTACTTGCTTCACCTCCTCTAGCGTCTAAATCTATGGTTTTATCGAACACTCCACAAAAGTCCCCCGATACCTATATTGACGATCAGATGCCACCCAACAGCCCAGGCCATAGCGTAAAGGTACTTCGGACTGAACACTGTCCAGATAAACAGATGCGTTCTCAACATAGTACAAGCCACCATTACAGCTAGCAAGCTTGCAGAGATGAAGATCGTCATTATACTGATGTGCTCATGCCAGATATGTTGATCCTTGTCTTTCTGAACAGATGTGGGCGCAGAGGTCGCGGCCAAAGCTTGTTGGTGCAACAGATCTCTCTCCTCGAGAACCCACTTCTTGTTGCCTAGAGTTCGCTGCCTTTCGGCGGCTTTCTCAAGACAGTCAAGAGCTGCTTCCTCTTGCTCGGCGGAAGGTAAGGTGAAGAGCACAGCCGCGCACGTACTCCAGTATATTGGGCCTGCCCAATTCGATGCGAAGAGAAGAACACCAACGGCAACGATATTATAGCCACTGACACCGTTGTATGCATTGCTGAGATCAATGCTGGAGATGGCATTGGAATTGCCAAGCGCAAAGAAAGACGTATGCGCCATGAGGAGGATTGTAACAGTGGTAGGAAGTATCGGCAGAGGGTTTGTGTATACATGAGAGTTGATGGCGACAGGCCTGGTTGGACGTGCGAGCAAGTAGAAGAGAATCTGAGACTGCAGATCGAAGAACAAGAAGAGCGGGATGTTCTGGGCACGTGTCTGAGTTATAAGGAAAAGCGTCAAGAGATCGTGTAGACGAGACGGAAGACGAGACGCCGTGAATCCACTAGCACCCTTCTTCGCTGCTTCGTCATCGCGTCCATATCCCAACACGACCATGATGAGAACAACCAGCGTGGCAATGCTCATACCTACGAAGGCGGTCCTGGCTTGGGTTACAAGATCCAATTCTGAAGTCCATTCTCTGATGGTCTCGGCGAGACCACCGACCAACTCTGGCGCATCGGCTTGTGTGAAGTTGAGCTTAAACACAAAGGAAGGCAAAACTAGGGAGATGGCAGAAATGGTTGCGAACTCGGGTGCCAGGATGTCAGCGAATGTACGACGACCGATGCGGAAGGCTAGTTGAATATACGCCGTGATAATGAGCATCCAAAGGATAATATAGTGGTCGGGGAAGAAGGTATGGACGACATCAGGATCACCTGCATGTTTCTGTCCAGTCTGGTTCCAGCGTGTTGAGAGGCGGTGAAGCGCGAGAAGGACGAAACTCGAGAAGACTAAAGATGTTTGAAGTCCAATACTCTTAGTTNNCTAGACAGAAACTGTTAGTTGATGAACTTGTGACCTGAAGATGCGTACGTACTTTGCGGCATATAGATAAGCCATCCAAGCTGCAGTGGCCCAGTACCAGAAGTGCTGCTCTTCTTCGACATAGCTGGTGGCAAACATCATGATGCCGTAAAAAGCAGCAATCAAGAAGAAGCCTACACCAGCTGGAGTCGGTGGCCAGTTACCCTGTCTAGAATTGATGGCCAAGACAAGAGAGACGGCAGAGAGAGCGGCACTCTTGAGCAGGCGATCTACCTTGTAACTGCTCGCAGTAGTACTAAGTACATCTTGAGCGTCATGTAGAAACTAAGCAGGGTTAGTGCAAGTTATGGGATGTAATGGATCGGCTGTACAAACCTCATTCAGATGGACGACCGAAGCGACAAGCTCTCCTGGTTGCAGACTACGAGATAGGGCGTCTCTGACCAAAAACCATCGGCACTTCAGTCTCTCCTCGTCTCCAAAATCTTGACAATCCATCTGAATCGAGCCCTGAGATTTTGGATCGTACTTCCAAGCTTCGGAGTCGCCGAACTTGGCCTTGATGATGCCAAGCATTTGTAGAGCGTTCCTGTAGAGCAACTCAGCGGCAACGTTCAAGCCGGTACTGCTAGCAGTTGTCTTCCAGAAGCCTAGCATCTCGGGGATGATGATACCAAGGTTGTTGCGAGGAACGGGGATGCCCAAAAGAGCGGAGAGCGTAGGTACAACATCGTTTTGAGCAACCTTGCGGTAGAACTCAAACTCGGTACCTTTTTTAGGATCGGTGGGAGCTTGATAGACTGGCTTGTCTAGATCGATGAACTTGGGCGAGATGAAGACCAGAGCGGGCTCGGTCTCACCAGGGGCAGAACCTCCGTGGTTGCCTCCAGAGTTCATGCCGTGGTCACCAGCCACAACGAGCAGGGTATCGTCGAGGTGGTCGTTGATCTCGATAGCTTCGTATATCTGCTTGACAATCTCATCCATCTCTTTCTGCTTTGGTAGCATGTTGGGGCTCAGGGGNCCAGCTTTGTGACCAATGTGATCCAGACCAAGATAATGCATAATCATGACATCCCAGTCAGGTTGTTCCAGCTCTCTTGGTACATGTCGCGTGACGTTGTTGTCGACTTCGGTGAAGTCAGAGACGAAGAAGGAGCTAGTGCCGTCGTGTCGAGAAAAGCAGTCGGGAAAGAGCTTCAGCCAGGTATCGTCGCCGTAGAAGACGAGGTTGCTGTTGTCGAGATTTGCCTTTGCTTGAGCGAGCCACGTATCCTGAGTGGCCAGCGACGAAGTGGTGTCGCTCTCGGCGAAGTTGAGAATGACATCGAGGAACGAAGGTACCGAGCCCGTAGTCAAGGCCTTGACTCTGGGCATGGTGATGGTGGGTGGAGAAGCATGTGCTGTGAAGGGCAGGGCGGCGCCAGAGCGTATGAGATGTTGAGTAAAGGTAAAGCCCGATCCATGGCCGTATACGAAATCACTAGCTGGCCATCAACAAAGTCTTCTCGGTCATGCGTCCTTCGAAGAACGTACCCACCTCCTCAACGCATCCACGGTCATGAAAACGACCTTGTCGAAGATCCTCTGTGGCCGATCATTGCCTTTGAGCAAGCCCAGTCCCAGCTCTTCATTCTCGACCTCTTCAAAGGTGGTCAATCCGGAGAGGAAGGGTTTGTAGGGAAAGAAGCCGAATGCGAAGTTGAGTACCGCGAGGGGTATGATGATGTTGGAAAGGGCAAGAGCGATGCGCTTGGACGTCGTCGTCATTGTTGTCGTTGCACTGTATTGTCGTATTATACTCGGCCGTCCATGTCTTTATACCGTCAACCTGTCGCGTTTACAACAAACTTGTCCCAATTGATGCGGTCGACTCCTCTCTCCTTTCCATCTTCCTTGTCCAGCCGGTGACGCGCTTCTGTGGGGAAAGCTCGACCAACTTTTGCCCTCACCCTGGCCTTGACTTCATTTCCTCGAGTACGCCCCATACCGTTGTCCTTCCACTCCATCGGACTGAAATCCATCCGTCAACATCATTTGGCATGTGAAAAGGCTCGTACCATAGTTTTGCGCCTCTGTGGATACCGCACGCTCTTGTTGGGCCTCTTGTCGCAAAATGCAACCCAATCAGATCGATTGCGTGCTGCAGGATGCGAGCACGACATGCTTTGCAGCTTTCCTTGTCCGAGTATGGTTATTTCTTTAGAACTGGTTGAGTATACACAAGCATAAGTAGGTTTGAGTGCGCAAAGAGATGGATACTGAATCTGCAGAACTCTCAATCATCTACAACCATGTCAAGCGATCTAGAGAAACACCCGGAACAGATCCAGAACTCTGTCGAAGAGCACGCCCGTCGGGACCATATTGATGCAGCACTTCAGTTGATACAGAACCATGGTTCGCAACCCGAAAGACTGGATCCAGAGAGGAACAAAAGGCTTCTGCGGCGCATAGATCTTCATATCATGCCCATGATCTGCATAGTTTATTGTAAGTTTGTTCTGGCTCGGCGGTACAAGCAGGTAGCTGATCAGTTCGTCTCCANNGTCTTGCAATATCTCGACAAGATAGCCATCTCATATGCTAGTGTCACTGGGATCAAGACTTCGGCCAACCTGCACGGCACCCAATTCAACTGGATCGCAAGCATCTTCTTCTTCGGTCAACTCGCCTTTGAGTTCCCTACTATCCGCCTGCTCCAACTCTTTCCTCTTGCCAAATATGTCGCCGTCAACGTGATACTTTGGGGCGGCGTCTTGGCCAGTCTCGCTGCATGCAAGTCCTTCGCCAGTCTCATGGTCTGCCGTGCCTTACTTGGAGTCGCCGAAGCTGCCATCGTTCCTGCTTGGGTCGTCTTCACCAGTCAGTATTATCGAAAGGAAGAGCAAGCCTTTCGTGTTGGCATCTGGTTCTCCATGTGCGGGTTCGCTCAAATGCTAGGCGGCTNNTTTTTCTCTTATGGTGTTGCCCACCACGTTGGAGGTGATGTTCATGCCGCTCTCAAAGGCTGGCAAATCATCTTCCTCTTCCTCGGTCTGCTCACCTCCGTCGTTGGTATTGTCTTCTGGTTTGTGTTGCCTGACTCTCCCCTGACAGCCAACTTCCTTTCCACAGAGGAGAAGGCTTTGCATGCAGAGCGCATGCGTGAAAACGAGCAAGGCATTGGCAATCGTATTTTCAAGTGGAACCAGTTTTGGGAGGCTCTTCGAGACATCAACACCTGGCTATATGCTTTCTGGATCTTCGCTGCTAATATTCCCAATTCGACCGCCACTAGTTTTGGTAACATTTTGGTCACTGGAATGGGCTACACAAAGAAAGAGAGCTTGCTGCTCGTAACTCCACTCGGTGCTTACGAGGTTGTTGTTCTGATCGGTCTCACTTATCTGGCTGGCAGAACGAACCAGAGACTTTGGTGCTGTATCGCAGGCCACATACCCTCGATCATTGGCGCTATCCTCATGGCCACCACGAACAAGGTGCCTGCACTCATAGGATTCTACCTTACCGGGGGCATTCCGATAGGGTGGACAACGATTCTTGCACTGCAAAGCACTAACGTTGCCGGATCAACGAAGAAGATAACCGTGACCAGTATTGGTGTCATCGCTTATACTGTGGGTAACATCATCTCACCGCAGACTTTCCAGACTAAGGATGCACCAAGATATCTGCCTGCCAAGATCAGTATCTGCATTCTCTATTTCCTGATTACGGTCGATCTGTATCTGGTTCGATGGTTTGCTGTAAGAGAAAACAGACGCAGAGACCAAGAACGACAAGAGCTGGGAGACAAGTACATCGTGGAAGAGAACCACGAATTCTTGGATCTTACCGATCGCGAGAACAAGGAGTTCAGATATGCTGTATGATTACCTCGAAATATCCAATCTGCATTATCATGCTTTCTGTCTCTTTATCCACCCAGCATAACATCTTGTGTCTCGTCGAAGTCATTGCTTAAAGTGGTCATTTTCTTTCACACCCCTGGAAGCTGTAGTCGGGCACTTGAAACTTCTTGTCTCCACCACCAAAGCTAGGCAAAGATGGGAGAGACTCGAAAAACTTCTGGAATCCTGGTCGCGCGATTGTCCCGAAAATGGACCTGAGCACCCAGATACCCAAGTCTGACTGGGGAGAGGCGAGCTTAGGCGCCCTTCCTCCCAGCGGAATAGAGCCGTTTTCCTGTACAAAGCCTTCAAACCTCTTCTTGTAGTTGGTGAATGCAGTCGCCGGATCTTCTGGATTGGCTGTTAGTTCTCCAGCGAGAATGTAACTTCCGATGAGCGCCATGGTGGTTCCTTGTCCTGTCAGAGGGGAAGGGCAGTACCCTGCATCGCCGACCAGAGCACAGCGACCTTTGTGCCAAGTGTCGAGTTTTACTTGCACGACTCTGGTAAAGTAGAAGTCCTCGGAGTCTTTCATGCCTTGTAGCACTCTGTCCTTTATGCCACCAATGCCCTCGAATCGCTTTTCCAAGAGTGCTTTTTGTTGCTCTACTGTCCCGTGTCTAGCTGCTTGTTGTAAATCTGCTGCATCGGTTGTGGTGACCATCATATAGCCAGAAGCTCGAGTCCCAGTTCTGTCGATCGGCCGCACCCAAAGTATGCGTCCTTTGTTGGCGTGCTGTAAGACTGAGTAGGTGATTTGGTGTTTTGGGTCGACTTGCATGGAAAAGTATGCCACATAGGTATCGGTTTGCTTGAAGCAGTTCTCTGTTGCTGCCTTGTCGAAAGTGAGATTTCGTACTCGAGAGGCGACACCATCTGCGCCGATGATTGCGGTGTACTCTTCAGGCTGGTTGGTGTCCGAGAGGGTTGCTGTCACGGAAGATTTTCCTTCTTGAATGTTGGTTACTGTGCATCTATCTGATGGTCAGAACAAGCACCTCAGTAATAAAAGTTCAACCGGCTCACCCNNGTATCTATACTTGACCCCTTTCTCTTTCGCAGCATCCATAAAGATATTCGTCAGAGTCCCGCGCATAATCTACATCGCACACATCAAATCAGCATCAAATCCCTTTCGGATGTGTTGCCTCTCACAAACCTCAATCTCGTTGGTCGGCGAAAACGCCGTCTTGCTCTGATCAGCCGGATTGGCCCCTACACTCCCAATCTTATTTCCCGCATCATCCAGCATAGCAAATCCACTTTCTCCAGTAGTGTTTTCTTTGATCTTTTCCCACAGCCCCATGCGTTTGACTATATCGACTGCTTCGTCTGTGATGTCGATGCCTTGGCCGTAAGGGGGTATGGTGGAGCGTTCGGCGATTGTGACTTTGAAGCCTGCTTTTGCGAGCCAGAAGGCTGTGCTGGAGCCTGCGGGACCACCGCCGACGATGAGGATATGATACATATCTAAGTCTTTTCTTGCTGAAGTGTTGGTTTGTGAAGAGAAGGTCCTGGGATCGCTTGCTGCTCTTGTATATGATATCGTCGATGAAGGTGTAAAGACAACAACTCTTGTACTTAGACAGTGGAAGTGCTTCTGTAGTATTGATCGCTGCCGTAAAACATACATAGTGGAGTTTGAAAAGACAGAGAAACACACTGGTACTTATAGATGTCTAAAGCGATCGTTTCTCAATGATGTAAAGAATATTTAGGTAGCGACTTTGGTGCTCGGTCGAGTCTCCGGTACCTAGTAAGTCCCATTGGGTAAAGATCGGCGGTATAGCTCGGGGCTGTTCCCCGAGCTCTGTCGCTCTTGTTGCGACAAACTCAATGATTTGCTCAGATGAGCAGATGGTCGAGATCGATTGCTAGTTGTCCTAGATGGATGCCATGCGTTTAATTCTCGGGTATGTTTAACCAGATCTTTCCGTAATTCTTCCGTTGCCGAGTTATGAAGGACATTATGATGTAAAACAGAGCCGGTACTGGATCTGGCGGACAAGTCTACCACAACCTTGAACGTCGTGGATTGAACATTCTGGTAGGATGTGTAAGGCACACCTCATACCAAGTTTCATGAACCACAATCGAGAAGTCATCAGAAGCCAATAGTCCTGGTGTTTACGCAGGGGTCAATTAAGGCCAGGGTGTCCCTGCCAACACACAAAGGCCAAGCGAATTTATGCCAGGTTTCACACCAGAAAAAAGGGTCTACAAATTTCATATCGAGGTCAAAAAAGTTCGGATTCTCAGCCCATTCCACCATCTTCTCCTAACAGCGATGATTTACAGGCAACGGGCAAAAGGATATTGACGAGAGTGGGATTTGAACCCACGCCCTTTCGGACCAGCGTATTGGATGAACCTTAAGCTGGCGCCTTAGACCGCTCGGCCATCTCGCCCTTGGTGGAGAGGCACTCTCCGTGCGGGTACATAATAGAACAAGCGAGGCGTGCGCATTGACCATGTTTCGTGTCAGTCAATCGGCTGGTCTGACGTTCCTTCATGGATGTTCCTTCATGTAAAGATTGTAGTCGAGTGCGGGCACTGGCAATGGATGGTGGTGAGGTGGTGTGGCTGTTCGAGTGTGGTGATAGGGGAGATCCGTTCGAGCCCTCGCCTCTTCCGTCACAGCTCCTGCAGAGACAAAGGCAATGTCGTTGTTGCAGTATGTGCGCTGTCTTGACGGTCCAGATCCAGAGTAGTGTTGGAAGATCCGGTACTTGAATGAGCTCGCCGATGCTTCTACCGATGTCAAGGAACAATGCTTTGACAGTCTCCTTGTAAGGTCTGGACATAGTTGTAAAAGTGCGCCAGAACTAGGCTCTTGAGTTGCGTTAACTGGAGATGGACAGGCTGTGATCCAGGAGGGCACGAGAGTCTTTGAGTGTCTTCTAGAAGATACCCATACGCTGGCCCCAGCCGTCATTCTTGGGGTTGACTAGGACGTGGTATGGGAAAGTGTTGGTGTCTTGGGTGGTGATGGGCGGGACGTGGTCTTTGTTCTGTAGTACGATATCGGTGATCTTCATGACGGCATTGTTGAGTGACTTCTCTATCGCTTTTCGGGAGGTGGTCGCTTCNTACAGGCAGATGTCAGTCTTGCATAAGTCGTCCAAGCGAGGCAGCCAACCTTGATGAGTGCGTGGAGAAGCCAGAGCAATGTTCAGCGTCCAGGTTTCCCAGACCAGGTCTTCATCCTTTGCTCCAAACCAGCCCTTCTTTCGTCTGCGTTCTCGCTCGCTGAACTGCACGACAATCTGACCACGAGTGTTCTGGTTCTGGTCGTTGGAGTCGGCGTCGACCTGGCGGACGAACTGATCAACACGCTGTTCGATCAGCGTTTGCAAGTCGACGTCTTGGATCCAAGGTATGGAAACGTCGAGCACATCGTGAGTGGTGGGCTCGAGGTTGGCGAAGATGCGATACCAAAAGATGGTATGAAGAATGCCGGTGACGACGTCTTTGGCGTTGGCCTTGTCAGCGAAGACGTCGATGTTGAAGGAAGCCACTCGTCGTTCTTCCATGATGTTGGTGTTGGATGATGACTATCTCATGTTGCGAGGAAGAGTGCGGAGCTGGACTTGTCCATGCCTCTGTCGAGAACACACGTCGCTTCTTTATGGCAGTGACTGCTTGCTCATGAGAGCTCCTTCTCGATAAACACCCGCAATCTGATGCAGACCGTGGGGAAGACCGGTCCGAGCTCCAGATACGTCAGCGACCCGAGCTCCGACAACGGCTTGTCATAGAGAACAGCAGCATCAGCAGCTTCGTCTCCTGCTCTCATCGACCCTCCATGAAGCATTGCACTGGAAACCAAGAGGGTGTCGGATGAGCCTTGCGCGTGTCTTCATCGCCACCATGTGCCTCTCTGTATCTCCAGATGCCTTCGCCTCGCCAGGCACATGCCCCACTGATCTACGAGCCTAGAGAGCGTGCGCCTGGGTCGGGGCTTCCCGCTTCAACATCAAGCACGCGCTGCCCGTTGGACCTTCGACCGGCGACAGCGATGCTACAGGTGCCACCACATCGCTTCACGTAAATAATCCAAACCTTGCGCCAGTATGCCGTCCATGCTGCAGCTCCATCTCCTGTCGAGCGTCGTTTCTAGCAGAAGCTCTCGTGCGTAAGTGCTTGTCTCCTTCCTTATCAGTTCCTGGCCAAGACTTGAGATAGGACTATGCTTCTTCAATCTCAACAAGTACCCTCCTGATCTACACTCCATCAATTGTTTGCTGCCGCCCTCGCACTCAGTTTTGTGACCTCTTCTCATGCCATTTGCTGCCTGCTCGTCGGACTTCCGCGTGCCAAGTCGCTTTCAACAAGCCAGTCACGCTAGGAGATGCACCTCAATCTACCATTACCTTAGAGAAAGTGTGCGACATTGCCTCCAGACCCCCTGCACTGGCAAGGTAGGCTCATTAGGCCATGCCCTCACAAGATATCATCATCATCCTAGGTTATACTGCATTCAGGATACGATTGGCGTCTCTTGGCCCTCGTCTCCTGCAACGTGCAGCTTTAATGGTTACCTCGTTGAACACAAACCCCTCCTGGTGAACTCCCGCTTTTGGAAGGAGACTTGGAGATAAGAATTGCCATCATGTGGCATATAAAGGTTGCTCGTTCTGTGAAAACGTGTGCTGGTTCAAGGTTCAGGTTCTCTCATTCAGCACAAGATGTTGTTCAACATCGCCACTCTTTTAGCTCTTGCCCCTTCTATTCTTGCGGCAGTCACGGACAATGGTGACAAGAAGAAGCGCGATGTCGTCCCTGGTGGATACATCGTCGAATTTGAGGATGTCATGTCTATCGCTTCTGATGTATGTGTTGAGCTCTTGATCGAAAGACTTACCATTGACATGTTGGATAGANCCAAATCCAATTTCTACTCCGAGCTTTCAGACAAGAAGATGAATCCTACTCACCGCATGGATCTCTCGTCTTCTCTCTTCAAAGGCCTTTCGTTCCATGTTGATACTGGCCTTGACCAGGCAGTTGTCGCTTCAGACATTCAAGCCATGCCTATTGTTCGCAAAGTCTGGCCTATATCACTGTACGATACTCAAGACTATGCAACCGCTCCCTATGCCAATGGCTCAAACTCTACAACTTCTTCTGACACCTTCTCTACTCACCTTATGGGCCATGTCGACAGACTGCACGCCGAAGGCTTGACCGGAAATGGAACGTTTGTTGCAATTATCGATACTGGTATTGATTACCTCCATCCTGCCCTCGGTGGCTGTTTCGGCCCTGGTTGCAAGGTTGCATATGTAAGTGCCTTGGCACAAGCTTTGGAAATGCTTGCTAACGTTCACAACAGGNGTTATGATTTGGTTGGTGATGACTACGACGGTACCAACGCTCCTGTACCAGATCCTGATCCATACTCTGCCTGCAATGAGCACGGCACCCATGTTGCAGGTATTGTGGCGGCTGGCACGAACCCCTACAATTTCACCGGTGTCGCACCCGATGCAACTCTAGGTGCTTACAGAGTTTTTGGATGCTCTGGAAGCGCTGGTGATGATGTTCTTATTGATGCTTTTACCCGTGCCTACGAGGATGGAGCAGACATCATCACTGCCAGTATCGGTGGCCCCAATGGCTGGACTGGTAAGTCGTCTTGACAGACATGAAGCGTGGGATACTGATGCTTCGCAGAGGAGCCGTGGACTGTCGTAGTCTCTCGTATCGTCGCAGCTGGAACTCCCTGCACTCTTGCTGCTGGTAATGATGGCTCCGAAGGCCTGTTCTACGGTTCGTCGGCTGCTGATGGTATTGATGTCATTGCCGTTGGATCTATCGACAACATCGAATCCCCCGTATTCACCACTTATGGCAGATACACTGTCGACAACTCGACAAGTGGCCAATTTGGTTACTTGGCCGCTGCTATCGGCATGCCCAATGTCAGCCTACCCCTATGGGCTGTCAGTGAAGACAGCACCATCGTTGACGATGCTTGCAAACCTCTTCCTGCCGACACCCCTGATCTTTCCGGCAAGCTTGTCCTCATCCGCCGTGGCACTTGCACTTTCGATACCAAGGCCGCGAACGTTGCTGCCTTCGGAGCTCAGTACATTCTGTTCTACAACAACGCTCCCAGTCTCACCTCTCCCAGTGTGACTGACCCTGACATCCTGGGAGCAGCCATGGTCTCCGCCGACCAAGGTGCTTCCTGGGCTGCTAGCCTTGCTGCTGGCTCTGCTATTCAGGTCAGCATCGATGGTAAGTTGACTGTCTTCTCCAGTCCTGCCAACAATGTCACTGGTGGACACATGTCAACATTCTCGATGTGGAATCCCACCAACGAGGCCTACGTTAAGCCTGAGATCTCTGCCCCTGGTGGTAACATCTTGTCCACGCTCCCTCTTGAGCAGGGCGGCTACGGAGTCTTATCCGGTACTTCAATGGCTACTCCCTTCGTCGCTGGTGTTGTTGCACTCATGAAGCAGGCTCGTCCCGATCTTGAGCCTCACACCATTCGAGCCATTCTTGGCACTACTGGCCATCCTGTCACTTTCAACGACGGCAAGACTACCTACGAATATCTTGCTCCTGTGGTTCAGCAGGGAGGTGGTGAGGTTGACGCTTTTGCTGCCGTTCATACGTCCACTATCCTCGATGTTGCAAATCTAGCTTTCAACGACACGGCCCACTTTGTCCAAGAAGCAAACTTCACCATTACCAATCGCGGTAGCAGCGATATCACCTACAATCTCGACTACATCAATGCTGCCACAGCTTATACTCTTCCTGATGATGGCAGCACCCAACCCCAGACTTTCCCTCCAGATCTCGTCACTTCCGGAGCAAGCGTACACTTGAGCTCTAGCAGCGTGAGCGTCGCAGCTGGCAAGTCTGAAGCTGTCATTGTCACTCTGTCACTTCCCAAGGACCTCACAACCGCTCGTATTCCCGTGTACTCAGGCTTCATTACCATCAATGGAACCAATGGCGATTCTCTGAATCTCCCTTACGCCGGCGTTGCGTCTTCGCTCAAGGACGCCACTGTCCTTGATGCCAGCACTGGATATCCCTACATCACTAGCACCTCTGACAACACCTTTGTCCCCCTGAACTCTAGCACTGTCTTCACCATTTCAGTTGCTAACACTACCATCAACGGTACTACCGACAACTCAACTGGTCTTCTGATACCCAATTTGAGAATCGGTCTCGTCATGCCTTCGTCCCTCATCCGAGCCGATCTCCTCCCCTCAAATGGTACATATGGCACTTACACCAACACCACCACGATTCTTGGTGTCAAGACTTTAGGTGCTATTGCCGGCAGCCCCAGTGTCTACCAGCCTAGAGCCAACGCCTGGAGCACCGCGTTCTACGGTGTCCTTGACGACGGCAGAAGAGTTCCCGCTGGCACTTACTCTATCCTCGTTCGCGCTTTGAGAATCTTTGGAGATGCGACAAATCCTGAGGACTATGACAGTGCTGAGACTCAGCCTTTCACAATTAGATATGTGCATTAAGCGTATTTGAGTGATGGATGTACCCCTTAATCTTTGTTGTTCATAGATGGTGGTTATGGTTTAGAATATAACACTTCTTCTTCCAACCCTTGTTTTTGCTGAGGTCTCTATAAACATTTCAAGTCTATCATGCATGTGACTATGAAAGGTGTCCGTCGTCTGTGAGAGAAGGAAAGTTCATCGTGAATGTGAAGAATGGGTTGTATGTTTTCTTTGATGCTTGAACTAATATAAAACGAACCCCAAAGTCCAAAGAACGCCTTATCTAGTTTAGTAATATTTACGATTCCTTGCTTAACAAGTTCACTCGTAAACGCAAAAGTCCTCTCCGTCAAAGAATCGAACACACGACTCCCAAAGCCCAGTCACACCCCTTGTAAACTCACGAAACCGAATTTTAGCAACAGAAAGCAGCGGGTTTGAGTCCTACTCGCTGCGATTGATCCTTTTCGTGATCAGTTGATGGTGCAAGTTCCTGACCAGCCAGTCGGTGAAGTTTGGTTCTGGGTATCATCATCGGTCGTCGTTCTTTCAGCCTCCTGAGCCCTCATTCTGTCTGCGTCCTCAGTTCTCAGGCTCTCGGCCATTGTTCTTAGGAGGTCTTCGAGTTCGTCCAGCTCAAAGGCAAGCTCTCGCTCAGGCATGATGGATCGAGTCTCGCATGTGTCGTCTTCGGTGCCAGGCATCGCATCTTGTTCCTCATCGTCATAATTCAGTATGTTAGCAAGAGCTTGGGTCCGATGCCTTGCAGCGTGATTGCTTCGGTGAAAGTCAAATGGTGAAGCAAGTCCAGTTGTGACGGCAAGAGCAGCACGTTCAGCCTGTGTTCTCGCCGCCTTTGCAATTTCCTCTTCTCGTCTTTTCTGTTCAGCCTTTGCAGCTTCCTCTTTCCTCTTTCTTGCGTCTTCAGCTCGTTTCTTGGTCAACGCCTCTTCAGCTGCCTTTTTCATCTTTAATCTTTTCTCTTCGATCTGTTTCTCTCTTTTCCTTTCTTCCTGCTCTTTCTTTTCCTTTTCCTTCTTGGCGGCTTCCTTTTTGTTCTTTTCTGTCTTCTCTTTTCTTCTCTCTGGGCTTCCTTGTACTCCCAATCTGGCTCGGCGTCTTCGCAGACCGAGTTCCACATTTCAAAGTCTTCGTAGTTTGGGTTTGAGTGCTTGTAGCCTCCGTATCTGGGGATCGAGTCGTCGCTATCGCTGTCGCTTGAGTAAGAGGAGCCCATATTGATCGATTGAGGGGAAGAGGGCGTTGGTGTTGCGTGATGGGTGTTGGGTGTTTGTTTTTGGTGGAGGCTGTCGATGGTTCGAGGGTTCGGTTTGGTAAGTGGACTTTGAAGAACAAGCTTCGAAGACTTATATATCTGGATGATGAGAAGTGGAAACGGTATATACAATCAATTATAGAACACAGCCTGAGACAGGTCGAGAGAAAGCAAGACATGTTATCAATTTCGAGACTCGCACTTTCAAGGCTGAGATGAACACTGTACATTTTCGAAACAGTTGTCTCTATAATATCTTATCTCTAGAACTTGGTGGACTTGGAGGTGTAATCTCAGATCCGGACCGCAAGATAAACGCTGTCTCAATAGTTTGATCTAGCCAAAGATGTTGCTCTTCGCGCGACGGACAAAGACAACGATCTCAGACAAGGCGACGAACCAATCTCTTCATGTGCTTAGAGTCTACTGCACGCAATTTAGCCTACGAATGTAGTCTGATAAGAAAATGTCGTTGTTCCAATTGCATCACACCAACTCTTGCAACATGTCTTCTAAATCCTCTCTTCCAAATGGCACAGCCAGTCTCTCAACACCCAATCCGTCTTTTTTGCTCTCTACCATATCGTGATCATGAAACTCTTTGAGCAAGGTTCTGAAACTCATCTCAGACGAACAAACAAACTCTTCGACAGCCTTGTGATACAGTGTCCTATATTCGACACCCACGAATGACGAAGTCTTGTGAACCTTGGCTTTTGGTGGTGCTGCTTTCTTCGGCGGGCGACCCCGGCCACGGGTAGGCTTTGTGACATTGCCGTGATCCATATCCTCATCACCCGAGTGACCGAGAATACTATCCGAGTCAGGAGATCCGGGTTGTGCTTCGAACGTAGAGTCGGCGAGGGCCAATTGCTCAGCGACCAAGATGCGGAACAGGTTTCTCGCATTCTCGGGTAATGAGCGCAACACATATGCTACGCCATCTTTTCCACCTATGCGACGACCACTGCGGTTCAGGAGTATGTTGACCTCTTCTACCGGATCGAGTTCTGCAGTATAAGGTGCAAAAGTTGTGGTATCGTGGAAAAGGAAACGAAGAGAGGAGCGCTGGGATATGTCCCAGAGTAGTGGAAAGGTTGGCGTATCTGCTGACGCAACTAGGCAGACGTTGGGATGGGCGGCCAGAGCCGAGATGGTAGACTGAAACAGGGGCTTGCGGAAGAAAGGACTGTCGATCGAGTGGGCAATTATATAGATAGGTGTGGACGATGGGTTCGTCGTCAAGGCGGAGAGTAGAGCATCCAAGAGAGCCTGAGGCTGGAGAGGAAGCTTGTTGGCTATTGAGGAAGGGAGAGAGTGTTTTGCGATGGTGGTGAGAACATCTCTGACCGAGATGTTGGGCGAGTAGCCGTTCACGATGACCAATTTAGGCTTCTCGTCCAAGGCTTGGTATGTGTGGTCTGCAAAGTCGAGAAGAAGTTCACGCTTGGAGCCATAGCCGTAGATGCAGATGTTGAAGCCTTGGTCGAGTTCGAACAGCCACTGATCGAAGCCATTCTCATGAAGACCAGCCAGGAAGTTTGTGTCGGCAGCGTGTGGATCTTGGTATGGATTGATCTTGGCAAAGTAGTCGTCGTGGTTGAGAAGAGCATTGCTCGGCAGGGTATTGGTCGAAGTCTTGACAGCTCCTGGCCTGTTCTGGAAGAAGTACAGCTCATGCGGTGGCATGTCTTGTGGCGTGNNGGGGACGGCTGCCTCTTCTTGCCCTTTGGTCTTCCTCGCGGCCTGGGAGTCTTTNGACGGAGTGCCTGGAGCGACGGTGATGTTATCCTCATCTGCCATGTCTTGATCTGACTCGACAGCGTCGTCCAGGATCTCGCGAGCCAGAGCATCTTCCAGACCGGTATCGTCAATGGCAGACTCATCGTCACCTTGCGGATCAAACAATATCTTGTGGCTCTTGCGCCTGGCAGAACGGTCTGCATTGAGGGCAGCGGTCAAGGGAGAATCCTTAGTCGGCGCATCCTGAATGTCAAGGTCGCCGGGTTTGGCTGGAGTGGAGAAGAGCACCTTCCGTAGCGAGCGTGGAGTTCCTTCTTGTTTGAGCGTCGACTTGAGGATTGAGCGCTGTTTCGAAGGCGTGTCTGCATTCGTGTGTCGTGACGGTGTTTCGGCATCGATTATCCGCCTCTTGGACGGTGTCATTTCCACGTCCGCCTCTTGAGCGTGCTCGGCAGTGTCTTCTCCATCCTGGCTCCTTCTTCGTTTGGGCATCGGTAGTCGTTTGTCTGGAGTCTTGGTCGACGATTGTTTACCTGATGCCGCACCAAGTCCGACAAACGAAGCAACACTAGCCGGTGCTAGCTTCCCCACAGATTGATAAGATTAGCCGAGATAGGCAGCCTCTATCGTGCAGCTTTGACTCACCCGCAGTTTCTATAACACCATTTGTCTTTTGCGATCAATTGCTGATTCATATCAGGAATCCGACAGTCGCCAGTAACATGGCCACCTCCCGATCAGTAACCGCTCGCCGGTTAATATCACTATCAGTACAGCATACACGATGCTACTCAGCTCCCACCGACGGCGCAATCCCACCCAACAAGGCCAAATATGTCCCCACCGAAGGAACCTATCCCAAGGGCTTCGTCGTCGGTAGCGCCCATGCACAAGTCAAGCCTTCTAACACAAGGTTCGATGACCTCGCTCTGATCGCCTCCGAGAAGCCCTGCTCGGCCGCCCTGGTCACCACCCAGAACCATTTCCAGGCCGCTCCCGTGAGCATTAGCAAGAAGATCATGTTCCAACACCAGAGCAAGAGCATCAGAGGCGTCGTCATCAACTCTGGATGTGCCAATGCTGTCACAGGCAAGGGCGGACGTGAAGATGCCATCCGCATGGCCAAGCTCACCCACGACCTCTTGAACAAGCGCAACCCGAGTGAACACGACAAGACCGCCGAAGCCGAAGCCAAAGAGAAGATCAGAGAAGGCGCTGTCAAGATAGCCGAAGACGATCAAGACGTCTCCAGCATCCGTACCCTGGTCATGAGTACTGGTGTCATTGGACAGCGCCTCCCTATCGACCGTATCGAAGCCAAGATTCCCACCCTCGTCGAGTCCCTGGGCAACACCCACGACCACTGGCTCCGTTCGGCCCGTGCCATCTGCACTACCGACACCTTTCCCAAGCTTCTCTCTCGCCAGTTCACCCTCCCCTCATACCCCGGCATCACTTTCTCCATCGCTGGCATGACCAAGGGAGCTGGCATGATCCACCCCAACATGGCCACACTTCTCGGAGTCATCTGCACCGACGCTCCTATCCAAAAGACCGCCTTGAGGGTGCTGCTCTCTACTGCCACAAACTCGTCTTTCAACCGCATTACTGTCGATGGTGATACCAGCACAAACGACAGTGTCGCTCTGTTCGCAAACGGCATGGCCGCTCCTGAAAGCGAGCCAGTCCGTCTCAACCATCTCAACCCGAAAGAGCTCCCTACCAAAGGCAATTCCTTGATTGGACAAAGACTCGAGAGGCAGTCAGAAGATTACAAAGAGATGAACAAGGTCTTGACATCCTTTATGGAAGATCTGGCCAAGCTCATTGTCCGTGACGGCGAAGGAGCTACCAAGTTCGTCACTGTAAAGGTGACCAAGGCCGACAACGACACTGCTGCCCACACTGTCGCCAACTCCATAGCTACCTCCGCTCTCGTCAAGACAGCGCTTTACGGAAAGGACGCCAACTGGGGTCGCATCCTTTGTGCGATTGGATACGCCCCAGGAAACACCTGCGTTCGTCCCCAACAGACTTCTGTCTCCTTCATCCCTGCCGACGGCTCAGAAGAGCTCAAGTTGCTGGTCAACGGCGAGCCACAGGCTGTCGACGAGGCCCGCGCTGCTGCCATTCTCGAGATGGAGGACCTGGAGATCCTCGTCACATTGAGCAACAAGGAAAAGGATGTTGGTGCGGCCACTGTCTACACCTGCGACTTCAGCCACGAGTACGTCACTATCAATGGCGACTACAGGACCTAGGGTGTCTTGAACCTGTCAATGCTTTGTTTGTACATATTTTTATGCTGCCTGAACAACGGAGTGGCATAGTTGGACACGATGAAATGAATAGAATACCGTGCCGTGTCAGGGAAACAACTCTATGATGTTCTTCAATGTCTTGTGCTCTGAGCTGTGTTAATGTACATTCTGAGTGAGGCATCATTACAATTGAGCAAATCCAGTCAACGCAAATGTAGCGCCAAAGGCCAGCTTAAAGGCTACGTTGTCCTGCATGGCCGAACGCAAGTCAATGCTGGTGAAGTAGCGTTGCATGCGACCATAAGGGATGAGACTGATACCCAGTTGAGACTCTGCAAACTGNTTTCGACGTCAATATCAGCAATTGCGAAAGGAGTGTAAGAAGAGATGGGAGGGGAAAGGGTGCATGAAGTGAGTTCAAAAGCATACCTGGACACCAACAATCAAGAGACCAATGAGCAGAGTCAATGGCTTAGAGAAGAGTGATACTGCCATGCCACCGATCACACCTNNATATATCTACATGAGTACTTCCATCCCCATAATCACGGGGTAGAAGTCAAACATACCTGCAATACTTCCACTCGAAATCTGACGCACGGCATTGGGGTTGAGTCCGCCTCTGCGGTTCACCACCGGCACCTTGGCATTGTTCGTGTATGAGTTGAATGCAGTGCTGGAATCACACAGAGCGTATAGATTTCTTCGGGGCGCGAGAAGAGAGTAGGACGTAAATGCTGCGCCGAGACCGAGACCGATGCCTAATGGACGCGAGTGTAGCAGGAAAGACATTTTCGTTTGGTGTTGTGTTTCGAACTGATGAAAGTTTAAGTGGTGTGATTTGTTGGTGAGTCACTGGATGCGAACGGTATGGATGGTTGGTAGACTCAGGAGGTGTTTCTTTGCTGTGTGTTTGGTCTGATTGTCGTCGAATGTCAATGACGCTGACCGCAGGAGCTTGGACCCTTATCAGATCGCAATTGCGGAGAGCGGTGCGCTAGAAGGACGGATTTTGTAGACTTCTTCTCTTTGGTTTCAAGAAGTTACGACCAACTGGAAGGGCTGGCAACTGTTGGTATGATATGATGAAAGCCACTGACGACCTAGTGGATATAATCACCTTCTATGTGTGCAGTCGCATCAAAAGGACAAGACACGATACCCCTCAGATAGACGGTTTTCGTACTTGCAGCTCTCAATTCCGAGCCAATCGGTGTCGTTCGGTGGTTCGGCGTTCTTCCAATGGCAGGGTCCGCGCCTTCCGACAGCGGGGCAGCAGGCGGGATTTGGATTGTTCTCGACGATGAAGTGCACCCTTGGCAGTTCGCCGCCCTACGCCCGCGTGTTTTTCTTGAGTAATAATGCCTTCAATAGGCAGGTGAGTCACTCGAAAGAAGGGCGAAGTTCCCTGGCGAACAGATATACTTTTATAAATCTTGGAGACCACAAGACCCCTTCTCTTTTTCTCCCACGCACATATTCCACTTCGCTCGACCTTTGTTTCCTCTGCATCTGTCCAGTTCATACACACATCCCTCACAATGGCCACCACACTACCCACCACCAACGGCAAGCACGACGGTGCCAATGGCACTGACGGAGTTGCCTCGTTCGCTGTCAAGGCTGGTCTTGCCCGCATGTTGAAGGGCGGTGTCATTATGGACGTCGTCAATGCTGAGCAGGTGCGCTCATCTTCTGTGTCTTTCCAATGACATTGTCACTAACACTTGCCTCAGGCCCGCATTGCTGAAGAGGCCGGTGCCTGCGCCGTCATGGCTCTCGAGCGTGTCCCCGCCGACATTCGCAAGGACGGTGGTGTTGCCCGTATGTCCGACCCCAGCATGATCAAGGAGATCATGGACACCGTCACCATCCCCGTCATGGCCAAGGCCCGTATCGGCCACATTGTCGAGTGCCAGATCCTCCAAGCTATTGGTGTCGACTACATCGACGAGTCCGAAGTCCTTACCCCCGCCGACCCCATTTACCACGTCGAGAAGCACGAATTCAAGACTCCCTTTGTTTGCGGCTGCCGCGACCTCGGTGAGGCCCTGCGTCGTATCGCTGAGGGTGCTGCCATGATCCGCACAAAGGGCGAGGCCGGTACTGGCGATGTCATTGAGGCTGTCCGCCACATGCAGACCGTCAACCAGCAGATCGCTCGCGCTGCTGCCATGTCTGAGCCCGAGCTCCGTGCTTTCGGTCGCGAGATTGGTGTCCAGTACGAGCTTCTCAAGGAGACCTGCCAGCTCAAGCGTCTGCCCGTGGTCAACTTCGCCGCCGGTGGCATCGCTACTCCCGCTGACGCTGCTCTGATGATGCAGATGGGTTGCGACGGTGTCTTTGTCGGCTCCGGTATCTTCAAGAGTGGTGACGCTGCAAAGCGCGCCAAGGCCATCGTTCAGGCCGTCACCCACTACAACGACCCCAAGGTTTTGGCCGAGGTCAGCATTGGACTTGGTGAGGCCATGGTCGGCATCAACTGTGGTTCCATGGACCCCAAAGACAAGCTCCAGGGTCGTGGCTGGTAAAGGACTACAGTCCGTCTATCAACGATACGACACTTGGGACAGCGAATCATTTTTGACTAAAGAGCAAAGGCGTTCAACAAACGGAAGGGTAGAGTCGGGTATCGCGCAGATGCAAACAGGCTCTGAAGACATGATGACTGCAAAAGCAAGGCGTATTAGCGTTCTTGGAGAAGACTCGTTTCAACAGGGTTGAGATTTATGAGGAGTTATGTACGATAGTAGCGAGCAGTAAAAACTGCGCATGACGGACACGACACTTTTATAGAATACATACCTATTTTTCTCATGACTGTTTCCCATGGCTACAAACTGGATCGACATGGAGAACGTACAAAAGGCCATCCGTTTCTCAACAAAGCTGCCTCGGCTGCAAGCGGCAGGGTTGAGTAATCAGTATTGTGGAAGCGAGGACCAAGCGCCGCGGCAGTTTTTGTATCTTATCCGTAAACTTGAGTTCTCCCAATATGCATCATCATTGAGGGTTGAACTTGTTAGCAGGGAAGCGGCGAGGTCGCCGGCGGCCGGAAAAGACGGCGAATGTACGGGGGCGGTCGCGGGCAATGCGGAAGTGTTGTGTACAGGAGAGTTGTTGCGCATAAGCGGTCCAAGGATAAAGACGATCCAAATCCGGACCAATCGTCGATGTGAGGCAAGGTTCAGCATGCATAACTGGCCTAGACCATTTTGGAGCCGTGTCGGGCTGTGAGAGGGACTACTGGACTTGGGAACGGCAAATCTACCAGAGACAAGTCTTCTGTCCTCCTATCCTCCTCTATGTCTCGTCGTCCAGGGGTGCGAACGTGAAAGTGCCAATGTCGAGTTCCACGCACCCGCAGCCTTCGACCAGCGAGACGTCGCGGACGCGCGAAGTCTTCAAGTGAGTTCGGTCGCCAGTCCGACCACCATCGGACTGCATGATGGTCGTACAAGCAGGCCAGGCTAACATGTTGGGTCGTGTAGATGTTTGGAGCCCTTCGAAACGTCCATCCAGCCTCTGCAGTTCAACAATGGTGAACTCAAGGACAGACTCGCTGTCGGCAGTGACGACACGGCTTTGGCTGCGTTTGCCCAGCTGGGTGCGCTGCGACTCAAGGCCCAGCGCTGCCTCATCTCGCTTCTGTCAAAAGATGAAGAATGGATCCTAGCCGAGAGTACCAGGACGCTAAGTTTACAGTAGGCATCTCTACGTCTACACGATAGCCACCTTCTATTAACAATCATCTTATAGANNTCTGATCTTGTACACAACTCCCGCGACGCTTTGTTCCTCGGAACCACACGCTTCCCTCGCCACGAAGGCTTTTCAATCACCGGCCTCAAGCAATGGATCACTACCAAGGAACGTCGCGACGACCCAAAAGAGGACGCATTCTACTACACTGATGGCGTTAGCCCGCACTGGCACATCATCAGCGACGTGCGACAGGATGCCGACATGCAGAAGCTCATCTTGGTCAAGGCTGTCAGCACCCTGAGATTCTACGCTGCTGTACCCATCCGAACAAGCAATGGCTTGGTCGTCGGTACCTACGCCATCCTGGACGACCGTCCTCGCTTTGGAATCAGTGCCGACGAGATGGTCTTCATGGAAGACATAGCTGACACCATCATGGGTCATCTCCAAGCCAAACATACCGCCTTGCAGAGACAACGTGGTGACCGCCTGATCAAGGGTTTGGCTCTTTTCAGTGAAGGCAAGGACAGTCTGCGCGACTGGTGGCTGGATACACACTCTCGTAAGGAAAGGGGCGAGGGTGCAAGACGTCGCCGCGGCTCAATTGAGGAAGAAAAGACCCGAAACGATCGTGCCGATGAGGAATTGGGCATGAACTATCATGCCTCTGACATTCCACATGGTCGGACCCATGCCCTCAACGACACGAAGCAGATCCTGCCAGCCGGCCAAGTTCCGAAACCCACGTTGAAATCTGGCCATCTGGCCCAGGACAAGCATGAAGGCTTCGACCTCGGCCGCGAAATCAACACAGCATTCGCTCGAAGCAGCAACCTCATGCGTGAGGCTATCAGCGCCGAAGGTGTTGCCTTTATCGATGCCGATTTCCACCGTTCCAAAGAGGCGACCAAGAACCAAGAATCTTCTTCTACCGACCTCGAAAGCGACACTGCGACTGGCTCTTCCGGCCCGGAGTCAACTTCGCCCAAACTGCAGACACCCATTTCTCCCGATGCTCAATGCGCCCTGCTTGGCTTTTCTACAAAGGTCAAGTCTACCATCCGTGGCTTCGATGCTTCTGCAAGACACTCTAGTCTCCCAAAGACTTTCATTCGCAGCCTTATCCGTCGCTACCCTATGGGCAAAGTTTTCAACTACCATGATGGCAAAGCTCTCTCAAGTTCTTCTGGCACCGATATCTCCTCGGACGATGTTAGTGAGGGATCCAAGAACAGCAGGTCACGCAAACGTCGCAGTCGCGAATTCGTCGACGCTATGACTCTGGGCGAAGTCTTCTCCGGCCCCCGTAGTATCGCTTTCCTGCCCTTGTGGGACAGTAGACGGGAGAGATGGCGATCTGCCGTTTTCGTCTGGAACGCCGCACCCAACAGATTCTTGGACAAGGCCGAGGACATTACATATCTCGCAGCTTTCAGCAACAACCTGATGGCTGAGCTGTCACGTCTCGACGCCATAGCCGCCGATCAAGCCAAAGCCACTTTCATCAGCTCTGTTTCTCACGAGTTGAGATCTCCACTACATGGAGTGTTGGCGGGAGTGGAGCTCTTGCAGGAAAGTCACCTCAACAACTACCAACAGGAGATGACGACTACCATTAGCATGGCTGGCAAGACATTACTCGACACAATCAACAACATTCTTGACTTTACGAAGATCAACAGTTTCACAGACCTAGAACGCAAGGACAGGAAAGAAAAGGACGCTGGTAGGAACTCCGGGTTCAAGACTGCGGACATGGGTGAAGTCGGAGTCACGAGTGCAGTTGATCTTGCTGTTTTGACCGAGAATGTGGTCGACACAACCGTCACGGCTAAGAGCTTCCAAGCAAGCAAAGCAAAACAGGATGACGAAGATGAACTCGTCTCAAAAGCACCAAAGCAAGTCGCGGTAGTATTGAACATCGCTAAACGACCGAACTGGAACTTGGACATATCGCCTGGTAGCTGGACCAGAGTCATCACCAACCTTTTGGGTAATGCACTTAAGTACACCAAACAAGGTACAATTACTGTGAGTCTGCAGTACAAGAAATCGGAGCATCCGGACAAGGCTCAGGTATCATTGACGATCGAGGATACTGGCCAAGGCATTGGCAGCGAATATCTTCGAAACCACTTGTACACACCGTTTATGCAGGAAAACACGCACGCCGTTGGTACTGGACTTGGACTCTCGATTGTGAAGCAGATCATCAAGGACTTTGGTGGTCACATCACTTTTGAGAGTGAGCTTGGAAGGGGAACCAAAGTGGTTGTCTTCTTCAACGCTACCTTTGAAGAGGACGCAGAGTCTGAAATTCACGTACCGAAATGTGCTGATGGCGGCAACCTGAAAGTTGCACTGTCCAAGTCGTTGGGCACGACTGATGGGGATCGCACACGCGACAAGATCATCAAGACGAACACTTCCAAGACTTGCAAGGAATGGCTAGATTGCCAGACTGAGTCGGTGTCCGCTTCTGACGGTGCTGACGCCTTCGATGTTTGTATTCTGGCTGAAGCAGATTATGATCAATGGCAAGAGAAGAGGAGAAACTCGACAAGTCAGACGCCAACACCGATGATTGTGCTCGGTTCGATCTCTGCCTCATCAGTCGTGAGACAGAGTGCATCAAAGAATGCGATTTTCATCAACCAACCATTCGGTAGGTAGCCCGTTTCTTATCGTCGTCAGTCCAAAGACTGAATATTTGCATGAACCGAGTCTGGGTTTCACAAGTATGCTGACTGTGTTGTGAATCAGNGTCCGAGAAAAATGTCAAGAGCACTGGCGGCAGCTCTGCAGAGTCGTGTCCAGTCGAACCCAACTTCTGGAAACCGAACGCTAGGCGCCATTGCCACCTCACCGTCCGCCTTGCAAATACTCACAAAACCGGCGAATAGCGATCCCCCGCCAACCTACACGGAGTCAAGACCTGGCCTGAAATTAAATACATCCATTCCCTCAACACCTACGTCATCCGAGAAGAACGCGACTCCACGGACAATCGAAATTACCGCTGACGAGGATACGAACCGCCGTAAAGTGCTGCTAGTTGAGGACAACTCGATCAATATGAAACTCCTCGTCGCGACCATGCGCAAGTTGAAACGACCCTACACCTCCTCAGGCAACGGCCTAGAGGCGGTGACCGCCTATGCGTCTGCGCCATCCTCCTATGCCTTGATCCTCATGGACATCTCTATGCCAGTGATGGACGGCTTTACAGCCACCGAGTTGATTCGCAACCTCGAGGAAAAGAACAAATGGAATCGTTGCACTATCATGGCACTGACTGGCGTTGGCGACGCGGAAGCAAAGAAACGCGCCTTCCTCGCTGGAGTCGACGACTTTATGACGAAACCAGTCAGCATGGGCAAACTAGGCGGCATCATCAAGAACCTCGAAGGCGGAGGAGGTAACGTCGACACCGATGCCAACACTCGCAAGCAAAACGCGTGCCACGAAAAAGCACAACAGAATGGACACAATCAACAGCAGCAACATGCAGTGGAACAGCCCGCCTGACATGATTGCCGGGAGGAAGATCAACACATCGACGTCAACGAACACATCGAGGTTAAGGACTTTGCTTCCGGCATACCTTCGGGCAGTGCTCAACAGGGAACCAAGAGAATGAGATCACCTGCAAGTGGTGACGGATATGACGATGAAGAGGACAAGAGGAAAAGATCTATTGTCGAAGAGCAAGCTACTGCGGGATTTTGAAGAAGAGCAGGATGTTATATTTTATGGGATCAACGGTCAAACGAAGGAGTAAGGGAATTGGAAGGAGAGAATCCTTTTCTTTTGATGGAGTTTTATGATGCAAATGTTTTTGCGTGTTCGAGTACATATATCCGATTCTTTTCTCTTTTTTGGAAGGAGGCAAAGGGGTGTCTTTATTCTTTCTAATCCAGTCGCTTCCGACTCAACTACAGTATTGGGTTCTTCTCTCTCTGTGGATACTTTTGTAAACTGGAACTAGTTCTTGCATTTCCATGCTCATGCCCTTTACCTACGAGACAGAAGAGAGATATATTTGTTCACCGCTATGCGACTCCAGATATAGCGTGATAGAAGAGCTGTCAAAATTGCACAGTATACCTGAAACAGGCAATATTTCGTATCACATATGATTGTAGAAAGATAGCTGTAGGGATTGCCCAACAGTATTTCATGGTCTTGAAAGCAGCAAAAGAGACCTATCTATATACTTTCACCTCACGCCCTACTCGAACGAGGTCACTGTACCCTTGCATAATGCCCAAAATTCCTTGACCACCACCACCGTCTGCCTACCTCCTCTCAACCCCAGCACCTTGGCCACAAAGACCCGCTTCTCCTTCTCTCCCACATTGATAGATGGGAAGCCCGCATCGAGAAGTGCTTCCTCGAGGTGCTGCTTGGCCAGCCCAGGCTGGGAGAAGACGAGTGCGCGAAGGGGTTTGCACAGCGACTCGATCTCTGAGCGCTGGGCCAGCCCACCAATGTTAAAGATGAGGGCGCGGGAGAGAGGAGCGGCAAAAGCGCCAAGGACGGAGAGAGGGGGTACGCGACAGGTAGGGAGGGCGTGAGCGGTGCGTGGGTTAGCGAGACCCAGCAACGTTTCCTAGGTTCGTGCGCGTTAGTATCACGGTACGGAGAGGAACGATAATCGGGCGAACACCGAGACGAAAGGGAGGCTTACAAAGAAGTTGCAGGCATTGCGCTTCAGCATGGGCGCATTGCCTACCATGCAGTTGATGACGAACTGCAGAGCTGCAGCGATCTCGTCGTCCGAGGGCGAGAGGAGAACGTCTATGTAGCTGACTAGCAGCCTTTGCAGGAAATCGATGCAGAGCTGGGCCAGTTGGGGATCGTTGGCCGGGTCACCGAGCTGCTGCATGACCAGAGCTACTCTCTGGTACACCGCTGACATTTCGTCAAACATGTGCGGTGACGACTTGCGCGAACAATTAGAGACAAAACTGCACGCTGTACCGATGATGGCCTCGATACGGGGCGTGCTGATTTGTGCCTTGCTGATGAAGGCGACAGTAGCCTGAGGCGCGAACACGAAGGGACCCGGCTTTGTCTCCTTGAGACCAGCGCGCAGAATCGCACAGGCGGCATCCATTGCATCGCCTGGGTTGTGGAGATACTCGACAATGTTGATACATTGCACGATGCGATTCTGAATCTCGACGCCAGCCTGCGAAGTCCAGAAGTTGCTCGTTGCGGCTGAGTCGTCGTTTCCTTCCTCATCATCGCTGTCCACGTCAATCACATCATTGGTGAGCGCTTGGATACCTTTGCCAATGCTGGCCAAACACTGCAAGGCAGACGTTCCTAGCACTTCGCTATCCTCAAGATTGCCCTTGTTCAGAGTTGCGATAGCCGTATTGAGATCATTCTCGATTACCTCAACGAGTGATATCAAGGGCGCGGCCTTGGCTTCTTCGGTGGGTAGGGCTTGTATGATCGAGGCAAGAGCTGCCATGATCTTCTCTTTCTGATAGCTGTTCGCTGATGGGCCGGAAAGTGCTTGCGGAAATTGTTGAAGCAATTCGTCAAGATGTGGTGTCAAAGACTTGCGGCATGAGGAACAAAGCTGTTCAAGAGATTTTGCAGAAGCGTCGGCGAGCTTGATACGGTCTGCAGGTGTGGACCCCAGTATTGTGAAGAGGAAGGTAAGGACTGGGGGCAAGAACTGCGGATTCTTCTTGATGAACGAAGAGTATCGGTCAACGAGCGTCATTGCAGCACGCTTGAGCTTGTTCGGGACTTCGGCGCTGTTGGACGAAATATCGTTGAACATTGAAGATCCAATGAGTGCAGAGAGCGCCTGGATATTTTCGTCTGACAGTGCGATCGAGTCTGAGATGCAGTTGATTGAGAAGACTATGGCTTCGAGATGTAGCCATTGGTGAGTAGGCAAGACACTGGTTGCGAGAACGACCATATTACTGAGGAGGTGCGTCTCTGGAACGTTGCTGACCTGTTCAAANAAGTCGCTGATGTTATCGCGAAAGAATTGCCAGTGATCAATGTTGTCTTCGTCCCACTCGGACATAACAGTTGGAGGTGCCGCCTGGAGTTTTGGGATGTATGTTTGGACGGCTTGCATGAGGTCGTTTCTCACAGCTGCGAGGAAAGAAACCTCGTCCTCTGCTGCGTCCATGATCGTGTCGGCAATTTGTTCGGCATAGTCAATCCAGAACTCTGTCACATTGATAATGACTTGATCATCTTCAGCAGGATAGCCAGGAGCACACAGAAGCTGTTGGAAGAGGCCTNNAAGACTTGGTTAGTTCACGGTCTGGATCTGGCGTGTGACCCTCATTGACTGACCGACGATTTCTTGGGACGATTCTTGGTTTCTTGCCGAGATCAGGTCCTTGACGACCAATTTGCCATAGGCAGTGATCAACTTGCTGAACGCCACAATGGTTGGGTCCAAGAAGTTTTGACTTTGTAGTAAACATTGCGGACCAATGGTTCTGCGTACTAGCAGAGATAAAGATTCCAGGTGGGCCTTCTGAAGGAATTTCGAGCGATACTCCAGTGTATTGACGAAGAACTCTACGGTCGGGTCTCTGACGCTTTCCTCGTGATGCAACAGATGCGTGATGGCCAGTGGTGTGAGGCTCTGTAGAAGCTGTAGAGCAACGGGATCAGTAGTCCAATGGGCGAAGCTGTAGGTAACCCAAGCAGATAAGCAGTTTATAGCTTCGACTCGAATTTCTGTGGAGAGAGGCGTTGAGGTGTCGAACAGGTAAGTCATGAGTATGGCCGAATCAGTAGTATTGCTCTTGAAGATGTTGTCGAGATGATAGTATTGTGGGCCCAAGGTAGAGCTGTTCTGTACATCTTCGGCCAACACTCTGCAGAAGCGTACAGCCATAAACAACCTCAATCCGGATAACTCCCTGATGATTTGGCTGGTATCTGGATATGTGGACAGCATGTCCAGGGGCACAATATCGCTAGCGTGCAGCGAGCAAATAATCTGACGAACAGTCTGAGTCCAAGGAACAGGAGTCTGGACAAAGTATGTAGCCATTGTAGAACAAAGCTTGTCAATGATGAGTTTGGGAGGCATGTCGCCTAGCGCAAGGCGGATCTGTAGAGGGAAAAATGAGAGATCGAATCGAGCAAAGAGTGAAAACAGACTCACAAATGATAGGATCAGCCGTGACCTCAGTTCAGCAGCCGCTTGTTCATTGAGTGTGCTTCTTNNCATAACGTCGTTAGTCATCATAACCGTGCAGTCGTGATGCAAAACCACCAACCTGTCTTTGTTGAGTTTGATTTGCAAAGTCAGAGCGCCATAGAACTTGATGTTGGTATCTGCATGGTCGAGCATAGCATCTGCAGCAGCCCATCCTTGATCAGACAACTGGATTTCCTGCAGCTCTCGCGATATCTGTGAGGCGCCGGCCGTGTATCTGGGATCATTGAGTCGGCGTACGAGCTCGATCGCTTGGTTAGCGACGCTCATATCTGGGTCTAGAAGGATCATTTGAATCAGCCTTCCTGGCTCAATGGCTTGTTGAATTGGCCCGCGAGGCCATTCGCTGCGAGTTGCTGCCCGCCACAATGGAGAGTAGGGCATCTGTGGATGGTGATAGAATTGAGATGTTCTCGGTGGCAGTGGGTTCTTCGTTACGCAAGATTCATCGCCGAAGGATCAGGTGAGGGAACAGAATCTCGTCGAACGCATGTCTCGTCGAACACTCGTCTTGTCGAATGCCCCGTTGCGTCGAACACTCGTCTCGTCGACCACCCACCCAAGACTGCCCTGGCAGTGCGTACGGAAGCAATGACATGGCCTACCTGCTGAGATTGGAATTCGGGGGAGCCTTGACAGCGTTGCTATAGTTGTCGACTCAGCCGAGGATCCAAGGCAGAGTACTTTTGCTGAAGTCACTCACGAAGAAACAGACAAGGAAATCAACAGCCAAGAGAGGCGTGAGGGTAGTGCGAGAGATGTTGAGATCTCACGACGGGAAGGTAGCTGTACACCTACTGATGTCCTAGAGTAGCCTTCTATGATTTGATGGTTGTGTTTGATAGTTGATTGAGGTCGGAGACGATCTTTGCACGCAGACGCCGAGACGCCGATGGCTCGCTAGGCGGAGGTTGCCGGTCGGGAAACTCGTTTCGGCGTCTGTTAGGCCGTGACTCCCGTCATAGCGTGTCCAATCGACGGCGAGGCATCAACTGGACACGCGACTTGCAGATGCTACGTGGACTTGCTAGGCTCAGTACACTTTCAAGAGGCATCACTGCCGGAAGACTGTTCCACGCTTCGGCAATCAGAAGATATCCTATCGACATGGAGAAAGTAAACACAACCGAGCGGCTCGCGCAGTTGCGAGAGCTCATGAAGCGCAACAAGGTAGATATCTACAGTAAGCCGTCAGGATGCATTTCGACAGACAACTGACTGACTCTCGCAGTTGTGCCTTCGGAAGACAGCCATCAGAGCGAATATATAGCCCCTGCCGATGCTCGTAGAGAATACATCTCTGGCTTTTCCGGCTCCGCTGGAACTGCTGTTATTACTCAAGAGAAGGCCGCCCTGGCTACCGATGGGAGGTACTTCAACCAAGCCGAGAAGCAACTCGACGACAACTGGACTCTGCTCAAACAAGGTCTTCAAGATGTGCCCACCTGGCAGGAGTGGTCCGCCGAGCAATCCGAAGGCGGCAAGATCGTTGGTGTTGACCCTACCACCGTTACAGCTNCGTACGTATCTCACGCATACCTAATCGACACCACTGACTTCGTGCCAGCCGATGCGCGTAAACTGTCCGAGAAGATCAAGAAGAAGGGCGGCAAGGACCTCATCGCCGTCAAAGAGAACCTCGTAGACTCGGTCTGGGGTTCAGCAAGACCTGCTAGACCAAACGAAAAGGCCGATGTCCTGACGCTCGATTTCGCCGGCAAGAAGTTCCAGGACAAGATTGAGGACTTGCGTAAAGATCTGGACAAGAAAAAGAGCGCCGGCTTCGTCGTCTCGATGCTCGATGAGGTCGCTTGGCTATACAATCTGCGTGGAAGCGATATACCGTACAACCCCGTCTTCTTTTCCTACGCCGTTGTCACTCCAACTACCAGTACCCTATACATCGACGAGTCGAAGCTCACTGCTGCCGCAAAGACGCATCTCTCGGGTGTTGAAATCCGACCCTACGATTCTATCTTTACCGACATGGAAGCCTTTTCCTCGTCCTCTACCGGAGACAACAAGTACCTTGTTTCCAACAAGGCTTCTTGGGCGCTGTACCAGGCACTCGGTGGAGAGGACAAGGTCGATTTGGTGCGCAGCTTGATCGGCGACGCCAAAGCCATCAAGAACGAAACCGAGATGAAAGGTATGCGCGAATGCCATATTCGTGATGGCGCTGCACTGAGCGAATACTTCGCATGGCTTGAAGGCCAGCTTGTCAACGAAAAGGCCAAGATTGATGAAGTCGAGGCTGCCGACAAGCTGGAGTCTATCCGGGCTAAGCACAAGCACTTTGTCGGTCTTTCCTTCGACACGATATCTTCCACTGGCGCGAATGCTGCTGTCATCCACTACAAGCCAGAGCCCGGCGCATGCAGTGTGATCGATCCCAAGGCGGTGTATCTGTGCGATTCAGGCGCTCAGTACCTTGATGGTACGACAGATACCACTCGCACCATGCACTTTGGCGAGCCGACGGACATGGAGCGCAAAGCGTACACTCTTGTATTGAAGGGCCACATCGCTCTGGACAACGTCAAGTTCCCCAAAGGCACCACTGGATATGCTATTGATGTTCTAGCCAGGCAATTCCTTTGGGCTGAGGGACTCGATTATCGTCATGGCACTGGGCATGGTGTTGGATCATTCCTCAACGTTCACGAGNGGCCTATCGGCATTGGCACCAGAGTTGCTTACAGTGAGGTGCCGCTGGCCGTCGGCAATGTCATATCAAATGAGCCTGGATACTACGAGGACGGTGCATTCGGCATCAGAATAGAGAGTAAGTTCTTGAGTCAAGGGAATTGCACGAAAGACAGCGTTGGCTAACATGATCTAGATATGTTCATGGTAACGGAAAAGAAGACGACACACCAGTTTGGCGACAAGCCTTACCTGGGCTTCGAGCATGTTACAATGACCCCAATGTGCAAGAAGCTCACGGACGCATCGCTTCTCAGCTCGGAGGAGAAGCAGTGGTTGAACGACTACCACTCAAAGGTCTACGAGAAGACCAAGGGATACTTCACTCACGACCAGAGAACGATGAAGTGGCTCGAAAGAGAGTGCGCAGCATACTAGGACAGCCGGTATGCGACGATAGAATAGCGTATAATGCAAAGACGTTCTTGACATAGCGATAAGATACAAGTGATGCCCTAATCAGGGAAAGTGTGGCGAGAGAAGCCGAGGTCCAACCCCCACGTCGGGTTCTCCAGACTGGTTGGAGCTCTCTTTGGCTCCCGTCTCCAGACAGTCGTGACGATATCGACCGAGAAACGAGACTAGACCATCGTGGGTGTATAGCGCAATTGAGCAGCAGAGTGATAGACCAATGCTGCCATGTTAGAAGGGACGCGCCGGTGGTTCAGGCGCAATCGCACCAGGTTCGCTGTTGGGGCAGGCACGCTAGGACTGGTCTACCTGGCCGGTCAATATGCCTGGAGCAAATGGCTCGAGGCACGCCAGCGCATGGCCGACGAGAGGATCTCCAAAGAGAAGTAGTTGCTGCCTTGCATACCGCCGCACACACTAGACAGCCGGCTGACCGCGTGACNNAGCCTCCGCCGCCGCTTCGAACAGAACCAGGAGGACTGCACCTACACCGTGCTAGCCTTGCTCCCTACCATCCGTGAAGAGATTATCGGTGCTCTACCCGTCGAAGACATTACCAATGAACTGCAACGCCAGCGATCAGAGAAGCTGGCAAAGAGTGCTGGCCCGTCAGAAGCAGCCTCGTCCGACTTCCCCTCGGCACCGCCCAGCACAATCGATGACTCTGCCAGCATGTCTAGCTTCCAGACTGGCAGCTACATCCATGCCAGTCAGATGGGCGACAGTCAGGACGCCAGGTCGCTCTTGAGGAAAAAGTCAAAGGCACAGCTCTGGAACGACATGAAGATCAGCTGTGAGTCTTGGTTCAAAAAAGTCTCAATGGCGAAGAAGGTTCNNACTGACAAGTTGACTGTAGCTATTACAAGAGCCCTGACTCTACTCTATACCCTCTCGCTCCTCACGCTCCTCACCCGTATCCAGCTGAACCTCCTTGGCCGTCGCACGTACCTCTCATCAGTCGTCTCACTCGCCAATCCCCCAAACCCCTCGGATCCTACCCATATTTCTATGGAGAACAACGACGACGACAACTACGATGATGTCTACGGCAACGACTTTGAGACAAACCGCAAATACTTGACCTTCAGCTGGTGGTTGTTGCACAAGGGCACCAAAGACATTGTCGAAAAGGTCAGCGCCGCTGTCAAGGATGTTTTCGGTCCCGTCAACCCGCGCGAGGATATGACACTGGAACGTCTGAGCGAGCTCATCCTCGAAGTCCGTAAGAAGGTCGAGGGTGCCACTGAGGCCGAACGTCGCGAACATAGGTGGCTGTCGTACATGCTTCCTCCTCGCGACCAAGAGGACCATGTCTTGTCCGAATCTGGTATTGACGCCATGTCCGCATCGCCCGCACCGCAAGAAACGTCGCAAGACCCCATGCACGCAGCCAACTCGGCGTCCTCGAATGCCTCCCTCCGCAGGTTACTCGATGAGACGTCAGATCTCATCGACTCGCCAACATTCACCCACGTCTTCACACAAGTCCTCAACGCCACCTTCTCCCACCTTGTTGACTACCGTGTCGCAACGGAAGCCTTTAAGATCAGCCCTCCGGCCCCCGACTCTCTATCACGCATCACCGAGATCAGCGACAAGAAATGCAAGTTTGCTCAGACTCTTGCTGTCTTTTGTCGCCAAGCCCACGTCATCGCCGCTGGTAGCAGTGAGCCTGATGATCTTGTAGTTGCCGAGTCCGTCGGCTCTCAAGTCAACGAGTACCTTGGTGCTATCGACCAAGTCAAGGATCTCGAGGCTTTCGCTGCTGTCATTTACTCTAGCAACTTTGAGTTCGAGGCCGCCGAACAACAGCAAAACGATGCCAAACACACGGCTTCTGCTGGATCAGTCGATGCACCTGCTGTATCAACACCAACTCAAGCCGCAGATACACCTGCACAAGCATCCGCAGGTGCATTGTCCATCGAGGAAATGGATCACGTGTGGAGTCGAAGCCAGGCTGAAGGCCCGTCGGCACCCAATGCCCCGACCTATAGTGAAGTGGTCCAAGCTCCCGCACCCGAATCGTCATCCTCACAACATCCCGAAACACAAGAGTCACAGACAGGCCATAAAGAAACTCAAACTTCAGAACAACAACCAGCAGAACAACCGAAAACCTACGCAATGGCGGCGGCAGCAGCGACAACAATCCCTCCGCTCACCCTCATCGTCGCCACCACAGCCAAAAATGGTATCGGCAAGAATGGAACTCTGCCTTGGCCGATGCTAAAGAAGGAAATGGCCTACTTTGCCCGCATCACCAAGCGCGTTCCCGGAGCAGCATCCATGTCCGACACCTCAATGCTCGCCGAAACCTCGTCTCAACTTTCCGACTTATCAGAAGTAGCAGCAACAGCAAACATCCAACCACCCCAAAATGTTGTCGTCATGGGCCGCAAAACCTGGGAAAGCATACCTCCCAAATTTCGCCCCTTGCCGCAGAGAACCAATGTAGTCATTTCCCGGTCAGAGACTCTTGAGGGTGTGGGCGAGGATGTTGTTGTGNGGGATAGCATTTCATCTGCTCTTTCTTCCCTCACCACAAAGGTCAAGGAGGGAAAAGCAGCACCTCTGGGTCGCGTGTTTGTCATTGGCGGCGCTGCCATCTACAAGCAAGCGTTAGAGATGGACCAAGCAAAGAGTATCTTGCTCACCAGAGTCGAGGGAGAGTGGGACTGCGACACAGATTTCCCGGTTGATGTCGAAGCCGAGCAAAGCTGGACGAGACAACAGAAGGGAGATTTGGATACATTCGCTGGCGAAGATGTGCAAGAGGTGCAGGAGGAGGAAGTCAAGGGTGACAAGGTCAGCTATGAGTTTAGACTTTATGAGAGGGTGTGATTGGGCATGATGTGTACTCTTTGAGGAGTTTGCTGTCATTTGGTTTAGCTGTATGAGATGATGAGATTGTCTTTTTTCTGATGGTTGCATGACATATATAGCTTCATACACTTCTTGCTTTCTTCTTTTCTCTCAATTCTAGATTTATGAGAACTGTGGCATGCCCTATTCTTCTGTGCGGTCACAGCATGTGCAGTCTGAGATGGGGTGTTCATATTTGGCCGATAAGGGTTATATTGCTGTCAAGAAAGGTCTGTCCACACGTGACGCAACTTTGTATGACAGCTGGCTACATGACAAGCATTTCAGACATCTATAGTCGTTTGCGTTGTTCGCGCATAGCATGCCTGTGTGAGCCCGAGCCCGGGTTCATCCACCTTCTCACTGACCGGAACAGTCTTTGTCGTNNCTGTCGAGTGTTAGCTTTTTGTTTTACTCACGCCCGATGTCGAGATCAGAAGACTTACAGTAGGATCACCACCATGCCAAAGGTAATCGGCAAAGCCAACCACCAGAAGAACCTGAAATCGAAGTTAGTAATTCGTATCTAAAAGGCAGATGGGATCAGGAGACGAAAAACGTACATGTGCGTATTCTTCAGGGGTGGGAACTCCTCAAAGTTCATTCCAAAGTAGCCAGACAAGAAGGTCAAGGGTAAGAACAGAATAGTGACAAAGGTCAGTTGTTGCATACTCTCATTCTGATAGGCTCCCATGGTGTTGAAGATTAGGCTGATCATATTGTCGCTCTGTGTACGCATCTGGTCAAGAGATGCGATAATCATGATACAATGATCTTCTACGTCGCCTAAATATGTGTGAGCGGCAGGAGAGATGTTGACCGAGGACTGGGTCTGTGTCTTGATCATCGCAGGACCAGAACTGCGTCGAGCGAGGTCAGAGATGGGGTTGGCGGAAGAAGTACCGCGGTTGAGGAATTGTGCTGTGCTGTGGTGGTCGCGCAGACTGTTGATCAGTGAGGCTATTGGTTGCATCTGCTGTCTTAGCATCGACAGCTCCGATGTCAAGATGTAAAGTGCTTTCGAGTGTCCAATTGCAGGCTGTGTTAGGACGTCCATCTCCAGCTCGGCGATAGCCTTCTCGTATGTTGCGACGATTGGGATGGCCAAATCAGTGATAGCATCAATGACGGAATGTACGAGAAGAGAAGCATCGCCACTTCGGCGCAGAATTGTTTCGGGTGAGTTCAAGCGTTTGAGGATAGGTTCTTCAATCACATCGCCAGAGTGTTCAAAGAATGATACGACCGTGTTGTCGCTACAGAGGAACACACTGACTTGCTCAATAGATACACCCAGGCTTTTGCGTGTCAGAATTGAGTTCTTCTCCATATATGCCACTCTTTCGGGAGATCGATCTCCACGATAGGATTGCAGGCTGCGCAGGTGTGTCTGGTTGTCCGGTGGTTGGAAGGTCTTTTCAGTTTCCCAGGTGATGCCACTACGACTGCGCGTAGAATGACGAGATTCCGAGCTTGACAGAGCCTTTTGAATGTCGGCATCGCTGCGACCATTTTGCGACGAGAGTTTGGTCAGTCGTTGAAGAGTCATGATGATGAAAGCGTGCTCCGGGTACCAGTCTGCTTTCGTCCGGTTTCCAGTGTGCATTAAATCTTCAATGGCCAGAGGGTGAAGTTTCTTGTGATTGCCTAGCAGCTTGATTACATCCCAACTTAGTCCATTAACGTTGATCCAACGACAAGTGGCCCATTCTGGCCTTGGCTTGTTGAGAAAGCCGGCCAGAGAGTTGTTGTCAAGCTCAGTCTGTTCGATTTGCTCCTCGCAGAAGTCTACCGCTGTTATTTGCGANCTGTGGGCTGTAGTTAGTCCTAAGGTCGGAGCGTTTGGCGAGTTTTTGTTTACGGGAAAGGTTTTGCCATGCGACACGACGCCATCAGTAGAAGTGTCGATTCCTGGCTCACTGCCTGGCTGCCATTGGAAAGCTGAATTCGAATCGTAGAATCCAGAGGTTGTAGAAGTGCCCTGGTTACGTTTGGGAGGGGATGTATGACGAGATGGTGAGATTGGTTTGTTCGTGGACTTCAATGTTGACGGGCTCTCTGTGGTCGATGTGTGAAGCAGACGTCCGTATCTGCTTCTGATTATGGGGGCTTCCCACAATGACCGCCTGCAGAAGAAGAGCGAGCGCCGCATCTTGTGCTTTTCGAAAATTGTGTGTGTATCTACAAGAACATCATCGGTATAAACATTACTGTGTCAATATGACGTTGATGTGGTCGGGCTTGTACGGGATAATTGGTGGAGCGGTTGGACATGCGCGTCGGTATGAACACCCCCAATAGAATCGTCGTGCTCGAGTTGCGATCTATCCCCACTCTCTAAAAACAAATTATCAAGCACATTTCGGAGACATTATTCTTATAAATCAGTAATGCCATAACTGTCCATGGCACTGGCGCCACTTGTGATGTGGAACTATCGCTTGCTCGTGCTCTGCTAGAACCACGTGTAGGGGTCTCTTGGGCCAGGACTGTGCCTACCGTTTCCATCCAAGCAACAACCTCTTGGCTTTTCGCATCTGCTGTCTGTCTTCCTCTTTACACTCCGCTCTCAATTCACAACCCACGCACCCCACGATGCGACCGTAACACTGCATTCCCAGAAGAGTCGCTCAGAGACTTGACAGGCACTTTGTTCAGCCGATGATACCCGATGTCGTTATATCGACAATCTGGCCATGTGCTTCTGAAGGAGTGACTCGCTTGATGAGAAAGAAAAAGTGGGTCCTCTACCAGCGCTTTGAACAAAGAACCACACAAGCGTTGAAGGACAAGAGCTTTGTGCTATACAGGCGAGTCATGGCATTTTCTACGAATTCTCTTTCACAAAGCCGTTATCCATAAGCAAGCAGGGGCTGTCAGCAGAACAACAGGCAGCTGCATCACGTCTTCGACGCCCAGCAATGCGCAATACGCAAATACGCCCAAGCATTTATCCGTGGTATTGTAGGGCGTGCTGGGCGCCAATAGGCAGGTAGGTAGAGAAAAATTAGCAGCGAAGTCACGCCGCGACCCCGAACTCCAGACCCCAAGGCTTTCAACATGTGGTTTGTATTACTTAACGAGTTACTGCTTGCATACTAGTGACAATGACGCCTTCTCGACAAAGATTCGCGCAAGAGCGTGGCCATTTTACAAAAGCACAGGAGGCATCGACTTGGTGGATCTCAAGAACTATTGTACAGCTCCCTCGACAAAAGTTCCAATATCTCCAACTCGGATCACTGAGCAATGGTCTTCTCATCATTGAAGAAGAACCAAGAGGCCGAGGTGAAGGATTCCTCGGCCTTTGCGGACAACGAGACAGCAAGCGACGACGGCCACGATGTCTACCAAACCAGTGAAGGCCGCCGACAGATTGGTCTCGTCAGTGCCATCTTCCTAATCTTCAACCGCATGATTGGAACTGGTATCTTTGCTACACCGAGTAGCATTCTGGCTAGCAGTGGAAGTGTTGGTCTTGCGTTATTCATCTGGGTGGCTGGATTGATCATTGCCGCTGCTGGTATGGCAGTATATCTCGAATTTGGCACTGCACTTCCCAGAAACGGCGGAGAGAAGAACTATCTTGAGCACGTGTTCAAGAAGCCAAAATTCCTGGTCACTGGCCTTTATGTATGTTCAGCTACATGTACGGCGATATCCACACATGACTAATCTTGAGATAGANCCGGTTATGTCGTTCTCCTCGGATGGGCTGGTTCTAACAGTGTCGTCTTTGGCGAATATATCCTCAACGCCGCCCAAGTCCCTGTCAACCGCTGGAACCAGAGAGGAATCGGTCTCGCTTGTATCACTTCGGCCTTCCTAATTCACGGTTTGGCATTGAAGTGGGGTCTCCGTCTGCAAAATGTTCTGGGTGTCATCAAGCTCATCATTCTGCTCATCATCGTCTTCGCTGGTTTTGCCGCCCTTGGAGGTGTATTGCGCATCGAGAAACCTCACAACTTCGACAACGCTTTCGAAGGCACTACAGGTTCTGCGTACGGAGTGGTCACCGCGCTATACAACGTCATCTGGTCATTTATTGGCTACAGCAATGCCAACTACTCCATGAGCGAGATGAAGAACCCCGTCCGTACTCTCAAGATCGCAGCTCCCACCGCTATCATGATTGTTGGTGTCCTCTATCTTCTCGCAAACGTTGCATACTTCGCTGCGGTTCCTAAGGCAGACATTGTCAGCAGCGGACGTATTCTGGCCGCCGAATTCTTCCGCAATGTTTTCGGCCCCAGAGCTGAACGCGCCTTGAGTGTGTTTGTCGCTCTTTCGGCTTACGGAAACGTACTTTCGGTCATCTTCTCCCAAGGCAGACTTGTGCAGGAACTCGGCCGCGAAGGTATCCTGCCTTTCTCCAGGCTTTGGGCAAGCAACAAGCCATTCAATGCACCTTTCATGGGTCTATTCGAGCACTGGGCTGTTTCAGTCATCATCATGTTGGCCCCTCCTCCTGGTGACGCCTACAACTTCATCCTGAATGTCATTTCCTACCCGCTCTCGGTCGTCAACGTCTTCGTCTCGATTGCACTCATCTGGATATATCTTCACCGCGAACAATTCAACTGGAACCCTCCGGTCAAGGCTACTCTTCCGGTCACCATCTTCTTCTTCCTCAGCAACGTCTATCTGGTCATTGCACCATTCGTTCCCCCTCCAACTCCTGAGTTGAACCAGTACAAGTCGCTCCCTTACTACCTCCACTGTGTCGTCGGTCTGGCTATCATCGCAGCTGGTGGTATTTACTGGGTCTTCTGGGCCGTTCTCCTACCGAAGATCGGTGGCTACCGCCTTGAAAAGGAGGTACACAAGGATGCTGAGGGCTGGACCAGGAACGTGTTCATCAAGGTTCCCAAGCACCAACCTCTTGCCGAGAACAGCAGCTTCTGAGCACGACACCATGACTTTAACAGTTTTATTAATGACGGGTTACGAAAAGCATTCATTTTTATTTATTAGAGATACCCCCACGATTTCAACCATCGTACCTGTATAGAATACTGAAATTCTATCTACTTCCAACACACCCCTTGACCACTCGAAGAACGGCTTCGACTCCTCCATTCATTGCTGAGACTTTGCTTTTACTCTACACTACTCGGTGATCGGACAGTCCTGAGCATGTTCCTACGCTTGACTTACTATAATTGGCCTTTACATAGGCTAGACTAATTGCGTACTTGTCAGGAGCATACTGCCTCAGCGTCATGGTCAAGATGCTTAGATGTTCTGCCGAAGGGCGAAAGTTTTGGCTCCGAGTGGTTGGGCATGGAAAAAGGAAAAGCAAAAGATCTACAGCCATGTATTGAGACACATTCCGAGTGGCCGGCTCAAGTTCCTGCCCAATGTTGCATCTCACGTTTGTTGTGGCTTGGCAAAGGGACCAAAGTATAAACTGACCGACATCAACTGGCTAATTATGCATTCAGTAACTCTACCTACATATTTACCGACTTGCCTTTACAAACCTCCTATTACTACTCCCATCGCACGAAGAAAATTAAACGGTTGTTTCTACTAAGTGGTACACCATCTCGTTAGACACCACCCATTACGTCACCACGAACTCACGACATCTCCTGAATTTGCTGTCAGCATCAGGATCTATATACACTATTCGGCATATACGATACGAACAATACTGGAGGTGATAATCAATATAATCATCTCAGAATTCAGTCATTCGAATCCCGTCGTTCCGAGGAACGATTACTTGTCACAAGATGGGCGTCGCACTGCTCAGTCTACCGAACGAGGTTTTGATCGTAATCATAGAGCACGCAGACAGTGCTTGCAAGAAAACATTCCTCGATCTACGACTTGTCAGCAAGACTCTGGAGCAACTTTGTCATGAACGGTTTCTCCGCTACCTGGAACTGCTCCGGATAGATCCATCGCAACACCATAACCTGACGCGATTGATGGAGATCTTGTCAAGTCCCGCACATGCCCGTGCAGTCAGAGGCGTGGCATTTGATTTTGTACGAGACTGGCGTAATGTGTGGGCCGTCACGCCACTTGTTCAGCAGCTTTTCGACAAATTAAGCTCCCTCAATGTCAACCTCGAGCTAAAATTCAGTCCTTACGGCAGCAACGAATGGATCTCAGAGCCGTGCATTGTCCATTACATTGTTGGAATTGTGAAACAGGTCTTGACATCTCACATGTCGGTCGGTCGTCTCATTGTAAGAGCGAAGGATTGGGACCCAGATCTCCAACTCGACAACATGCTGTGCAGACTTGAGAAGTTGCTCATAGATCAGGAAAAGGAGGCACAAGCATCTTCGGTAAAATCTCTGGTTGTGGAATTCACTCATGGCGAGGTTGTCTATGATAGACAACGTCGTTATCTACACTTCACGCAAGTGACGGCCCATGATCTACATGCGATCGGTCAATGGATCCAGGAGAACTATCCCGTCGAGCTCGTATTGACAGGCTGCCAATTCTTTGTTGAACAGCTGGACGGTGTCCTGTTGCGTACTGCGCCGTCTAGTCCGTTGTCCCGTATCACAATCAACAATGCCCGTTTGATGCATCTCACCTCCTTCTTCGGAGGAAGCCAAGCAACAACACCACTTCACAAGCTATTGTCACACATTCTGCGGCACTCGAAAAACCTCAACTACCTACATCTAGAGAACATTCGAGTTGAAACACCACATCCACGAACACTTAACTTCGTGGGTGAGAACAGGGTTCACGTGACAGACGAGGTGAATATCCGCGAGACACTTACACATCTGATGTCACAGCTAGCGGAAGAAGATCATCCTGAGGTTGAAAGCGAGGACGTCGAAGACGACGAGGAAGACGATGAAGATGGGAGCGCGTGGGGTTATTCTACTATCGCTCACGATTCCTACGAATAGTTCTTTCCTGATATCATCGAAGCCAGTTGGAGTTGCTCTTTCGCGCCGTAGTTTGTATGGCTTGGCATTGTATACGCTTTCCTTCTTATTCGCCTTCTTTTGAGATCGGCGTATCAAAATAATCATGGTGTGCCCCTGATGTGTTGTTTCGCTTCACATCATCAATGAAGTGCATGTGAAGACCACAACTGAGTTGTCTCTATCATCCAACCCAATTTCATACAAGCGCAATCACGTCCTCAATGGTGTGGTGGCTAGCAAAGTACCTCACCGTCGCCATCAAGCTAACCCAATTCGGCAGTCACTTCTATGAACAACAACCAACCAATCAAACACTCACCAACGCCAACAATCACAACGTGCATAAGTTCGAGCCCCTCCATCAGCTAAACCTTTCACCAGCATTTCGACAGATTGGGCTTCTTGGTCAAGCGTCCTTGTGGAAAGGGGTCGGGTCAAAATCAAGAGGCTGGAGGAGAAGAAAGGGGAGAGATGGAGAGGAGGAACGGAGTGAGGAAGTAAGTGAATTCCTCAGCCAGCAGACCTGTGATTTCTTTTTGTGCTTATGGTGTTCGTATTGTGATGATTTCTTTGCGTGGCTGCTCAATTGCTCTTGATAGGTCGATAAGGAACTACCGTATCGCTATGCGGAAAGCTATCAACTGAAGTTGAACTCGCTGCACACGTTTTGCTCGAATATGTGATCCCTCATGATTCGGATATGTACAGCACTTCTCTATTTATGTATACCAAGAGTAAAGCGCATCTCGTGAGTCCTTGCCTCCGAAGTGAGTCCTATTACGAGAGCAAGACCCTCAAGGCATGCCTATGATTGGGCATGCTAAAGCTTTTGTGATGTGCCGTGTCAAAGTTTGAGCATCGCAATGTCTGTATACTGCTTCCCTCCGCACAGATTCGCATAGTTCTGTCTGACAGAGACTACGAAACGTGGATTGCACGTTCCAGATGGCCCTGAAGTAGAAGGTACATGTTGAGGGTTCATACCAAACATTTGCTTCCCAACGCTACGCCTTTATTGTCGAACTCTTCGCAAGCCGCCTCGAAGGCGTTGCACAGCTGTCTTGGTAGATCTTTGGCTATGATTTCGAACGATGCCTTGACTGCGGGATGGACAGATTTGCCAATCCCGAAAAAGCCATTGATTCTGACACCGACTCAAACCAAGTCTAGCTCTCCTTGTAGGAGTTTGCAAACTTCATCATGGCAGAAAAGTCCCATTCAGTGATTTTCTTGTCGACTTGTGACAACGTTTTGTCAATGGCTTGTAGCAAGATTGAGTCCCAATTTGCAGTCCACCATCGAGAGTTAGGTGCACCTAGTACAACAGAATAGTGCGCAAGTACGAGAAGAGAGTCAACTTCGTGGTTCTGCACACGTATCCAGAACGCATCGCTGACCATAGTGGGCCAACGACCTATGTTTGTGACTCCACCCGCGGACGTTGCAAGCTCTCTGTGTATGAAGTCTAGCAGCTGATCGGTCGCAAGAATATCTGCTGGGTCTTTTAGACGTGCTCGCAGTATTTGGAAGCGACGATCGACTTCAGGTTTCATTTCGATTGGCTGACCGGCGAAGGTTGCCTTGACCCATTGCCCTAATGACGTGCCGGCAAGCGACTCTGGGTTCAGGAGCCACACAGTCTTGCAACCACGTACGAGACTGAACAGATCAAGAATGCCATCAAAATCTGGCGGGTCGTCGCACGCGTGTGGGAACGCAAAGGCCAGAATGGCTAGCATCATGCTGAAGATCATGAGAACATGATGGGTGTCGGATGTACGACCTTGTTCGAGCATTGTTCGGAACAACCTGGTACCGGCATTCTGATGAGCCAATGCTCTGGTCGCATAGATTTGTCGTTCGTTGGGTCGTGTCCGAGCAAGATCCATTGAAGCCAAGGCAAGAACTCCATGCATGAGGAGGGGATTTGACTGAGCTTCGTTGGGAACCAGCTCTTGCCAGATTTCTCTCGAGCCTTGGCCAGCAAAAATCCCAAGAGAAGTGGATACAGTGTAGTAGTGCATCAGAGACAGATCGAGCATATCAAAAGTCGGAGAATGGTCAAAGACCAGAGTTGATGCTGTAGATCCATTCGGACTTTGGCTAGCACTTTGTGCTGGACTACTCGGGACCTTGAGCTGATCGTAGGTACATACTACACTTGCTCTCTGGCAGTTGGCACAATTGGGACGACCCTCATCGCACTTNTGATAAATTGCTTATCAGCAACCGAGCCCTCACGTTAGACAGGGCCAGCTTACTTTGATGTGTCTCTTCTTGCAATGGGTGCATCCACTACGAGACTTCCTGTGGAAACGGCGAGAGGACATCGGAGCCTCGCGTGGGGTTGAAGATTTCGCGGATCTTTTGGCAGGAACGCCAACGTCGATGCCCTCGGGTCAATTTTTTTGCTCGAGTGCAGAAGAACATGGCGATACGGTATGCGCATCATCGGACAAATCGATCCCCCGTGCTCACTCTCTCGGCATTAATGGCCCGTTGCAAGAGCCGCGCATCCCGTCAGTCCAGATTTGTCGCAGTTCTCCAAGGGTTCGGCTGTCATCCGTGCATCGAAGGAAGCGCGGCGCACCTTCCTGCGCTAAGTGACAGCCTCTGACGAGCCCTCTCTGGCTATGCGGCACCTCTCTTTCCGCGCAGCCTCACACAAAACCCGAGCTTGGCTCCGGTTGTACGAGGAACGCCCTACGAGAAACGTTCGTAGCTCGTTTACAGCGCGCTATCTTCAACGAAACGGCAAAGGATGGGCAAGCGCGAGATGAATGTCGCAATTAATGATGCCCTTCCAGGCCAACACATCGCTTATATCCCACCTCAATCACCCCCGCCGTGTGCTTGTTTTCGTTCTCAAGTCCTCTTTTCTTCAGCTGACCCTTGAACCTTCATTCTTCAGCCCAGTCGTCATAGAATAACGACGCTGCATCGTCGTCGCGACTCTCAATATGGCACGCGGTTACTGCACAGAGGTCTCTGCACAATGCCCGGTAGAAGCAACCACCTATGGATATCGACCTAATTTGGGAGGAGACATCTTCTTCTGCGTCGTGTTCGGAATCCTGTTCCTCGCTCAACTCTTCCTCGGAATCAAGGCTCGTCTGAAGGGCTTCACATTTGCTGTTGTTATTGGATGCTTTGGAGAATGTGTTGGCTACATCGGCAGACTGATCATGCACAACAACCCATGGAGTCAGACCGGTTTCAAGATTCAGATTGTCTGCCTTATTCTGTCGCCTTCCTTCCTCGCCGCTGGAATTTACCTCACCATTAAGCATCTGGTTATCCACTTCGGGCCTCAATACTCTAGACTGAAGCCAAGTCTCTACACCTGGATTTTCATTACCGCCGATGCAGCCAGTATTCTTGTTCAAGCCGCCGGTGGTGGCATCGCTGCCGGCGAGCAGCCCGACCTGATCAAGATCGGAAACTCAATCATGGTCGCCGGTATCTGCGTCCAGGTCGCTACTATGGCCCTGTGCGGTCTCGTCGCCGCCGACTTCTTCTTCCGCCGCTACAGATCCCGCGAGGCACAAAACAACCTTGACGACCCCATGACTCGCTCGACTCCCGGCTTCAAGTACTATGTTGGCGCCTCGGGCCTTGCCTTCGTTACCGTCTTCATTCGTTCCGTATACCGTATCCCTGAGATGGTTGGTGGTTGGGGCAACCCCTTGATGCAAAACGAGACCGAGTTCCTAGTTCTCGACGGAATGTAAGTTGTCACTGCTCAGACGAATGGACAGAAGCACGTTACTAACATTAAAACTAGGATGGTCTGTATCGCCGCCATCGCCCTGACAGTCGCCCACCCCGGAATTTNNTTCTTCCCCGAGTTCAGGGAGCACAAGGCTCTCAAGACAGAAAAGAAGAAGAGCAAGAAGAACAAGAAGGCCGAGGAGGCCGGGCTAGAGCTGTCAAGCAGTGGTGACAGCGTGTAAAGAGATGGTTCATGATGCATAATTTTCCTATACCCCCTAATGCGTGTTACGATCGATACCTTTGGTAGAGCTGGATATAGTCTACGAGTCTGCGATACTACATAATACGACTCATCGCAAGATCACTCTTCTATGCTAAGCTCAACCCCAAATTACAACACCATGAGCCGTGGAACCTGAACAACAGTCACTGAGTAAGGCCAAAGCAAACGTCCACACCAATTCCAAATAACTTCTCCGAGAGAGTCGAACAGCAGGCCAAGCTTCTCCTGGAACCAGAGAGCTGCAATGATAAGCCAGAGAATAGGATAGACCCGCTTGTCAGGAGCTGATCCCTGCGACACATAGTCAGGAGCCTCGTGTTCGGGCAACAAGTCGACGTCAACCACGTTTGACTGATCGACTCCGATGATGCAGGCACGACAGTAGGGTTTGCCGCTGCGGTTTGTCTGTCCAACAACCTTTACAAGTTGCAGTTGCTTGGGGATGCGCAGAGTTNNGTATGCGTGAGCTGAGGGTAGCAGGATGTGAGTCACTGAACCTCCAATGTAGCCACGAAGGTATGCTTCGAACTTTGCCTGATCGTTGAAGAGACGAACGTAGTGGAGCATACGGCCCTCCTTGCCCTCTTCCCAGAACTCGTCACTCCAGTCTGCAGTACCGTACGCAAAGAAGCTGGCGTGCCAATCGGAGGATGGGTGAAACACGATGTATTGGGCTTTGGTTGGTTCTTATTGGTCCGGATACATGTGTGGTTCGGCGTCTTTGAGTAAAATCAAGTTGTGAACTGCTTCAGAAAACTGGCGTTGATGATTGAGGTTTGCTTGGACCATGGTCTCGTTGCTCAGAGCTTCCAAGTTGGCGGATATCTTGTCTGTGTGTTTGTCCAGGTTTCTCATGGTACGAAGCATGGTCCAGGTGGCTAGAGTTGTCACCAACACAGTGAAGAGCAAGACATACTTGAACGTATCGACAATCTTCGGCAGAGCTTGTGTGACCAGTACAATGTTATCGGCGATCTGCAGAAAGGCTCTGAGTGTGTTCTGAAGGCCGTTGATATCGAGTTTTGTCAATTCCTCTGCCGCGAGATTGCTTGTATGCTGGACTGCTTTGGAGGCCTTATGGAACAGACTGACATCAAGTTGCTGAAAGTTTTTGGCCATTGCTGCGGTCATATGTTGGACATTCTCGAGGATACGACCAAGCTGCTCATTGTTCAGATGCTTGACGACGAACGCAACACTTGCGGCTGCTTTTGCGAGGTTGAAACGTAACTCTTCGAGGCCGCGTGGACCGAAAGAATCCAGATGCTGTCTGATTGCGACGAAGAACTCATCTGCTTTCCAGCCCAACATGGATTGTCCCATGATGGAAGACGATCAGATTGGTACTGGTCTTGGAGACTGACGACTGACTGATGAGTAGGTTGATAAATGCTCTCATCAGCAGATTGGGGATAGATATATGCATCGGTCGCATGCTAGTCGTAATGTATGCGACAATACAGCGTTAAGCGAACGAGACAGCTCAGATGCAAACATAAGACTGCCAAATTCTTACAAGCAGGCAAACTGATACTGTACAGGCAATGTTTCAGCAAACAAATCAACTGAGTCTGTTCAAACAAAGCTAGTTCATGGTTTAGTTATATACAGTGAAAGACACCAATCAGAATGGCGCAGGGCTGTCCAGGTTGTGAAACTACCCCAATTAGGTCTCTATGTACTCTGAGGTAGCGATTGATGCCATGAGCACCACTACCAAGCCGAAGAATGGCCAAAGAAATGGCCAATATGGTGCCGGTTTCTTTGGCGGGGTGTCAACGTCTTTGAGATCCACACCCAGCGGCATGCCTCTGATTTGACCACGGCATAGTGCTTTGCCGCTATAGTCTCTCTGTCCTCGAATTTTGAGAGGCAAGAGGGCCGTATCAGAGCGGAAATCAACGGTCAAGTCGTAGCGATGGGCTGATGGAAGTAAGATGTAGATGACAGCACTGAACTCGGGATCCTGGCGAAGAGTGCGTAGATGCTCAACAAGCGCTGGCAGGTCGTCGTACACCCCTCCAAACCCTTTGACAGAGACGTCTTCAGCATGGAAAGAAGCGTGCCAGTCGTTGCCAGGGTGATAAACAAAGTAGACAGCATCCTGCGAGTCATTCAAATATTCTTTGTCGTGCAAGACATGTTGATATTCGATGAATCGGTGGACGGCGCCAGCAAACTGAGTCTGGTAGTGGATGTTTTTCTGCACCTCGGTCACGTCGCTGAGGTTTCTCAAGCTCTTGCGAACATGGTGAATGAATGCTCCCAGCCTCCTGATCAGCAAGGCGCCAACCACAATAGCCAGCACAATGTAGATCTGCGTGAAAAGCAGGGTCGCCTTGGCATTGTAGATGAGATGGGCAAGGTCCTGTCCTTTGAGGTCTCCAGACAGGTCAACAAAGGTTGTAGCAGCTTGTTGGAAGGCGTCGAGGCTGCTGTCCAATCGACCAGGTTTGATGTTGTCCAGATGGTGCTTGACGGCGACAAAGAAGTCGTCTGCTTTCTTGCCAAGAATCATTGTCTCGATGAGTGACCCACCAGGGCTAGCGACCAGATCAAGTCGTGCGCTGTTGGTGCGGTCTGAATGGAAGTCGGCAAGGTCTCCAGTTGAGAACTCTGAGTTCGTGTAAGGTTCCGCACAGAGTTCTCTCGTCCGTAGCTATTTTCAGCGCCGACCACGTTCTCAACATGCTGGGCACTAAAAGCTTATAGGCAGCGCTATACATGCTAGAGTCTAGCTAGCGCCACTTCGGGAATAGACGACAAGGGTTTGTGGCTGGGAAAGCCTGGAACAGCGGACTTGGCAGGCACAGTGACGTCCAAACGTTCGGCCGTGCCTTCCTCACCGACCTCCCTGGTCAAGACATATAACTCTGCTCAATCCTTCCTTCTGCAATCCTCTCTGATACACAACACAACAGCATTACCAAGACACAAGTTATATCATCCATCACATCACAATCAACACCAAAACATCATCACAATGTACACCTCTATCAAGACTCTTGCCGCAGCCATTGTTCTGCCCCTGGTGGCAGCCCTCCCTCTGAGCCAGCGCGATGAGGCCGCCGTTTTCGACAGCAGCAAGCCTTTCACCCTCCACACTGAAGTCCCTCCTGGCGGTGCGGGGCCATTCAACCCTCACCCGTTCAACTCTCAATACCTCACTGCTTTCCATGTCGGTGCCGGTCAATCAACCATTGTTGCAACCAAGAACGATAGCGTCGTCATCGGATGGAGTAAGTCTGGCCGACGCCAGTGTGAGATGATACACGGTCACTAACAACACCCTTTAGCCCTTTCGGACTCAATCCTCCAGCAACCGATTGCACTTAACGGCGCTCCTGCCGGCTTCGCATACAACCTCAGTCTCGTTGAGCAAGGACCCTTCCGCTCCGATGCTCCTTCTGGCTACGACTATGTCTCCCTTGGAGCAACTGGTGAAGCGACCACTGGCTTTCACTTCAAGGGGCGCAAGCTTGTCTGGTCTGGCTCGAATTCGACGACCGCTCCTGAATCTTTCGATGGTCGCTTCGCCCTGTGCCGTGTCAACGGAACTGCTCCTTACTTCAGCCTCGGACCTCAGTTTCAACTGCTTTGGAGAACCGACGACGTTCCCAGCAACAGCTCCAGGTGTGCTGACGTCCACTTGATCGGAGACAATGTCGCCTAGATTACTTGAGCCAGGAGGAGAGAAGATCATGATAGACGACTGCAGAGTCAAGCATTTTGAGATACCGACGCATCAAGCATGGAGCCCTAATGGTGGAAGTATACGCATTCCAGAAACGGAGTTATGACTCCTCCGTCTTACGAACATCCCTAGATAAAGATTAATGATAACGACCCTTCTCACTACTCACTGCTTGCTCTCATAAAAAGAATTGTGGGAACGTACCAAGTGCAAAGCGTAGGTCTCGACGCTCGCAGCATGCGGCATACAAAGTTCTCTTGATCTTCCCAGGTCCACACTCAACCCTTGGAGTCTCCTTCCGAATCCCTTGCTAGAGGAGATTCGCACAGAGCGTACTCGATCCCAGGACTGCGCCGCACTATGGAGGCACTTGTGACGTGCAGCGATCTGCAAGCCATGGCGGCTGCAGTTGTCTGACAACCATGCTACAAAAAGCAGAGTGCAGGTTGGTTACGGAGAGTCACTCATAAGTTACAGGTCTCGACGACGGTCGGTCAGTGCGTCCACTGCGCGTATATTCACTAATTCGCTGATTTGAAGATTTGAGGATTTGCAACTTCGCAACTTTGTAGATTCGTTGATTTGTAGATTCGTTGATTTCTGATTTCTGATTTCTGATATCTTGATTTCTGGATTTCCGGATTTCTTGTTTACTAGCTGGTGCTATGCACATGAGCATGGCTTTGTTTACCTTTTGTTATGGTCGTCCTTACGCGCATACCTTCTTTCTTCCACCTCGTCACCATCCACCTCGTCGTCGCCAAACCCCTTCCATACCCTCTTACCGCCCTGCTCCCTGACCATATCGCTGCAATGACTGGTCCAGTCAGTGAGCCTAGAAACGAGGCCACCTGTGCCTCCGATTGTCCTGCCGCATACCGTGGTCTGGAGAGACCTACCATCGAGTCTGAGTGGTGGTCTATCACCACCAACCGTTGGAACGCCCTTGTCGCCGAAGCCGACAGTCAGAACAAGACTAAAGCCACCACCGCCCTCGCCACCCTTCGCAAATACCACGACGCAAACGCCATCATGCTCTCCGATGTTGGTAAGCCTGCTCCTGTTGGTTGCTGCAAAAATTGCTGGGACAACAAAAAGAACAAGCCGAAGAGAAAGTGTCGTGTATTCTCGACTCCCATGGAAAGTCAGAGTCTCGCTTGTGCCTATTGCAGACTAAAGGGCCAAAGCAAATGCAACGCCAACATCCTTCCTGAGGAGAAAGAAGTAAGTTCCTTGTAGACTTATCTGCATTATGTTACTTATCTTCTGCCAGGATGTTTAAGAGGTCGACGCTACTTCCGAAGAGCGTATCGCAACAGTAGAAGGTCAATTCTACGACCTTGACCATACCGTCACTCGCCTCTACCAGACGCTCGAACATGAGCGTACGCTCAACGTCGAGCTGACTCGAAACCTTGAACATGCACATGGGCGCATTGATGAGCTACAGATACGCAACGATGGGATGGAAAATCGTCTGTTTGCACTAGAGATCGCTGCTGCTGCTTTTGCTGCTATCTCTGCTGGCACCACAACTCTCCCTTCTTGCGCTTCTAGCTCTTAGATGACATCTGGTACAAGGTTCATATCTCTGATAGATTGTTCGTCGTCAAATGCAAAATCCATCGGTTCTTCTTGGAAATCATTGATGTTGATGTTGACGGTTGGAAATGGATGAGATTGAAGCGTAAAGTCCACTCGGGTTGCTTTCTCCCGAGATTCAATGACTGAGTCGCGACTGCCCCGCCACGCCCCAAACACCCCATCGAAGCTTCCTAAGGTTTGGTCAACAGACAGATTAGGCTGAATGGCAAGGTAGACTATCTCCCTGTGTCATGTGTATCGTCATGTTTCTGCTTCATCTCTTCTGTGGCTCTCATAACACTCACAACATCCCAAACACCTAGACACACCTCAAGAGGCAGCAGACACCGCACCAGAGCGCCAATATACTACAACACACGATGTCGATGACCCTTGAAGAAGCACAAGTGCCCCGCGAGCCTAAGCCCGTACCCTCAGGCCCGGACAATGTTCTCGAGCAATTCAACCTCAAAGACCGTGTTGTCGTCGTCACAGGTGCCGCCGAAGGCATCGGCGGTGCCGTCGTAGACTCGATGGCCGAAGCCGGCGCCAATGTAGCACTCTGGTACCGCTCCAACGACAAGGCCATCACGAAAGCCGAAGAGTTGGCAAAGAAGCATGGAAACAAGTTCAAGGCATACCAGATTGAGATTTCAGATCCCGAGAAGGTTAAAGAGTTGGTCGCTAAGGTTGTTGAGGATTTTGGACGGCTGGATGTCATGGTTGCAAATGCTGGTATGGCCATCTCGAAGCCCATCTTGGAGACTAGTGTGGAAGAGTACAAGAAGCAGTTTGCTGTCAACGGTGAGTGCAAAACCTCATTCGTAACTCCATCGTGCTGACGTGGTGTAGTTGACGGTGTCTTTTACTGTGCAAAATATGCTGGAGAGCAATTCAAGAAGCAGGGCAAGGGCAATCTGATCATCACATCGAGCATCTCGGCACATATTGTCAACGTGCCTGTGGACCAGCCTGTAAGTCTTTACCCTCTTCCCACAATCTCCTGCTCTTTCTCATACAGATACTCTAGGNTCTACAACTCTACAAAGGCAGCTATCACCCACCTAGGCAAGTCTCTAGCCAGGGAATGGCGCGAGTTTGCTCGTGTGAATATCGTCTCACCCGGCTTCTTCAACACCAAGATGGGCGCAGGCGAAAGCGTCATCAACGAGGCATATCGTATGACTCCCATGGGTAGACAGGTTCGTATTTTCCAAAGACATGGGACGAAGAATGTGACTGACACAATCCACCAGGGCGACGTCCGTGAGATCAAGGCTCTCTATCTGTACCTTGCCAGCGACGCTAGCAGCTACCAGACCGGTAGTGATACTGTGATCGATGGAGGCTACATCTTGCCTTGAAAAGGGGCAAAGACTGCGTGATGAGATATGTAACTACCAATGATACGATTGTACGAAGCACAATAGAAAGAAGACGTACCTATTCGCCAATCCTGACCAACCTCCACGAGTGTTGGTTACTAAAACCATCATCAGGCAGCAAGCATACGCATGACCGTGTCTGTGATAGAGTGATCGTCACATAGCGACGTTCGCAATCCACTCCTCGTCCTTCCACCGCTCTTCTATTATCAGACTCCCAACTTTCACATGACTCCAATCCACTTTCCTCTGCAGCCCAAACGCGGAGTCTCGGTTTGCTCACGTTGCAACCAAAGTTCCACATGCCATCATATCCGAGTTCCTCCACTCCGATCGATTGACTCTTTGACCGTTAACCAGCTGAACGATATGAACAGGGATCAACCACCGGTCAAGGTATATATTTATAAAGTCTTTACGCCTCTTGGTGGGCGGTGCAGGTGATGTGTGATCAAAGATAAGCACGTCCCGTTGTGCCAATCTCATTTCCCACCGGGTCAGATGTCAAGTCGTGAGCGTTGGAGATGATGTCGTGTTCGCCCAAGTTTCAGCTCGTCGTTTCTGTGTCGTTGAGGATGGTGAGCGGCGTGTGAACGATGTGACGTGTTGGAAGTGGTGTGGTGGACGTTTGGGTAGAGGGGTGGGAATAGTGATGTCGGTGACAGGGTTGTACCCTCGACAACTCTTTTCTGAGATGATGATGGTATAACTGTGGCTATGAGAGGGTCATGATTCTGCACGGTCTTTGAGACGATAGTGTCGCTATCTAGAGATGATCAAACGTGTCCATGGATGTATAGCTGGTGCTGCGAGATGGAAGGATCGAATTTCAAGTTTGGTGCTCGGCTTTCGAACTTGCTTACGTCCAAACCACACAACTAACACTTCTTCCTGACCAAGTAACAGCAGGGTTGGTCGACCCAACGCATAGCACGAAGCAGCAGAACATGAGAGTGAGATAGTCATCATAAGAAAATTATATTTTAGATCTACACTGGTCGTACACTCATGTTTCGACGGTCGTAGTCGCTGGGAGATGGCATCAATACCAGTCATTCTACGGCGGTACATCCAACTCCTTCGCCAGCCGACTCTGCCGTGGTCTTTGTCTGACCGATTCATCATTNGTTCTTGTTGTGTCTTTCCCTGCTCCTACGCTCTCTCGACCACTCTCTCTGCTCAGCAGCTCTGAGCTCTTCACCAGCGGCTGCCAATCTCTCTCCTTCGGTCATGAGCTCTTCCGGCTTGGTCTGCCGTGAAGCCTGTCGTGATGACTTTGGTCTTGCGGCAGTAGCAGGTGATCGGTCAGCTCGTGTATCGCGTTTGGTGGTAGAAGGTTCCCTGCTGCGCTCACGGTTGCGNNTGGCTTGGACGATGAAGCTGCGGCATCCATCTCTGCATCCGATAGGATGGCATCCTCGGGGACTTCATCGGTACCCCCACGGACGTTCTTCTTACGCGGCCAGAGGGAAGGAAGGACGATTTGCTGGAAACGAGGCTCCACACAGCGTTCGTCGAACCAGGCGTGGATGCGCTGCTCTACCAATTGGGCGATCTTGGGAACGTCCTGCAGGCGAGCGCGTGAGCCAATCAAAGAGTGTACAGAGAGATCCAGACGGTAGTCATCGAGGAAGGTGAAGGTAAGAGTTGTAGGCGAGGACGAGGGATTTGCCGAGGACGACTCAGACTCATTTGTGGGAGCGTCTGGTTGTTGGGAGGGGGTAAAGGAGAGGGATAGAGTGCCAGAGAAGCGAACGACCGAGACGGCCAGAGCGACGGGCAGAACGGCCGAGAAGGGCTTGGGATAGTTTAGGACGAGTTTTGTCTCAATGCCCAAGGTGACGACGTCTGAAAGATCGACATCCATGCGTGCTTGCAATCTGCTCTCTCCTAGCCCTCCTCTATTTGCACCCTTCTTGGTGGGCATTTGTTTGACAGGTTGACCATTCTCGTCGACAGGGATGACCCTACAATTGCTGAAGATGGGGAACTCTTCTCCCAACGAGATCTCAGTCACCTTGATCTCGTCGATGAATTGTGGGCGTTGTCCGCCATTGAGGGCGTTTGTGAGCGAAGTCAGTACGGCATCCCCTTCGAGGGCATCTGCACGCAGCTGAGAGATTGTCTGCGCGATCAGGACGTTGAACCAGTCCAAGCTCTCTGGCTGGTGTCCGTCAACATTGTAGTACGTCTTTTCCAAAATCTTGTCCGTTGTGAGGACTGCACCGCCGGACGAGATGTTGCGTGGAGCGAGTACGGCAGCAGAACTGCGTTTGCGTAGACGGAGGTCGGAGAAGGAGCGATGGCGCAGAGACGAGGCGTGCGAGAGGGTACGTTGGCGACGGAGGGCTGCTCGTGTTGCTGCACGACTGTCGGCCGATGGAGGTTCGCCGAAGATGAAGAACTTGATCAGGAATATCAGGATCAGAGCCAGAGTCAATTGACCCAGCACGAAGCCCTGGGCGAAGGACGCACTGCTTCCCGACTGAGCAGCAGGCGATGCAGCTATACCAGAGTCAGCGACGCGTTGCGGGATGCCGCTGAGGAAGGTTACCGTATGCCGCCTGTTTTGCCTTGGACATGTTCCACCAGCTTCCTCCCTTTTGTTCAACCAAGGACAAGTTTCTGGTGCATGTTCAGAGAGTCGCGAGAAAGATATAGTGCATGACGCACTTCGTCTTGTCGATAAGCCAAAAAGACGTCGGCTGCAGCAGCCGCCAACTCACGCGGGGTTGCAGGGACAAATGCTTGTTCTACTTATATAGCACCATACATTGTTGTTGGTATCCAGGCTTCTGCTGCCATCTCCTATATCTCTCGTTCCAGATCGCATGGCTGCTTCGAGAGACTACCCGTCTCCGTCAACCACGATCTCTGGTCTGACCTTACCTTCAACATGTGATCCTCCCGGAGAAGAGAACNCCCCAACGCAGAAAACATGGATTGTCAGTCTCGCTTCTGTTCCTTGCTTGGGTACTGCATGCTGATGCGCTGTTACAGNNGTCTTCGGTGCTACTGGCCACATGGGACGTTCAATTGTCAAGACGTGTCTTTCTCATGGCGACAAGGTCACTGCTGTTGGCCGTGTTGGCGAGCACACGCTTGATCAGATGCAAGGCTGGCACGACTCTTGTCTCGGCCTCTTGTGCGACGTGAGAGTTTCTAAAACAGTCGAGTCTGTCATCGAGAATACAATTCGACATTTCGGTGCTGTGGACGTCATTGTCAAGTCAGTATACCTCCTCGAATTTCCCAATATCCCCGATTTCATCATTGACTTTACCACANGTTGCACTGGATACGGCGTCATTGGAGCTTGTGAAGACCAAGATGTTTGCGATCTTCGTGCACAATTCGAAACCAACTTCTTCGGCTGTCTCAACATTGTCCAGCAGTCGCTCCCCTACTTTCGCAAACGCAACGCTGGCCGATATCTGATTTTTTCTTCAACCTCCGGTGCACTCGGTGTCCCCGGCCTCGGTCCCTATTGCGCAACCAAATATGCAGTCGAAGGTTTGATTGAAAGCTTGCTCTACGAGGTCGATGCTTTCAACATCAAGGCCACCCTCGTCGCCCCAGGCCATCTCCGTCTCGACGAACCCACGGGACTGGATGACAAGGGTTCAGATTCAGCTGACAAGAGCCGCCTACCAACCTATGGTCATTTTCTGGTCAAGTCACCGTCTCAGCCTTATGAAAGCCAGAATGCTCCTGCCGCTCACGCGAAGCGGGNNGTGGTGCAATGGCTTAGCAACCAGCAGCCCACCAGTGCTGTCAAGAGCGCCGAACTTACCTGGCAATTAGGTCATTGTTCATTTCCACCGTTGCGTCTCCTCTTGGGTAGTTTCGCCGTAGAGAGCATACGTGACCGCTTGCGGTGCATCATAGAGGAGGTGAGTGATCCGGTAAATGCACCATTTAACATCTATTGATAGTCTTGTACAGNNATCGAAGATTGGAAACATCTAAGCTTTCTTCGCGCCGATGAGAGAGACCAGCAGACACCGCAGCCTGCAGGGGAAGATTCGACGTCACAGCACCAACTGACACCGGGCGATGAAATTGCTGAAGTCGCAGATGGGGACATGGACATCGACGAAGGCTGAATGCCATGTCGATAGAATTTTTCTTTGCTTTTTCCTTCTCGAAGGACGTCCGAGATGTCAAGATCCATGGATCATCGACTACCCCAAGTTTGAGAACTTATGGATGCCTAACGCCGGTAGTTTCAGCGCGGACTCGGCATGATTCAAGCGACTACTACGTAGGCGGTAAAGGATCACAGAATTACAGTAAGCATGAACAATTCGTTGAGCACACTTTGAGAATGGAGAGGTCACGCCGGCCGACGCAAGCGAAGGAGTACAACGCCCTGGTCCGAGATGACCGGGTGGCAAGAGAAGGGAATGATGGTCAAAAATGGTCTGGGTCAGGGTCGAGGAAGTTGAGATAAAACGGCGACACGTAGGGGATGAGGCTGTCAAGCGCGCGCGTTGCCGACGAAGGAAAAATGGTCTTTTACCCTCTTGACCAGCCGACCTCCTTAACTACATATCTTTGGCTTTGGTGGAAGATCGAGGCCGGCTTGGTGTGGGAAGAAATGTTGTAGCGGTCAATAGTCGTGCACGCGGAATGTACGCCAAACTCGAGTTCACCAGAGGTAGCATACGGCTCCGGCGCTTAACGTCTTCCCCTGATTCAACTCAGTATCTCTCACACACAACTCTTTTCCGCAATCGTCTCGGCAGACGAAGTAGGTTGGGTAGTAGGAAAGATGGAACAAGGGAGCAGGTTTTGGATGTTGGCATCGAGCCGATGTTCGCGCATGGGACGGACAGGGGAAAGCGTGATCTCGATGCCGGTTCACGAGGCTCGCACAAGCAAGGCGGAGCAAGGACACGGTTAGGGAATTGTTCAAGGGCAATGCATAATTAAAGTGTCTGGCCTGTGCTGCCGCAATCTTGTCAGTCTGCGAGCCAATCGATAGGAACAAGAGGGACGGGCTCCGACAAGAGGCAGCAGACGAGCGGCTAGCGTTGCAAGCACATGCAAGGCATTCCAGAGGATGACATCAATGGCTACGCTCGGGAAGGAGCGGGACCTTGACATGCCCCGCCGGTTGACGAGTCGGATTGCATGTCGTGCAGATTGTGCAAGAGAGGACACGAGACGGCTGAGGTTGTGGAAGAGATGGGCAGAAGTGGAGGAAGCAGGATGCGCTGAGCAAGCTGCAGGTGAGAGCGGCAGACGAAAGCTTGCCGTGTCAACAAAGCGAGCATAAGCATAAACAAAAGACCCTCTCCCCCAGCTGGGGACTGCAGGTTTCTTCTTCGCACCTCGCACAGTGTACCACCAGCGCGGTCAGTCCCATTGTTCACCGCTTGCACTTCTGGCGTGACGCGGATTGACAATCGGCGTGGTCGATCGCTGTCCGACTCTCAGATCTCGTCCTGATCGCTGGCCCGAGCGCGTGATTGGAGCAAGGCAGGGCGGTTTTCTTTAACGCCCAAGCGTGAGGCACCCCTTCTGCCCTTAACGGGTGCAATCTTAGTCGCAAGCCTGTAAGGGCCTACTGGCGGTCTTCGTGCTAACCAAGCTCCTTTTCCTGCAGAAAGGCTTGCAGAAAGATTAAAAAGGCTGTACCCCAAGACAGGAGCGGCCTGTTCAACTCGAAGCGCACAAGACCGACTAGCACAAAGCACGCCAAGCCCGACCACTTTCTCCATCTTTTGGCTTGTCTGAACTCGAAACACGCAGCACAGCTCAGCTCAGCTCCGTCCCTCTCGCCGGACGCACTTCAGCAGTCCCTCCACCTAGATCCTCACCTGCACACCTGGTCCATGGCGTCGACGCGTCGGACGAATTACCACCACCAGCTCAACATCTACCACGACCCCGTGCCGGTGCTGCCGTCCACGACCTTCCACGATCTCCCACAGAATTCGGTCGAGGCAGCTCTTCTAAGCGCCCTTGGCCAGCAACCCTTCAGACAGCCGGGCTTCTTGCTCAGTCCCTCGCACACCCCGCTCACCACCGGACTGCCGAGAAAGCACTCGAGCTCGCCCGACGGTCCTCTTGGCCGACGCTCGCTCCACAACATCACCATTCCCTCTCCGCTGCAAGCAGCCTTCCCGTCCGACTCACCCGTCAAGCGCGGCTTCTTCTCCGCCATGAACCTGAACAAGGAAAACATGTTCCCCTACGACCACCACCTCTACAACGCACAAAAGGCCGTACCCATCAAGCGGGCACTGGCCGACAAGACCAGTAAGAAGCCAGTGAAGCCCGCAGAGCAATACGACTTTGTGCTACCCGAGCCCGAAGAGATGCCGTCCGTACACGACGACGGCAATAAGCCTACCTTCAGCTATGCAACCCTCATCGGCATGGCCATTCTGCGTGCACCCAACCGCCGCCTCACGCTTGCCCAGATCTACAAGTGGATCTCGGACAACTTCAAGTACTATGGCGCATCCGAGACTGGTTGGCAAAACAGCATTCGTCACAACCTGAGTCTGAACAAGGCTTTCATCAAGCAGGAGCGTCCCAAGGACGACCCTGGCAAGGGCAACTACTGGGCAATTGAACCTGGTATGGAGCGCCAGTTCTGCAAGGACCGCCCTTTGAAGAAGGTGCAGATTCCTTCCGAGATGATGCCTCTGCAGACTCTTCCCAGCAACGCTCCTCGCCCTGTCACCACTCCTGCAATTGGCCGCTTTGCCCTGGGCCCTAACCCTGTCAAGAAGACCGACACCAAAGCCGTCGACTCTGCCTCTTTCCCTCAGGACCACTTCTCCTCAGACGGCACTATTCCCGCCAGCGATCCCGCCCTCCAAGATGACGAGCTTGCCATGCCCCCTCCCGCCGTGCGTGCTTCTATGCGTTCTTCTCCTCCTCCTGCCTTCGGCTCGTCTCCTCCACCCATGCAAGACACCCCTCCTCGCGCCTCCCGCCTACGTTTCCCTACCGAGACACATTCTGGAGGCGCTCGCAAGCGCAAGTTCACCGCTCCCCAGGACAGTGGTTACTACTCTTCAATCGAGTCATCAGCAGTCAGAAACCCTACCATCTCGCACGTCGCCCTTACCTCCGATGCCGACCCAGACCACCGCCGTATCAAGCGTGGCCGCGCAGAGGAGGAGATTGCACGTATTCGCAGCTCGTCGTACGACAGTCCTACAAAGAAGACTGCTCCCCACAAGCGCAAGCCCTCCGTGCACTTCGAATACACCTCTCCTCAGCGCCCTACTTCTTCTGCCGCCGCTGTGGCTCCTCTGACCCCTGCTGTTGTCTTCAAGCGTCCAGCCAAGCCTCCGCAGTCCTGCTCTCCCAACACCAGTCTGCGCAACCATCGCAACAACATCAAGGCATTCCTCGGCGAATCTCCTGCAAAGAGCTGGACTCCTCTGGTTCCCTTCTCCCCTGCTTTCAACCTCGATGAGTTCACTCCCGCCAAGGACCTTACTCCCTGGCGCCCATCCAATGATACTAACGACATCTTCGACGAGAACGCTGCTCTGGAAGACTTCAGCGCTCGTGGCAGCCCTGGAAAGAAGCGTCCTCGCATTGAACGCGCCGTCACCTCGACTGGTGTCCTGGCCGACATCACCTCTGGCAAGGGCAATGCTATGGCTTTCGACAGCCCCTTCAACTTCCACTTTACTCCTCTGAAGGCCACTCATCCCGCTCAACTGCGCTCTCCCGTCATGCTCGGCTCGCCTCTGAAGCGTGTCATCATGGCCCCTCCTTCCACCGGTGTATCCGAGAGCACTGTCAACGCCCCTGATTGGCTGGACCTGTCTCTTGACAACTACTTCCCTCAACAAAACGGACATGAGCTGTTTGGATTGGGCATCCAGGATGATGTCTTTGACGAGCAGGGTGTCGACATTCTACAGGAGTTTGGCAAGATCGGCTCCAAGCAACCCCAACTCCAGCCTACCAACCCCGGAAGCAGCATGGGCAGCCCCGCCAAGCGCTCCCAGCGCCCTAGCATCAGCAGAAGCATCACCTCGAGATTCTAAACACAACACGACAAGGCCCGGAGCCTCTACGAATCCCAACGTATAGATTGCGCAGGATACTGATCATGAACATCAAACTATGATACCCACGACTACGAGCTGTATCAGCAGCACGACCGGTCAACAAATTTGCATACGAAACGAACAAATGGTGGAAAGAAGAACATTCCTGACGAGACGATACAAAAAGTGTTTCTAAGGTGTGGATTTTGTGCTTTTTTTCTTGTACTTTCTGTTTGAAGTCTTGGTTTTTCTGTTTTTCTGGATGTTCTGCTTTTTCAGGAGTTTATTCACGACGACCCTCGGCGAAGGGATTGGGAACGAGATGGGAATGGTACGAAACCAATGGAATGGGGATGGGGTGGAATTCTGCATTGCGCTCGGAGTTCCTTGCCTCTTTGGCAGTATGCATATTGGGCGGTCGTTTTTTCGTTTGCACATTCTCTATGGACAACATGCATTAATGAGTTGTATGAACCCTTTTTCTTGCATTGACTACTTTTCATTCCAGACTTGTTCGCGTGACTATGCTGTGATATCCGGACGCATGATGAAGCTAGGATTGTTATCAGCAACTGCTTCGAACTTTGACGATCAGATGAGAAAGAAAATCAAGGTCCTCAGATCAAGTGTATTCGAGTTCCCATGTCCCTGCGGTGGTCTGAACAGAGCTTGCGCAAAGTCGACCCAAGTCCCCGCCCAGGGTGTCAATAGTCTCTTGAGTGATCATCACTGGAAATGTACTTCTCCTCGTAGCTTCGTGAAGAACGAATGAGAGAGAGAGAGAGAGCAAAGGACATAAGACTTACCGAGGCTTCGAGGATTGCTGCATGAACGCGACGATCCCGTGTCAATGGGCTTGGTACCAAAGCAACAAAGGAATGAGGGCAGCTGTCAGCCTGTCACAAAGTTTCGAGCTTCCTCTCGCTGTGAAGTCGATGGCCGTACATGACTCTGGAGCACACGCCCTAAGCTGAACGGCCGGAGAAGAACAACTACAAGAGACAGCTACAAGAGCAGAAGCAGGTACAGTAAGATGAGGACCAAGCCTTTGGTAAGCTTATCCCAGACATGCGTGT